CTGAACTAAACGAGCTGGGTTAGGAGAGAAGTTACTATAGAGAAGATCAATAAGTACTCAAAGTTGACTCAAGGCTGCCAGTATTGTTTGATGCATCCTCGGATTAGCACAGGGACAAGGTCACATAAGTCAGTATTCTGATTGGTGATCCTGTCATATGATATTTGACAGGGTCATAAGATATAACAACATCAAACCATTTAACAGTAAAATATAACTGTCGTTTAAAACTATGTAGCGAAATAACTTTTTATATTCTATGGGTCAAATAAACTCATTTTAGAATAATTCGCTGCAGAATAATATCATATTACTAGATTCATTTTTACAAACAAAATTTGTACAGTCATTTGACCTTTGACCGAAGTTTATCATCATCTAGTTAATTTAAGTGTAGTACTAAGTTTAAAAATTATTTTTTATTTATTTTATTTTAACATATAGATATTGGCACAAGGAGGCACCAAACAGATATGCGCCACACAAATCTCATTTGATTTGTGTGAGGGCTATGATACTACCCGCGTGCCCAAAACAAAGCAGATGGTTTTCTGAGAGGGACACACCCGAAACCTTCGACGTAAAGGTCTGATCCACAAGGCAGTGGAGCAACGTAAGGAGATGCTGTCTCATGGTGGCCGGTGACCAACGATTGATTCATACGCCATTTGTTCTCTCAAGAGCCCATGTACACCATTGGTTTGGAATCCGGGTTTTCCAACTCCCCTAGGTGGACTCTCTATATCCACTAACCCGGTTAAAGCGTCGGATACTCGCTTTTCGTCCTCTCAATTACGTAAACAACACCGGTGCCACGAGAAGGTGGTGAGTAGGACTTCCCTGACAGAGGCTATATACGCATGGCCATGTGAGAGCATTTCGAGAGGGAGAGTGGACTCTCCCCACTCTCGGCCGTAACCAGGGCATTTGGGGGCAGTTTAAAAATATAGTTTCATGAAAACTTTAAATCCTAAAATGTAGTGAGATACAGGCTCCTTGTCTATTTGTAATCCTTGATTACATTTTCAAAGATTTTGGCTTAGAATAATAAAGAAATATGTTTACCGTAACGTTTATATTATTATCAAAATAGGTATATATCATCTTTGAATTAAATGGATTAGCCATATTCTTGGGGACGATAGATCCCCAGAACTCAAATTTTGTAATTTACTTATCGATTAAATGTGCAGATAGGTCAATTGATGAACTATCGATTAAATGTACAAATAGGTCAATTGATGAACTATCGATTAAAGGTTCAAATAGCAGTCAATTGTTGATTAATGTTCAAAAATCTTCCATGACAATATCGATTGTAAATAATTGTATAAATACGCTTGACTTGTATGCTTGATCTGATCTGCCTGCCTGACTTGTTATCTGCTGTTTGTCTGTAGAATACACTTTCTACACCTTACCCAGACTTTTTGATCGAGTTAGCAGAGTTGGGGACAACGGACCAGAATAGACTATTGAGTCTCTGAATCCTTGATCCGATCGATAAGTCACTGTCATATAATCGGCAGTCCCTTTGAGGCATAACACATATATATATATATATATATATATATATATATATATATAAACTCAACTGTTGTCGTTAACAACTCCGCCTGTAGCTCTTCTAGAGTTACTGCCGGTCCCAAGCCCGGGTAAAGGAGGAGGGTTGGGCATGGGGTTAGCGTCCCCATCCCGTAGAAAACTAACTCGCTAAAAAAACGCTTACCAGAAAAAATAATTCAAACCATTTTAACTCTGCCCTGAGAGTTAGAAGGTCTTCATTTAGAAGAATTATGACGCTTCATGGTGAAAGCCGAGTTCCTTCGGAAGCCACGAGGCCGATGCCCCTTCTAACAACCAGAGCAAAAATTTTTATAGGTACATGGAACGTTCGAACAATGTGGGAAACCGGGAAGACCAGTCAAATAGCAACGGAAATGAGGAGATACAACTTGGCAGTACTGGGAATCAGCGAAACCCACTGGACCCAAGCTGGACAGAAAAGGCTAGCTACGGGAGAGATGCTGCTATACTCCGGTCACGAAGAGGAAAATGCTCCACACACTCAGGGAGTTGCTCTAATGCTGTCCAAAGTAGCACGAAATGCACTTGTAGGATGGGAATCCCACGGATCCAGAATCATCAAAGCATCATTCAAAACAAAGAAGGAGGGGATCTTAATGAATATTATCCAATGTTATGCACCCACCAATGATAGCAACGACGACATTAAAGATCAATTCTACGAGCGGCTGCAGTCAATCATAGAGAAATGCTCAAGAAAGGACCTCACCATTCTGATGGGAGATCTAAATGCCAAGGTCGGAATAGACAACACTGGATATGAAGATATTATGGGACGACATGGACTGGGAGAGAGGAACGAAAATGGAGAAAGATTTGCAAATTTGTGTGCATTCAACAAATTAGTCATAGGAGGCACAATATTTCCACACAAACGTATACACAAGGCTACATGGATCTCACCGGACCACACTACAGAGAACCAGATAGACCATATTTGCATCAACAAAAAATTCCGAAGGACAATGGAAGATGTGAGAACCAGGAGAGGAGCTGACGTAGCTTCAGATCACCACCTAGTTGTAGCCAATTTAAAACTGAAGCTAAAAAAGAACTGGACAAGTGGACAAACAGCACTACAAAGGTTCAATACAGCCTTCCTTCGAGATACTGACAAACTCAATGAATTCAAGATAGCTCTCAACAACAGATTCCAAGCCTTTCAAGATCTACTGAAGGAAGAAGAAACTACCATGGAGGACAACTGGAAAGGCATCAAAGAAACATTGACTTCAACGTGTCAAGAGGTTCTGGGCCTAAAGAAACACCATCATAAGGAATGGATCTCTATAGAAACACTGGACAAGATCAAAGAAAGGAAGAACAAGAAGACAGCAATTAACAACAGCCGAACACGAGCAGAGAAAGTCCAAGCACAAGCTGAATACATAGAAGCAAACAAGCAAGTGAAGAGGAGCATTAGAGCCGACAGGAAGAAATACGTGGAAGAATTAGCAACGACGGCAGAAAAAGCTGCTAGAGAAGGAAATATGAAACAGCTCTACGATACAACGAAGAAACTATCAGGGAAATACAGTAAACCAGAGAGGCCGGTCAAAGACAAAGAAGGCAAGCCAATCACTGAAATTCAACAACAGCGAAACAGATGGGTAGAATACTTCGAGGAACTCCTGAATAGGCCGGCTCCAATGAATCCACCGAACATCGAAGCAGCACACACAGATCTTCCTATAGATGTCAACCCACCAACGACGGAAGAAATTAGAATGGCCGTCAGACAAATCAAGAACGGGAAAGCAGCAGGACCCGACAACATACCAGCTGAAGCACTGAAATCAGACGTCGAAGTAACCACAAGCATGCTTTACCCTCTATTCAAAAAGATTTGGGAGGAGGAACAAGTGCCAATGGACTGGAAAGAAGGACACCTCATCAAGATTCCAAAGAAAGGAGATCTGAGCAAATGTGAAAACTACAGAGGCATTACACTACTGTCAATACCAGGGAAAGTCTTCAACAGAGTGTTGCTGAACCGGATGAAGGATGCAGTAGATGCCCAACTTCGAGATCAACAAGCTGGATTCCGAAAGGATCGGTCGTGCACAGACCAAATTGCAACACTACGGATCATCGTCGAACAATCAGTTGAGTGGAACTCGTCACTATACATCAACTTCATTGATTATGAAAAGGCATTCGACAGTGTAGATAGGAGGACATTATGGAAACTTCTTCGACACTACGGAGTTCCTGAGAAGATTGTCAATATTATCCGGAACTCATACGACGGACTACAGTGCAAAGTAGTGCATGGAGGACAGCTGACAGATGCATTCCAAGTAAGGACCGGAGTCAGACAAGGCTGTTTACTCTCTCCCTTCCTCTTTCTTCTGGTGGTCGACTGGATTATGAAGACCTCGACATCTGAAGGAAAACACGGAATACAATGGACAGCTCAGAATCAATTAGACGATTTGGACTTCGCAGATGACCTAGCCCTCCTATCACGTACACACGAACAGATGCAGATGAAGACAGCCAGTGTAGCAGCAGTCTCTGCATCAGTAGGCCTCAGCATACACAAAGGGAAAACCAAGGTCCTCAAATTCAAAGCGGAGAACAGCAATCCAATCACTCTTGATGGCGAAACTCTGGAAGATGTAGAATCCTTCACATATCTGGGAAGCATCGTCGATAGACATGGAGGTTCAGATGCAGACGTAAAGGCGAGGATTGGCAAAGCAAGGGCCGCATTCCTACAATTGAAGAACATATGGAACTCAAAACAACTTTCAACCAATATCAAAGTGAGAATCTTCAATACGAACGTCAAGGCAATTCTACTGTATGGAGCTGAAACTTGGAGAACTACAACAACCACAATCAAGAAAGTACAAGTATTTATAAATAGCTGTCTACGCAAGATACTCAACATCCATTGGCCGGATACCATCAGCAATAGCCTTCTGTGGGAGAGAACAAACCAACTTCCAGCTGAAGAAGAAATTAGGAAAAGACGATGGAAATGGATAGGACATACATTACGCAAATCGTCAAACTGCATCACGAGGCAAGCCCTAACTTGGAATCCTGAAGGGAAGCGGAAAAGAGGAAGGCCAAAGAACACATTACGTCGGATAATAGAAGCAGATATGAAAAGGATGAATTACAACTGGAAGGAGCTGGAAAGGATTGCCCAGGACAGGGTTGGATGGAGAATGCTGGTGAGCGACCTATGCTCCTTCACGAGGAGTAACAGGTGTAAGTAAGTAAGTAAGTTGTCGTTAACATCAACAACGAGAAAGTAACCCATTTTGTTGAAATTTTTTTCTATTTTAATGTAACTTATAAATAATTACACTTAAAATGGATTCAGTCTTTATTGACTATTCTCTAATCTGATAAATAAAATATATCACTTGAAATCATGAACTGATTACATAATAACTTACTTCAGCTGTAAAACTAACAGTAATTTCTGTATTCTTAAGTTTCCATTCTTTAATCAATTGAAGATATTTTGATTCCCATAGTTTGGCTTTTTGAACATGAATTGATTTTGGGTCAGGATTATTGTTGACAAGAAATGTGAGTACTACAGCAGCTGATCCATTGTAAAATGATGCTTTATGAAGTCATTTAGAAAAAAAAACGACAGAATATATACATGTATATATTAACTTATACAGATCTAGAAAAGAGAACGATTTACATCTAACTAGTATTAGCTTCATGCTTGTATGAAGTTATTTTGCTGAAAGAAATCCAGTGTAAAAATAAACATCTAACAATTGGTTATTTAATTTATCAGTTCCAAAACTTATAACAATAAATTCGATTACAGAGATTTAGTTAATCAATAAAGAATTGATCAATCATTGTGATGATGATGATGTTTTCGGGGATTAGAGGTAGTCAGAATGAAACTCTAGATCTAGATTTCGAGTCAACTGACAATCATCAGCAAGATATTCAGGCTACAATTGATCTCTTGTAGGACTGAGATACTTACAATTGACTCATTATCAAGTAGTAATCAATATGATTTTTTGTCTAGTTCTTGAGTGCTGACCAAATTCTACAGGTCTAGTGGGCACATAGCAACCAATACCTTACAATCAATTAATTGAATAGTGGATGATATTGAAATTTTGCAGCCAACATAATCATCTCTACATTCAACAACCGCATGACTGTGTTATATCACTGTAATCCTTTCAGGAGCGCCAAAGATTGAAAACATGTGTAATGTTTTTTTTTATTTACAGTAAAACCAAGCGAACAAAAGGATGTAAACGACAAAAGCACGACCAAACCACCCAGTGCATGGGGACAAACTCCGGCAAAAAATACATTAATAGGAAGGTATTGAATAGATTAATTCCATATCCTTTAGGAGAAACAATACAACAAATGAAGTATATAGTCTCGTGCAGGCAGGTCATAACAAAATCTAGTCATGATATTCAATGTTTCCAATAAATTATCACAATATCAGTAATTCAAGTTTGTTGAAAAATCTTCTTCATAGACAACGAATCTCAAAAGAAACATCTTTTTCTAAATTATTTACGTAATAAAAAACTAACATGAAGTGAAACCGCAACTTATACTTTGGCCGGTGTATAAGAAAGCGTAATACATATCCTAATCACCTCAGTCGAATAACATTCACTTGAATTGCCATATTTACTTGATAATGTTTATCTAGACTTAGAAATAACTCAATGGTCCCAAAATATATGAGCAATAGTTTGAATAAATCTATGACAGAATAGTAACAACCTATGAATAACTCCTATTTGTAGGTTACTAATTAGTTAGGAAATTGTACGCCTTGTAAGTTAATTCTAACGAGCAAACAATCAGTCTGAAGGTTAGCTTGTACGGAACATCCAAACACACTGTAAACGATGTCGAGTTACTTGGATTAACGGATATATTTCAAGTGTAATCGACAGGATTTAACCAAGTGTTAAGATTAAACAAACATGACACTGTTCTTGTCATCATATTTGCTTCATATGAAATTTGGTACAATTGGGGACCAAAAACGTGGTATACAGGACACACATAGGCTTTTTTAATCAGCCTAAACATTGTCTGCACGCCCAAACGGAAGACGGTTTACTTGTGAAGCGACTCCATGAGTTTTTGACATGAAAATCTTCTCAAAAAAGCCGTGGAGTAAGGTTGCCTGATGGTAGATAGCGATAAAAAAATATGTTGGTACACCATTCGTTTCCAAAGAATGCTGAATTTAATTTACACCGTTAGTTTGGAATCAGGGTTTCGCAACTACCCTAAGTGAACCCTCCGTACTCATCAGTCCGGTGTCAAAGTGCTAGACGTTCATTTTCGTGTAAAAAAACAACATCGCTGGGTAAAGGTAGTGAGTAAGACTTATTTGATGGAATATATAACCGTATGAAGGTATTTCTAGAAGGAGAACAGATTCTACAAACTCTAACTTTTAACAACATATTGGTGATTAATTAGTGATCAATTAGGGTAAATATCTTATTCACAGAGGAGATTGATTGCGTCCCGAATAGCTCACTAGTAAGATCTCCAAATCTGACAACCAGTAATATGGGTTTGAAACCACAGTAACCATTACCTAGTCCAAAATTGCAGATACATCTTGATGACTCGCTGAACATACAGATAATTGTCTCTGGCCACCTAACATTAAAATAAGGGAAAAAATAAAGAAATAAACTAACCATTAAAACTGCCTAATGCAACTTGAGGTAACACTGGCATTCCAGATGATGACAGACAACCAGCAGTTGGGTCTAATGGGGAACCATAAGTAGATAATGGAGCTTCAGTACAGAACATCAAATGATCAAGGTAATCATTGATAGGTAAGTCAAAATCATCTCTACGCTAAAATGTAAAAAGAGATATACAAACATGCACATATAAATACATAGAACCATGATAAATCAATTACCCAATATAACTGACTATATATTCATGATCATAAACAATTTTGAGCAAATTGAATAACTTAACAAAATGTTGTGTACGACAACTTAAAAAAGGTTGAAAGTATGCCAGAGATGAAAGTTAATATACATAGGAACGAATCCATATAATAGACTATCTAGGGAATTGGAAGGAGATTCTGTATAGTAGGACCACTGAGTAGGCAATACAAAGTCAGACATAACATTTGTAAAGTGTCAGACTCTATGGATTAAAATGGTGAAGTCATATTCGATAAGATACTATCTCAGTCAAATGTGGTAAAGTCCAGACATTTTGAATGAAATTTTTAGTCTAATAAAAACAAACGACAAGACAACATACATAACGATAATAATGTACAAACATTCACTCTTTATCACCTAAATATTGAATAGTAGAACACTTTATTAATTTTCGATTTTTAACCGAAATTCTTAGTTTAAAAACACATTGCAGTATAATACTTTATTGTTTACTAACGAAAAATAGATCTTGACCGTTGAGTAACATCCTGAGACTTGACACAAGTTATTAACAATGTAAATGACTTAGGAAAAAAAACCTGAACTTATGAATGGTTACAATAGTTGAAATCATGAGTCCATTGAAGCTAGACAATGAATAGTTAATCATTTAGATGAAAACTTCTAACCTGATTGAAATCTATTCTTTCTATCTGATATTATAGTAACTTTCAATGGTTGAGATCATGATCATGATGTTAATCATTTTATTATGTTGAAGAAGAAAAAACAACAACACCCAATTGATTGATTAAATATCAATAATGAATTGTTTTAAAAGTCTGTACTTAGATTCTATCATAGCACGAATCAATAGGAAATTATTATTTCATGGATTGACATTAGCTAGACAATAAAAACTAAGAAGTACTGAACAGTTTATTTCATACTAGTACAGGTCTATTCAGTAGCATGCATGTATGATCCCATCTGAGATCGAACCCAACAATTTTTTATGTTATAACGAGTGAGTAAATTTGGAACATTAAATTAACATCCAATGGCTTACATTTCAAACTTTAATCAATTTGTGATATTGCGCAACCGTTTCCGGTTATCCACAGCGCACCCAACATGGTTATATATATATATATATATATATATATATATATATATATATATATATAAACCCTCTGATGCGATTGATCGACTTTGATTATGTATAAATCAGAAATACTAATATTGCGCTCCAGATATAGTTAGTTTATGAGTCCTAAATCAGTCATTAACAATATAGAATTTGGCACACATATGTGTACACACACATGCACTGTGCAATAATAAGTATCGAGGTATAGTAAAATGTATACCATAGAATTAAGTGTAATCAAATATTTAATTTGTAGTATGCAACCGAACCATATGGTTTAAATAAGAAACATTAGACAAATTATGATGAAAAAACGGATTCGAACTTATGATTTAACATCTAAAAGTCTGTTAGCGGGACATAGATTGGATTAAAGCATGCTCAATGCATGATTGAGTTGGTGCACGCTGATTGACTAATTCTTATCCAATCAGCACTAGTCGACACTTGAAACACTCTAGAAATCTCCTCATGTAGAAACTATAAATATACTAATATTTTCCCTATTGTGCTTCTTAATTCCACCTAACCTTGTTATTTGGAATATAATCTCTTTTCTGTTCAACTATGTTCTGATTTGGTGACTTGTCAAGTGAATTGATGTCCGAGAATACTAAGCAATAGGAATAGCTGGGTCGTAACCAACATTTTAGCATTTCTCAATATTATCCATATACTTCATAGGATTTAAAATTTGCTTGACAGTTTACATCTATGCAATTAATGTGTAAATCAAGAGTAAATGAGAAATAATTCAAAAGTTCAATCAGTCAGTACATAAGTATCGATATAATAATATACAAATTAATTAAAAAGTTGAATATTACACTCAGTCAGTCAGCTACAACGTAGGACCAGGCACATATGTGCATCGGTCCAAGTTGCCATGAACACCGGATGCATAAAAGTAGTTCATTCAGTGGTGGTAATATATAAAAGAAAGAATGCATGTAAGGACATAGTACAGGAAGAAAGAATTAGTTCGTAGAAAGAAAGATATGAAGCGATTTTAATCTCTTAGTTTAAGGGAAGACAGAGAGTGTATACGAATATTACACTAATTCTGTAAATTGAATGAAACTATCATTAGATTAGAACAGAATCTGTTATATCTGAACGAAGAACAAATGAACGGTTACTGCTAAGAATTGGATAACTATTCAGTAACTATATTATATAAATATTCGTATTCCTTTTATCATAAGCTTTAATTTGACCTATTGACTACTTTTGTACGATTTATTATTCTTAAGTTATTTTCAATCTATTAGTTACAGTCTCTTACAATCACAACTACTTTTTCGTTTGATCTTGTATCATTATTATTTTTCATTTTATGGTGTAATGCGATCCGATCTACTTCTGTATAAACCAAGTATGTCTGAAATATACCGTGGAATCTGAAATTGTGCTCTGGACTCAAATAAACAGGGCTAAGTAAGAATTACCAATAAGGATTAAGAGGTGACCCAGGGCTGATACTGCTATTTAGCACAAGAACAAAGTCATATAAGTCGGTATTCGAATTGATAATATCGTTATATGATTATTATTATTATAAACAGAGCAAAAGTCATAATACAAACAATGATTACTTACAACTGTATTAAATAAAGTTATATTATTTTGAAAATATTCAATTGGACTTGTAATAGCACAACCAAGATTATCTGGTTTCAAGGGTTGAAAACATATATCTGATAAATTAATAAATTTTTGTTCTATTTCAAAATACACTGAAATATTTTGAATTTGATTTTGTAAATCCATTATCTATTAGTTTATACAAGAAAAATAAATAAAAATAAAATACTTGAAGAAGGTAATGAAAGCAAAAGGATATTTCAATAGTTGAAATGATGAATCAAATGAAGTTAGACCACTACGGAAAACCTTGAAGCACTGGATGGCTGTTTCGTCCTATTGTGGGACTCCTCAGCAATGCGCATCCACGACCTCGCCTCGCGGGATTCGAACCCAGGCGCTTAACCACTAGAACACTGAGCCATCATCCAACGGCGTTAATGTCTAACTTCAACTAATCCACGAAATTGAGTGACACATCCACCATAGTCATCAGTGAATCCTGGATTCGAATCCCGCAAGGCGGGGTCGCGGATGCGCACTGCTGGGGAGACCCACAATAGGATGAAACAGCCGTCCAGTGCTTCCAGGTTTTCCATGGTGGTCTAGCTTCAAGTTACTAATGATTTCAGCTACTACAATTACTACAATCTTCACAAAACCCCTTCTGATACTAAAAGGATATTTTTTCAAAAAAAATTAAATATCACATAGTATACTACTGATTAAGTGTATTTGATTGGGTTTTCATTAAATTTAAATGATTAGTAGTACTTGACATTGAGATACATTCTTAATTATGAAGGCTAATGATGAATTGCCGGATGTTAAAATCAGAATGAGAGGGTTAGAATCTGAATTTTGGAATCGTACCTGTTAAGTTATGGCTCCTTAATGTAGTTAACAATACAATGAAGGCAGCTTGCATAATTCTATCTTTTTTTTTCTCGATATAACTCAAACAGAGTATATAACACGTGAGGTATTAATCACAACGTTACACGCGTCAATTAAAAAAGACCTAATTATAACAAGCAAATGTACGAAACTAATTTACCAATTCATATTCTCGACAAAAATAAGATGGATTCAGGTATTCCTGAATAAACAAACATGAGCGTTTAATTGTTATATCATCTCTTGGAGAACTTACGTACACTGTAGGGCTGACATAATGCCAATGAATAACATATTCACAAACTATCGTTTAACTACCTGATAGGAAGCAATAACAAGCAGTCTGGTCGTTGGCATTGATCAGGTTGTAATGTTACCAATCGGTAAGAGCAAGGGAAGATGACTAAGAAGTCGCTGTAATGCAGGCGTGAACCCCCACCTAATACAAATACTTCAGTTTGGGCAACCGTGTAGTAACACTAGCTTTTCCCAAATACCCTAGTACAACTGAGGGCGGAGGGAGTCAGAACTCCCTCACCAAATGCTCTCACATGGCCACGAGTATATAGCCATTTCCAAGGAAAACCTACTCATTTCTTTCTTGAGGCGGTGATATTGTTTGCAAAATTTAGAGGACGAAAGGTGAATATCCAGAGCTTTAACCGGGTTAGTGGGTACGAAGGATCAACCAATGGTGTATATGAGCTCCAAAATCCTGGAGAAACAAATGACGTATGGACTGATTGTCACCGGGTAACATGGGACTACATCTCCTCACGTTGCTATACTGTCTCGTGGACTAGACATGTAGGTCAAAGGCTTGTACAGTGGCTCCCTAAGTAAACCACCTGCTTCGGTTTGGGCATCCGGATAGTATTCTGGTCCTCACAAAATTTGAACGACATAATGTGGTGCATATACATCTGATGATTCTTTCTACTAATGTTTATGTGTTCAAATAATAAATGAAGCTCAAAGTCAAGTAAACGAATCCTCACAGGGTAAATGAATTCAGTAGATAAGGTAAGTGAACGTCATAGTGCACTTTGGTCTACATCACTTGGTTGTAGACGATCAAGGGAAACCCATTGATTTAGTTTCGATATTAACTAACACTTGTTAGAGAAACATATCTCTAGTTATAAAAGAATAATTGCTTCCTGTGGGATAAAATCCTGTGCATTACAATGTAATCAATTAGTTAATCTGGTGCGGCCGAGAGTGGGGAGAGTCCGCTCTCCCTCTCGAAATGCTCTCACATGGCCACACGTATATAGCCTCTGCCAGGGAAGTCCTACTAACTGCCTTCTCGTGGCACCTGTGTTGTTTACAAAAATGAGAGGACGAAAAGCGAATGTCCGACGCATTAACCGGATTCCAAACCAATGGTGCACATGGGCTCCAGTATTCTGAAGCAACAAATGGCGTATGAACCAATCGTTGGTCACCGGCTTCCATGGGACTGCATCTCCTTATGATGCTCCACTGTCTTGTGGATCAGACCTTTAGGTCAAAGGCTCGGGGAGTGGCTTCCTAAGAAAACCACTTGTTTCGGTCTGGACACCCCGGCAGTATCACAGCCCTCACACATATCGAATGAGAATTGTGTGGCCCATATGTATTTGGTGCCTCTTTGTACCAATATCTATGTGTTAAAATAAATAATTAAAATAATAGTTAATCTGTTCAATGGAAATAGTCCAGAATAGAAAAAAAGAAAGAATAACAAAATAAAGCTTACTTTCAATAGAAAATCTTTATTGAGTCCAGCACCGAATATTGCATTACCTGAAGCATCTCCTAATGCTTTATGTGTAAAATTTGAGTTATTTTTTGGGCGAACGATTATTTGTTCAATTCGATAAAATGCTCTATGAAAGATAAAATCATGAAATTAATTAAGAATACATTTTGAAAACAATCAAAATTGATAAAGAAAATAGTAATATTCCATCATATTAAAATACAAATGATATATATAAATGAAAAATATTCTGTTCAATACATTCTCTTGAAGTTCTACCATTATATATTCAAATAAACGATCTAAATCAGAAATCATGTAACATGTAGAATAATATGAATTGGGTACGAATAAGTAAACAGGAATGGGTACTGAATAAATTCCTTGAAGTGTTTGCAAGAATTATAATAATAATAATAATAATAATAATAATAATAATAATAATAATAATAATAATAATAATGTGTGTGTGTGTTTACGATAAGATTAAGATTCGGAAGCCCCTAAATGACCTGGTGCGACCGAGAGTGGGGAGAGTCAGCTCTCCCGCTCGAAATGCTCTCATATGGCCACGGGCATACAACCACTGTCAGGGAAGTCTTACTCACTGTCTTAATGCGCCATGGATGTTGTTTACAAGATTGAGAGGACGGAAAGTAAATATCCGGACCTTTAACCGGGTTGGTCGATATGGAAGATCCACCAAGGGGAGTTAAAAAACCGTGATTGCAAACCAATGGTGCATATGGGGTCCAGGATCCTGAGAGAACAAATGGCGTATGAACCAATTGTTGGTCACCGGCTACCATAGGACTGCATCTCCTGATGTCGCTTCACTGCCTTGTGGGTTAGATCTTTAGGTTAAAGGCTTCGGGTGTGGCCTCCTAAGAAAACCACCTGTTTCGGTTTAGGCACCCTAGAGGTATCCCGGCCCTCACACAAACCGAATGATCTATGTAGCGCATATCTATTTGATGCCTCCTTGTACCAATGTTTATGTGTTTAAATAAATAAATAAGATTTGGAAATGAAAAGAGGAAGGTTGTATGAAGCTTAGTCGGATTATATCACCATTTCATCAAAATCATTATTAACTAATCAGGTCAGAATTCGGACATGATAAAAGAAGTGATAGAACATATCTTTTCTGGACTCAAAGATCCAACCTTTTTGATTTAAATAGCTATTGTTTCGGCCGTCTAAAGGATTCTTAGTCTGACAGATTCAGGCAGATTGCTGTTAACACGATATATAATTGTAAATGATTACTCCATGTTAACTGTATAGTCCGTTTGTACTAAATAAGCTAAAATCGTATTGTTAACAGTTTTAAATATACCTTTGCTTAACCACACTGTGAGGTGCTTTGATCTTTTATATCATAATGACATTTAGCTTATGAACCTTATTGAAGCCAACACATCACATTAATCATCTCAACACTAACGAGTTTATTTTGTTTAACAACCCTGAATTCGCATGCTATAATTATTTAGACAATACATTTTACTTTAAACCTGGTTATTTTTTGGATTATGAATTTATTGAAAAGAATAATCTTCATTCACATATATAATGTGATTAAGAGTAGTGCAAGTAAGTAGTTGACTTTATGAGTCTATTATTATTAATTCTTTGAGAATGAAACTGCTTATAAGAGTGTGATATACAAGAGTTTTGAAGAGATCTGACAATACCATATATTTAATTTGATGTAGCAAAAGTAGAAATTCTGAATTCAATACTTTGTGATGCATTTGTCAATAATATATATCTGTAATAATATAGTTTATATTAGTGATATGATTTTAGATAAAGACAAAAAAACAATAATCTCCAACGGTCAGAGCTTATAGCGAACTTTCATCTGCTTTTGTAACCTCAAGTGGTGTTCGTCAAGCTTGTCCACTTTCTCCATTTTTGTTTAACTTCATCATAGACATACTGACGGAAATAACGCTCTCATCGATGGAATTTTCGGGCACTGATCAGGAGGTTCACTTATCGACTTAGAATACGCAGATGACATAGTCCTGTTTGGTGAAGACGCTGACGAAATACAGAGTCTTTTGATAGCACTGAGCAACAATGCCAGAATGTTTGGGATGGGCTTCTCTCCCTCTAAATGCAAGTTGTTGCTTCGGGACTGGTCTGCATCAACACCTGAACTAAGGATAGGGAGTGAAGTAGTAGAACGCGTTGACAACTTCACTTATCTTGGAAGCAAAACATGACCATTAAGAGTCGAAGATACTCATAAGCTTCTAGTATTTGACCACAGATGTCTTAGAAATATTGCTCGCATCTGCTGGGATTATCGGGTAAGTAATAGTCAAGTTAGACGTAGGGTATTAGGGAATGATGGTAAATCAGTTGATGAGGTTGTTAATCTTCATCGACTGAGATGGTTGGACCACGTGTTACGTATGCCTCAACATCGATTATCAAGATGCGCAATGGTAACCGGTGTAGGGGATGGTTGGAAGAAAGTTAGGGGCGGCCAAACCAAAACATGGCATCAGTGCTTGAAGTCACTAACTTGTAGTCTGAGTCATGTTGGTAGATGCAGACTACTTGGTTGGGATCCGCGTGACTTTCGTAACCAATGGTTGGAGACTCTTGGTGACATGACACTCTCTGTCTTCCCTTAAACTATGAGATTAAAATCGCCTCATATCTTTCTTCCTGTACTATGTACTTACATGTAATCTTTCTTTTATATATTGCCACCACTGAATTACCTACTTCTATGATTCTGGTGTTCATCTTGTTGTGTTAATGAGGTGTGGCAACTTGGACCAATGCACATATGTGTCAGTTCCTACGCTGTAGCTGACTGACTGACATCATGGTTAATTCTGAGAGCACAATCTTGGGAACAGTACCGTACAGTACAATAGCCCATCATTATCAAGCTAATCATTAATCAAAACTCATTTACAATTCTTTTCATTTAAGTATAATGATATTCAATGGAATATTGAATTAAATAAACTTATCTATTTACTTGAGTGTGAGGATTAGTGGGAATAAAACAGAATCATATGGTGCATACAATAAATAAGCAGATGATTCAAATAATAGGAAAATTAATGGAAAAACGTGAGCTGTCCATGAAGTGATACATTAAAGAAAACAGTTGTTTCCATGTAGGGCAAGTATTCTAGTGAGGAATATGGAGAACTAAATGATAAAGTAAGGTCAGAAAAACCGCTAAACCATTATGTTGATTTAAAAATCAAACCATCACCAATTCATTGATGATTGCTGATGGACTAATTTTCGGCAATATTCTTCGTACACACCAATTACGACTGAGAAAATTGTACGCGAAAATCATCCCAAAGCTGCTGACATCTGATGAAAAGCTAAGAAGGACTAAATAGTGCACTGACTTCAAAACCTCTTCCTAAACCAACATTTTCTTGGATGATTAGTCAATGAAGAAAAATCGTGATTCCATGAGTGACAAATTGGGTAGGATTTTTGAGGACTTATAGGGATGTTTTGAACGATGAAAAACAGATTGAAATTCATAAAGTGTGTTCCAGATACACACTATCAAACCTTAGCAACACTACCATGGTGCAGCCATTGAATGTCAACAATCCTTCGAAGATAACGACTAGATACAGAGTTATCAAACATCCTTAACTCAGAGAGGTTATTTATCCCAATCATACAGGCAAAACTGTTCTCACTGACGTATTGCGTAGATCGTATACAAGGAATTTACTTAGTTTGTAAAAAAGTTTCATAATTATTTTCTTGACATTATTCTTGTTGTCAGGATAAAAAAACTATCGAATTTCACTAAACACTTTGTCAAATAATATAAATTGACAGTATCAATGAATTCACTTTAGCAATCACTTACCCAAATTGTTGATCGAAATAATTTTTTTCTAATCTAGAACGTGATTCTTTACCAGACCATAATTCAACTGGATCAGTAGTAACTTGAAGAAATGCTAAACCACCTGAAAGTCCCAGTATAATACCCAATGAAATAAATAATACAATAATTGGATGACGAGCAATGAGTCTTCCATGTAATGCGAACATCTAATAAAAATTAGCAAATATTTAAAAATAAAAAATGATAAGTGATTTTTTTTTCGGAAACAAAGACAAATATTTGTCAAATAAGGATAACAACTTGGACCGATGCATATATGAGCCTGGTTTTACGTTGTAGCTGACTGACATATAAGATGGTCAAAATATATCAAACTGTAAAGCTATAAGATAGAATAATGAAAGAGAGAATGAGACCTGAATACCGGACACACTACAGAAAAATAGATAGAGAAGGCTTTTTTTCAATGGATTGACATTTGATGAACACCCTATAAACGATTTGCTACCGATTAATGAACAATATTCTGTAATAATAACAGATTTTTACTAAGTTTCAATATGATCGATCACTAGTCTAAATGACTTGTCATCACGTGCACTATGTTTAGATCCATGTAGGAACAGAACCTGTGTCACATAGTTTTACAATATGAGACGTTACCACTATGTTATTCTGGTGGCGACTGACCTATAGGATTCTATCAGTCCTAAATGATTAGGTAAGCATGAAATTCGTCAGCGATCCATCGATCATAAGTATCTCGTTCCTACACGTCAGTTGCCACCCAAAAAGCTCAGTGGTAACATTAAGAAACTAGGTGACCACGGCTGGAATTTCATAAGGTAGTAGCAATCGCACAAAGACTGCAGTTACGCCTTGTAGACAAGTATTAACTAGTGAGAGAACTAAGTTCAGGGTTTACTGTAGACTACCTCCAACCACTGAACATACTATTTAGTATTTCACATCATTGATCTTAACATCTCATAGAACTGCGATTCTCTGGTTAAGGCACTTCACTTATAACCAATGGAACCATAGATCCTAACATTACTTGTTCTTGTTATATCAACTGAATTACAACTATAGATGCAACTTAGCCACATATTAATTAATGGAACAAGCTTATTTTTTAAAAATTAACAAGATTATTTATGGCTGGTAAAGAGCCCCGATGCATAACATAGTTGTTGGAAGATCAATTACACTACTTGTGGTCAACTTAACGTTTCCAAAACCTGTATTGATAAACCGTAAATTATGTGATACTTTAGTGACAAAACGAATAGTAGGAATGTATTTGCCAAAAGGAGTGCACTTTGCCATAAGGTTGAATATATATACACTGTTGAGGAAAATAGAACAAAACACCTGTTTCAATGTTATTACTTTGTTTCGAATGGCTTTCTGACTCTCTCTAGATCATTAAATAATTCCTAAAGAGTAATATTTTGGTAATTAACTAACATACCTTCGTCAGTATTTCATTAAAATAAGCTGTTAAGCGAGCCAACAAAGAAATTCTACCTTCTGGTTGATTTTCACTTTGAGTTTGTTGTTGTTGTATAAGATGCTCTCTATCCGAGTCTGATGTACAACAACCGCTGATCGATGCGCTATTATAACCGTAAATAAGTTTTGTAATTTGATATGTAACAAAACCAATTGTCAGTATTGAGAAAACAATATAACCACTGAATAGATAAACATCGATATCTGAAAAATTTATTTTAATATTAAATAGAAAAACAAATCATGAGATTAGTTAAGATAAAGTTTATTTAAATTTCTAGAACAACTTGGTCGCTATAATCGGAGTACTAATAACCAGTTAACAGACTTCCAAGTTATAATGAATTTACGCATCATCAGCATTATGATCAACATAGAAGAGGTCATAATTATGCATTGGATCGAGCTGCCATACCATAACAGTACAATGAAAAGAAACTAGCCCGATAAATACTGTTAAATACAGAGTTTTCCCCAATCCGGTAGTGTCAGAAGGAAAGTCACCAGCTGAGTGAATGTTCGGAAGGAAATTTCGAAAGGTCGTTAGCGGTATTTCGCCTACCAGCAGGACAAACAAACCTACAAACGAGTATGGGACGGCCACTCGCAGCTTCCAGGTGGGCGAAGGGGTACTTGTCAAGACGTATCAAGGTAACAGGAAGTGGGAAGCAGAGATTACCGAACATCGGATTGAAAATGTACTGTACTGAGTTTGGAGAAATGTCGGGATATGCATAAAACATGTAAATCGAATTCAAAGGGATGGCAGAACATTGATCGCACAAAGTCGACTTCCGTTCCAAATATCCGTGGATTCATCTCAAAAAAGCCCTGGGCAGAACGAATGTAGAAGACATAAAAGACGAAAGGGCAAAACGGCACAACTTTCAAGAGTGATGGACTGCAAGAGGAATGCTGTAGTCAGGTTTCAGGTGGATCCGAGAAAAAGTCTTACTCAAGGCTTTAAAGAGGGGAGGTTTGAGGACGGCCCACGTGCGAATTCGAGGAAGCTCTAAGAAGCTCAGAAAGAGCAGAAAACATTCGACCCAATCATCTTTTGGAGGAGCATTCCAGAATCTCGATGTGTAGCTTCCCCATTGAACAAATGCTAAAAACCACGGTGTGCGGATTGAATGAGTATAATGATGATTTCGCTCTTACTAAAAACTATGAAAACCTGAGAGTTTTGTACCATATTTGACACTGTTTGGCATAGCATTCCTGCTTACTCGTCTTCTGTCCTCTCATTCGCAACTTCGAGGGTTCTAGCATCCGAGCGCTCAAGTTGTACGCGATATATCAAGGGTCAATCAGTGTGAGACTAAAAACTGCATTGACAAGCTTATCCTGCAGCTAAACTGACTGTCCTGTCCAAAACAACATGTTCTTTAACACAATCAAAGATCGATAGGTACCTCTTTCATGTTACCACCAACTGTGCATACAAATTTACTTGTATCTGCCAAAGCAGTTACATTGGTAGAACAGGAACAAGAGCCTACGTCCGATTCAAAGAACATATTTCGAAAAGTCTAAGGTCAAATGGATTAAAGGTATTCGGCAGTGCTATCTCAAGGCACCTCCTTGACACAGGATATCAATTCGATATAGTGAAGTCTTTCAAGGTTATTAAAAAATATTCAAACTCCGATCTTTTGGAATTTGCCAAAGCGATTGCAATCAAACATTTAAAACCAGATCTATGTATCCAAAAGAAGCAGTAATAAATCTTTCTTTGACCTGATGACGTTACACCTTTTTCTTTATTTATTGCATCATTCATTATTTCAACTCTCTGAAGTTTGATTACACCATTGTCATTTTTCTTCAATTCATAAATGACTGATTTCAATCCATATCTTTCACTATTACCATTAATCTGTTTTCAGTTGCTTCATTACATAATCACCTAATGTCTGCTAACTCTATGAATTGTGATCACTAATTCAATGTTCTGGAACTTTCCCTCCCAAACTTTATTCATCTGAAACAAATTTTTATGGCATTATTAACTCTATCGGAATCTTCGCTACATCATGATACACATATCCAACTCTAATCACCCTGGTATTTGTAAGTATGTCGATATCTGTAATAACGTTGATTTTAAAATATTATCCAGGTTATAAGCAGCTGATGAGAACCTTACGAAATATAATGAACTCACATTATTCTGCAACAACTGTCATTGTTGCCCTCTTTACGTTATTTGTTAAATTGATCGGAGACACATATTTATCATCTTATTAAATAATAATATTTCGAAGTGATAAGTCAGGTATGTCGTCTTCTTTTATTCCTGTAAACTTAGTGAAATATAAGGTGATGAGTATAGCAACTTTCACTCTCTGTACATTGACAGTCTATAACCATTTTTTACCACTGTCCAATTCAACTTAAGCATATTACCTTCATACATACTTATCTAACCAATTTGAAGCACTGAAAACCTGGTTGTATGATTTTTAACCTTAAAAAAGGGAGGCCCTAAGCAAGAAGGAACTTGGAAGGTGTTATTTGGTTAACGGAACCACTTAGGATGAACGATAGTCATTTCAAACAAAGAGTAATCAGTATAATGAGGAAGATACTATACATTAAATACATGAACTAAGGTTATGGAAGCCTTAATATACAAGATTTATAGTACAACTTTGCCAATATGCTTGTTTCCTCTGTGTTTCCACTTTTCAAGACGTCCCTGGAAGTTCTCAAATAGTTATCTCGTTTATATTTTTTATCATTTGATATTTCATTACAACTGCGACGTCACAATGCCGTCCACACATCACCATCATGCATCTTGGGGACAAAAAGCAATTGCAAGTAGATAATTCTGGTAAAGGAAACCTAGTGTGGTGACAGAGTCACGGCTCACGGACTTGTTGTAGCTCAGTGCGGGTACTCATTGGACAAACAAAATACTTATTTTGGTCACTGATTGACTGCTTCGCGTTAGGTATCAAATCTAACTAATTTAGCAAATAATTTAGATTCGTAATAAAAAAAATTGTTCATATAATTTAGTTCTGAAAAAAAACTTACCAAAAATTTTTGTCGGTTCACTAGGCTGTGGTGGTAAATCCGGTGGTTCTGATGAACACGCACTTGAACAATCCATACATGAACAAGCTGGACCACCAGGATCACTAGCGCGTTTCGGAACACGTTGATTACATTGATAAGCCAATGAATCAAATGGCCGAATAGTTTGAAAATTTTTATAAATTGACGAATTGACAACATTAAATCGAATGTCGAATGGGCTACGACCACCATCAGTTGATTTGCCAAGGTTCTCTAATAATAACTGACGTGTACAATCAGCAGTACCACACATTAAACTTATTGCACGACTACTACCAAATGTAACCTCCTGTCAAAAGTTTTTTTTAAAAATGTGATGGTTTGATTCAGTTAAAGGACTACTATTGCTTTGGGTAAGCAAACAAATAACTCGTCTATTCGTGGAGGTTTGTATGACTAGTTTATTATTATTATTATTATTATTATTATTATTATTATTATTATTATTACAACGGTGGGTTCAAGTCTCAATGTGAACATCAACACTTGGATGCAGATACATTCAACTGATCAGTCCCGAATGAGACGAAATGTCTGCAACAAATTACAATGCTAACCACAGTCCGAATGTACAAGAATATATCATTTGTCTCCAGGAGTCTTAAAAAACTGAAAAATGAGAAGTTCTCCATTACTTGAAATTTACATATTTCCGTATTTAGCGCTAAACTACACCCCTAACCTCACAGGAAACAGACGATACTCAATGTTATATTGTGGAAATAAGACCATCAGCGACAATAGAGTAAACAGAAACAACTTACAGCACTTCACAGTCACATCTTTTAACTAGATTTTAAAGTAGAACTAACATCAGAACTACTTAATATCACGAAATATGGTTTACCAATGATAACTCCAAGACGGTTACTTTCAGTATAAATACTGGAAATAACCCTAAAACTCTTTTCGCTGAATGTTTCACACCATCATTCAAGCTATTCACCACAATGTACAACTAGACCGCACAATAATTATGTGGAGTTCAACTAGCCTATTCATATATAATCACTATTTTTAAGGTGAAATTACTGGATATAATTTGTTTGCCAGTCGCTTACTATTCAAGTTTAATGTACTTGAATGCGATTAAAACATATTTCCGATCTCAACCAACTCTACACGATTAAATTTATTGCAAAATTCAGTAAAATATTGAATAACAATGACATAACACAGTAAAAAGTGATCATAATGCCATACTGTTCTGAATTGCAACAAGATTAATACGCCATAGCAAGTTGAACAGACTACATAAACCGTATTAATTTCTCAAACTAGTCTAGCTTATGACTAACGACGTCATTTCGCCAAGCCATCACACTAACACAAAACTCCATCAGAATGATCGTTTTGTGTGATGAACAAATGTCAAGTTCAGTTTTAAAGATTTCTTTTAATAATAACTGATTCCTGTGAAAGTGTTATATCCGGAATTAAAATCCATTTGTACCTTATTGAAAAATCTATAGAACAAGCTGATTACGTATCCTCCCAGTTAATTAAAATAGTGAAGTAATTAGTAAGGAAAATGACTTCGAAAGGTGATTCGGTTGTAAGATAGTCTCTAACTTCAAGAAGTAAATGGGATTTAAATATGGTTTAGGGATCATATTTGGCATAAATCTTCTTGAAGGCAACAAAGTCCTGTGAAAAAAATTGAAAGGCTGGCCTAAATAGTACCCAATAGGATTTAAATAACTATTTAGCGAATATCAAAACTATTACTCAATGATATTTATTTCTTAATATTCACAGAACATGGCTTTTAACATCCAGGTATTTAAACAAATACGCAACAGACAGTACACTAAGCTCTCAATCCAGTTAAAAAGGATAACTCAACTTCTAAAATACTTGAGTCAAACGACCAATGTTTTATATTACAAAACTTATAAACATCCTTGAGAATCGAATAACTACTAAATCGTAAACCTTGAACTACCATAATCATTTTATGAGTATGTTCTTTGGTAATCCTTTTTAAGAAAAAAATGCCTCCAAAGCCGATCAAAGTAATCATGTTTTTATGTAAACAAATATTTTCAATGTTAAATATCATATTACCTTGCAACTATTGAAAAATGTATCTGCCATATGATCGGTTAATGTATACGTAATAGATTCAACCAATTTCCCATTAATGGTAGGTGTAATAAACTGTGCTTGATTTGGATCACATGTCATAGCACAAAAAAGCAGTCGAAAATTAGCGAAACATGCTGGGCATCTAACCATTTTTTTAAAAAGAAATTATTAAAATCATTTTATTAGTAAACTAAGAAGAAAATGGATGACATTAAGGTAAGATTAACTACGACAAAAGAACCCAAAAGTACCGGTTAAACTATAGTATTAGCATTGTTTACATAGTTATTTCAATGCAAATAAAAGTGTTACGAAAACAGTTATTCATTTATAAACAATATGATGCCTGGTAGAAATACATATCAGCTTAAGTTGTAACTGAGAATAGAAAACTGATAACATCCTTAATAAAGCTGTAAATAGATAGCTCTGTGTGGTAAGCGTTTTCATAGGAAAGTAAAACCATACGAACACGTCTCTTAGCATTGATAATGCAACTAACCAGTTGGGATTATAACTTGGACTATAGTTTAACAATCTACTTTCTCAAACCTATGAACACAAATTTAAAAGAAAAACGAAATGAAGTGGTGATGAAAGTAGAAGGGAGACATGTAATGATATTTTAAACTGAGAACATTTAAAAAATGATTTATCTGACCTACTATTATTGATGCACATTTCACAATCCATGTTGACGCTTCCTATAGCATAGTATTTTTTCAACCATTCGTCCTTTTCCTCAGGAACTACTCAAATATTACCAACAGCTATTATTTGACCACAAGTGTCACAAATTAACGAAAAATATTTTTTAAATGATATGGAGTGCTTTGAACTGCGCTATTCTGGGTACAGAATTAAAGACGCTACCCATAAATACGTGAAAATGGTCAGATGTTCCCCTTACTACATAGTTAGGACAATTTACAGTTCAATGAAGGTGGTATACAACGAAGGCTAATTTGGTTGTTATAATCTCAACTAGCCGTGTTTAATGCATGATTCAAATGAAAACAATACGTGGGTGTTATAGAATCGAGATAACTGGGTAAAAAGCAAGCAGAAATATACCTTTTTAACAACATAGCAGCAAGTGAAGCAGACTTTGAAAAATAGTTCAACTGATTTTCATCACAACAAACTTTTGAATTGCCCACAGCATAATTAGGACATAGACTGGATAGTGTTTTGAAACCATCGTTGCTTAACGCTTTCGCAGTACCGTTGTACGAACAATATCTTGGGTGTACAGGATCAGACGAATCACAAATGCCATACCAAATACAGTCACTGGATACAGAATGTATCCATAGGATAAAGCATACCTGGATATTGTGATAAAATCACGTCAGTATACCATGATGAATAAATTTCAAAGTGTTGGCAGAAAACTAGTTAAAAAACATTTAATCGAATAGAACTTACGACTTTTCGATTCTCGTGTCTTTTCATACAGACTGAGTGTACAGCATTTTCAAACGGGAAGTTTAATTAAGTCCCCGTAAAGACATCGGAATCTGATTAGTCACGACACGCTACTATGTGAAAGGTAGTAACTCCATTTAGTAAATAACGGAAGCTGCTTCAGCACATCACAGCCATTATCAGTAGTGATCCTGGTTTCATTGGAACGACATATGAATTTCACAGTTTATCACGTAGCAATCTATAAGATGTCTAAGACAATGAACAAACCACTTTGCAAGACATGTTGACCTGCTTGCCCAGCGAATTTCACTGTTATTATGTGCTCCAACTGGAAAAGCGGAGCTACAAAAGTAACCCTGAATGCTTAGATATTACTAGATACTTTACCATTTACAAGGATGGAGACAGAAATTTGACCGGAGAGCAGCTGTGTTGCGTGAAAATTAACGCTCAGCAGTGCTGTACCACCGAGTGACATTACTTTTGTAGTTATCAAAATTATCATGCGTGATGTAACGATTATCAGGGTGTGGGTAGATTATGTTACACCCAAAATATTGGTTTTCTTTACACTGTTTATATTTCTCAAAACGCATGACAAATTGACTTGAGTGGAACGGTTAAGTTTATTCCAGAATCCGAATGAACATGCCACATTTTTATCCACTTTTAACACCGTCATGGTTCGTTGGTAACACGCAACGCAGAACCAGGCAACATCAAGTGTTTTGACGGATGGCACCAAGGTTATATTTGACTTTCCGCACTAGGATCTGCTTCAGAATAGTCTTCTACACACAATCAATCACCATTCCTTGATAATAGCAACTGGAAAGATTGGTGTTTTAATATCTGAATAGCTACTTGAGTCATACAGGTAGAGTGTACAAGATAAACTCAGGGCTGCTTGAGAGAATACAGGACATACTTGACCTTTTTGTAACATAAGCATTGATGGAATAGTCGGGCGTACAACATACCTGTTTCTATGTGACCGGAATTCGCTAAGCAAAGGATATTCGACAAATTAGTAATTTGAAATCGCTGTCTATTAATGATGTGGGCGAGAATGATAATCGTTGGTTGTCTGCTTAGTCAGACATGTAGGTAGCCTGACAGGTGTCAGATGAGTTATATATTCCCCTATCCTTATTATTATTACTCACTTATTATTGATTGTTCATTGTTGTTGGATTGTTTCGGGCTAGGGTGTGGAAATATATTTACGTTGTGGTCAGGCTAAACACATTTTCTTGATCTGAGCTGTGTTGAAGTCCTGTAGAATGGAAACTGAGAGGGAATCTGGTATAGATATTCGTTTAAGGTAAATTAACGTCCCATATGTGTTAAAGTGGAAACCTGATCGTTATAACAATTGACGACTGCTCGAATATGATAACGTTTTTAGATGAAACGAGTATTAGTGTATATGTTTGTTAGGTGGAAGTGATGATTCAATGTGATACAGTCTCAAAGTACTGACTTAGATGACCCTAATTTGTTTTACGTATACCAATCTGGGGACTTCCATATGGCGTAGTATTTGTCAACTTGGGTTGGTATGGAAGGTGGAAAGGCAATAAGTCTGTAATGTGGAGATCCGGAATATAAAATAGCAGTACCGAGTTGATAAATGTTGGTTTATAAAAGTTCCTAGAAATGGTATAATCAAATAGACTCAGAACTAAGCAGGCAAACATGACGCAAAATCTCGCATGTGTCGTTTCACAATACTTTTTTTAAAACTCTGATAAATGTTGGGTTGAGTACAAGTGCACAGAGAACACTTATTAAGTAAAACTAAATAAGTCGATTTTGGAATAGACAAGTCATAGAGCGCTTATTTGTTAGAGGCAGTTTGACGAGTATTATTGATAATAAAAAATTTTATTTGAATCTTGGTTTGTAGCGTTTTATTCTTGTGATGCACTTAAGGATTTTGTCACAAACCGGACTACATAACCAGACTCATTTACTTCCTTATACGATCTGTCCAAACTTACTTTATTAGCATTTGCATATGCCTTGGGACGGAATATTGCAAGGCTGTTTGTAAAACATAGCGGTAAAAATATTACCAAGATATGTCAACTCACCACAAAACTCTAAGGGTTTATGATGAGAGACAAACGTATGTTCATTCAGACATATATTGTAAAAGTATACGTTCACTAAATAGATCATCTCTATTACAAACAAATTTGCCTACTTATGAAAAATATTTTTTGGGCAACTACTTTTATCCAAAAGCAAAAAATCAGTTGTTATGGGTAGCATACTTACGAAAACATAAGCTGCTGAACACAAAGCCATACGAAAGGTAGAAGTTCACGATTAGCGCGACCTTTCCAAGGATTTTTACTGTTGTTGTGAGTAAGTTAAACAAGTAAATCAAGACTCCAGTAAGAAATTTCCGCCGTCTTCATCATGATTTAGCACAACCTAGATAATTTTCTCTCATATTCATCACGTGTATTAGCAACCGATAAAGGTCTTTTTCGAAATGTTACTCAGCTAAAGTGAGTTTTCTTTCAACATCAAGTATGAGATTGTTATCTTATTTCAAGAGAAATAAAGACGTTAAGAAGTTCACCGAACAGTAAATCTGTCAAACATATCGTTGAGCGGTAGTCCTATGCTATCAGAAGAAATATTGTCCTATCTCTTTTTGGTACGTGATCATGGACACAGTCGACTAGAAGCTGATGGAAGCTGGTTGTACGTAAACAGTATGATCTTTGGGTATATCCGTCCATACCACATTCAGTGTAGTCGCCCACATGTTTAGTCAGTCTCGAACTTTTAATGGCTGTGAAAAGTCACTAATTGGGCTGTAGTAGGTCCATTCGACTAGTCAATTATTTATCTGCTCACTGTAGTTTAGACACTTAATGCACTATGTAAGAGAGTCTGATTGAGCACGTATCAATTTTTAATCTATTCTCCCATTGGTTGTAATACACAGAAAATCAATAATTTATACATACTTGATTATCACTCATAATATATATGGATTTTTAACACTCACACTCACACTCTTGGTTTCACTGTGCGCTTGCTTCCTATATACTTGTGGATTTTACCAATCTTTAACAATAAACTACCTCTATAACTGATGTTCAAGCCTTTGAATAATCTCTTTAGTAAATCCACAATTTTGCTAGCAGATTTAGCCTGCATTAAATACTCAGTTAACGGGATACTATTTATTGGAGTCAGATATAAGGGAAATTAGCCCCGACAGGCCCACTCAGTGGAAGTTGTATTCCGTGTATTGAGATCGAGCGATGGAATGCGAAAAATCAAGCTATTAGTACCTAGTCGAACACTGGATGTGATAGTTGTCATACCATCTCTGTTATCTTATCTTTTAAGGCGTTGCCTCCAAATGCCCTGGTATGGCCAAGGGTGGAGAGAGTCCGACCTCCTTCACAAAAGGCCCGCACATGGCCACTAGTATACAGCCACATCCACGGAAGTTCTACACCCTGCTTTTTCATTGTGGGGTGGTGTTGTTGACGAAACTGAGAGGACGAAAAGCGGATGTCCGGTGATTTAACTTGGTTGTGTGTACAGAGGATCCACCAAGTTGAGTTGGAAAGCCACAATTCCAAGTCATTGGCTCACATGGGAGCAAGTGTTGTATGAACATATTGTTGGCCACAAAATAGCATGAGACTTATTCTCCTAACGTCGCTCCACTGCTTTGTGGATTAAACCCGAAGGTCAAAAATTTGAAGATTAGCTCCCTTACAAACCTACCTACTTTTGATTGGGCACCCGAACAGTATCACAGCCCCCATACAAATCAGTAATAAGTGCTACTGGCTTCATTATTATTGTGTGGTGTATATATATTTGATGCCCTCTTGTACCAATCTTTATGTGTTCAGACAAATAAATAACTTCTGGGCGTTAGAACCTGTGGGGTGCCAGTATTTTTGTTCAGTCAAGTACCTTGTGTTGTCTGCGGTAAAGCAACTTCAGCATGTTCAGTTATTTCCATTTTCCATCTTTTATGTTTTATTTCATTGGAAAACGTCATGTCTCGCATGATCTAATATTCATATCGTGGACCATTTTTCTGTTAGAACTATGATATTCTAATTCAACTGGGAGCATATTTATTTAATCCCACCTAATTTACCTCTTGCTTCTCCTACGTTGTTAAAGGGGAAATGAGTGGTTTGCCTATTCGCTTGGTGCTTTGTTATTAAAAGTGAGTTGACCAGTTCTGTTGAGACTGGCCACCACATGATTTCTGCACTTGTAAACGGTCACGTGTGACTGTGGTCTTTATATATTTAAGACACAAAGACTAGGCGACACTTTGAGCAGTTGAGACGCATTTGCGTACGTTAGATGTTAGAGCGGTTATTTAAAGAGAGGCCTAATTCTAATTCTACTATTATTCCAGTCTAGTTGTCCACTGAATTGTATATTAAGATTTGATCCCGTTCATTATTACTGCACTTGTTAGTTGATACCATCACCTAAATATACATGCACGAACTTTTGTACTCGAGTTCATATGTAATCCATATATTCTTAAACATCGAGTTAGAAATATGGAAAATAACATTATCATATGCTCAACTGTCTTTAGTGTAGATCGTAAAAATTACCACCTGAAAGTCAGTGTGGTGTCTGTGTCAATAACAGTTTAATGTGAGATGCAGAATCGCATAGAGAACGATTCAAAAAAATTTCATATACCTTCTGTGACCGGTAACGTTGAACATCTGTTGCTAATAATACGCTATCAGAAGGCCACACCCGGAAATTTCATGATTTAATGTATTTCCCACAAAAACGTCAGCAGCAGACTAACTAGGAAGAACCACCTAACATGCAAATCTTAATGACGATTGACAAGGAAAGTTCAAAATAAAAAGTCTGAATATAGTTTACAGCTCATGCAATACAGTAGCTTAACATGATAGGTCTTTACATCTTCTGTTGCCCTTCCATTCAAATGTTTTCATGGCACTTTTGAGTCTACACAACCTCATCCGTTTATAGATTATATGTTGTTTTTGGTAGATCCACAGACTAATTTATTGCTAATGTTGAGTAATTTATTTCCGCAAAATCAACACAATACTATTGACTGATTCACTTAACACTGTGCATTTATGTCTAACCAGTCGGAACATTAAATATACACTCACATAAATCAGTGAAAACAAATGAATACTATGGAAACTATAAGAAGCCAAATGACTTATTACATCGTTTAGAATACTTCGATAAAGTTAATTTAACATATATATTTCATTAAACATCAATACACACTCATCTTCATTAAAGAAATATCATTTCAGTTCAATTGCGTTCAGTCATTTCTATTGGACTTTAGTTGTTTAGTTCCAGTGTACATGTTAGTTAATTCAATTATTTAAATACATATTCAAGAACGATTGTTTTATAGTTTTTACTTGATTCATTTCTTCTTAATCATTGAGTACAAAGATAAAGAATAAAACTGCTTGGCAATTCATCAGTTTGATAAATTTAATGCAAAATGACTAAAAAATTGAAATATTTTTATTATGCTAACTCTAGGATTACCCATTAACAGAATATATTTCAATAAGAAAGAGTTCACGAAAAGTCATGCATAAAGCGAGAGAAAAAAATCCTGGAACTTAAGAAAGTGAATAAACAATGATATCAATCATTTATACCTGCAATTTTTTTTCCAAAAAAAGACCAAGAACAAAAATGACATGGATTTTCCAGTTACCAAATAGAAACTTTTAATAACCACTTATAAATTTACTTCAATGTTCATACTACTAATCAGTAGTTAAATGTTTATTACTCAAATCTTTTCTATACAAAAAAATGAGACAGTAGCTCAACTATACTAATAATAATGGTAAATGATAAAAGATACGCTAAACAACAACAAAAAAAAGAACTCTGGTTAAAAAATAAGAATAAATTAAAATTTTCAAGGGGTTATTATTATTATTTTTTGGTTAAAATTAGCATGCTTAATATAGATAAAATAAATGCTTAACATAAAGAATGCTGATTCCCTTATATAGAACTATTTCAGGTGAGTTTTTATATTTTACATGATAAATGAATTTTATTTGTTTCGGTATTTTGGGTACTTTTCCTTTCTTTTTTTTCCTCAAAATTAAATGCATGAAATACTGTTTTTTTTTAAAAAAAAAGGTTTATGTTTGAAATATTCAAAAGTGAACTTGATGCAAAAACATAAAGGAACATTACCACTTCTTGAATGCACTCATGTATAATTGGACAATGTAAGTGTATTTGAGACTGATGACATTTATTTTTGTTGTCTTTCTTTTGAATACATGGAATTAACATCAAAAGTTGAATAGAGTCGTCTCATTTTTTTTATAAATAATGAATAAATGAGCATAGAAATATTAGAATTATGAATATTCCAGAAAGATTACACATAATAGCTGAACATTTTGGATAACAGAATAATGCAGCTGATACAACAGCATTTGGACGATAGAATGTTTTGAACCAATCAGATTTTTCAAATCGATTTCTTGTCGCAACTTCAATCTAGAAAAATTATATATAAAAAGAAAGAATCATTGAGTTGGTAATATGATCAAACTACTTTTATGAGAACTACATACGATAGAAATAAAACCAATAGGAGACTTTTATAATAGAATTATAACAAATTAAATCAACCAACACCTTCAAAACCATCACATGAAATACTGGATCTTTGTGGTGTTTGTATGAACTAATGAATCCTTTGTACTTGTTGACTGCTTTGATTTCAAATACCAAATACAATACGTTCATTCGTGCTTATCTAATACTTCGTGAAAATGCATTATTTTGTGGGATTCCTGGTTTGTATTATAATTCAAATACTTCTAATTATCACACTGCCGTTGCAATGAAGCATCTGGTGGAATGGTTGGGCATACATTCAGATTTTGATGCTTTTGAGGATTACTTGGAAAGGTTCGAAATCTGGATTATGACCAAGGAAGATGTTGAAGATGTTAATATTATGGCACATTTACTCACATTCATCGGAAAAGAAGCATACAGCTTATTAAAAATTCTGGCTTTACCAGAAAAGCCTATTTCACTTTCTTATGCAATTCTCAAGGAACTATTGCTAGACTATGCCAATTATACAAATTTCGAATGCGGTAAAGGAGGAAATTTTAGTAAAATGATTCATCAGGACATCAAAAATTCCACTACATTACTACGTCATCCCAATCCACTGCGTACTCAAAGTTATGCAGATGATTCATTGAGTTGCGATACAGTTGACGAAGATGGACACAAGTTTTGTCAATGTTTGTCCTGTGACAGGTTTCGCCAATTTAATTCCTGTGTATTTCGTAATTTCAAATGATTTAAATGTGGTAAGATTAGATACGGTTCAATTAGCTGAAACTAATGCTAGAATTCGTTATTGTGGTCCTATTAAGTTGAGTGCTTCTAATGATCATTTATCTTTATCCACGACTTCGAAAAGCAGTATAGGGTCATATAGCAAACCAGAGTTAAATGAAATTCAGAACCCTTGTGAAATAAAAGTTTCTAATCAATCAACTTATCAGATTTCTCATGTTATTGTATCAGATATGATTTGTTCTGATGATTCACATATTTCTGATGAAATTTCTTACAAATTTGAGAAAAACATGTTGAGTGAATCAAATGATGATCGAAAACCTGATACAGTTTTGATAGATTCTGATTTTTCTAGGGACCCATCACCATCCAATTACATTCTTAATGAATTTGAGGAAAACATTTCAGAAAACTCAAATCTTGATGTCATATCAGATGTTATTTGTCCTCATAATGCATTTGTTTCTTGTAGAGAACTTGTTCAATGCAAAGCACGAGTCCTAAATGAACTCGATCTTGATTACAACTCTGATGATTTCATATCAACTGTTGTTTCTCCTTATCATGAAGTCACTTCTAATGAATACTCTAATCAGTATGAGAATTATGTTTTAAATGAAGCCACAACATTCATAACTTGGGGATATGAAGATCCAAAACTACTTCGTGGGGTAGGATAGTGTTGGAAAATCTATGGTTCAAATTCTAGATATCAGTGGTTTCAGTACGCAACCGACGTGGTGTTTGTATACAATCCCATGACCCAGGTGAGTTGTTTCAATTTTGGTTGCTAATCCTAATACTTATGAGCATATTCTAGATCATACAGAGTCTACATTCAATACTCGATCGGACAGGCACGATGAACCTAAGGAGAAGAGGGACAATTGACTGCAGAATTTTGGATTCTCATTTAAGCTGTGGCAAATGTGGTGTTTGTATGAATTATATATTATTATGTACAATATATGAACTGCGAATGGATTAAGATGATGGACATTTGTTTCATTGTATTCGAGATTCGTTTGTTGAATATACTTGAATCTAAGTATTGATATTCTTATGGGTACCTGACACATCATTATGAAGAATCCAACAGAATCACTTATGAACAGTGATTTTCAATTAATATAATAGTTGAATAGTGTTTCTGAATCATACTTCAATCGTTAATGTTAGAGGATGAAAGTTCAATTTTATTATGAAATTCCCATTGGGATAAAATAAACTCAATGTATACGCTTGATATTGAAAATAATTGGTTGATTATTTTCTTTTACAAAATAGAGTTTCATATTTTTCTACTACATTTGATGATATACAGAAAAGAAGCGAGAAAAATAAGTCTTAAGTCTTTAAACACCACATAATTACTAAAATATCCACAAAACCCCTTCTGATACTAATCAGCATATACTAACTAGTGACTGGCTTCAAGATGTATATCCTGGAGTTCTAGTGAGAAGCAGTGACTAGTGGAGTTCAACCGGGTCAGTTGTGAGATAGTAACTCACTGATGACAATAGTGTATGTGTCTCTCAATTTCGTGGATTTGTTGAAGTTAGACATTAACATCGTTGGGTTCCGGTCGGCTCAGTGGTCTAGTGGTTAAGCGCTCGCGTTCGAGACTGATAGATCCTGTGTTCGGATCGTGGGATGTGGATGTGCACTGCTGAGGAGTCTAACTATAGGATGAAAGGCCGTCCAGTGCTTCCAGGTTTTCCATGATGGTCTAGCTTCAATTGGCTCATGATCTCAACAACTGAAATTACTAAAATCTTCACAAAAACCCTTCTGATACCACATAATTATTAAAATAGTATCCATATTGGTTTGACCTAAGGTTACTTGAATATTTAAAACTTAACGTGTTAGATATGTATACACTTATGAATAAAAGTAGTTGCTATACAAATTCCGACAATTTTGCAAATCAAATTAAGGGGATTTTCATTGCAACTACATAGTAAATAAAAAAAGGTTAGTAGAAAACCTGGAAAGCAATGAAAGACTACGTTAAAACTACAATATCAATTGCAAGTAGTCTAAGCCATACTACATACATTTGTTCAGCTTAGTTATTGGACTGCGATATTCACACTGATTAATGACTGGGTGGTAATTTATGTTATATCTGTCAATCCTACTTGAAAAGATAAGTGATAATGTCTCGTACTATGAAGTTAGGTGGCCGGGGTACCAATCCCAGAGGTACTGTTAGTTTCTCATCATTTAAAACAGAAACATCATTTTCATTCAAAATTTGAAGCCAATTTTAATACGAACCTGTAGCTAGAATTGATAGAGTCTAAGATATTTCTACTTTGTAGTGAGCACAACACCTAATCATTACTATTACCACTACTATTTCTAATTCGACATGTTTGCTATTTATCTTGCTAACATGATCTTGTCTTATTAATGTGATTTAGCGAACTTGGCTTTATTGAGGTGACCCTTTGGGGTTTGCCACTCAATCTTTGGTGATCTAAAAGCATCTAACACTCACAGATAACGCAAAACTAAGAGTCAAATAGGGAGATTTATAGAAATGTATATAATAAACAACCTGTAGGATTAATAAGAGAGCAACTCTAAACAGGCAGGAAGCAAATGCATATATATAATCAGCACGACAAACAAACATAATGCAGATTATTCAGAAGTTCAGTTACATAGTTAATTGTATAAAATATAAAATTGAATATGATGCGAATAAACCGAGAATAAGTGTACATCAATTGAAAACCTGTTAATAGTTAAATGAAATATTCAGGCGTATATCAAATGGGGCTACTAACACAATAACTCACATTTATACCATGATTTACATTGATTATAACTGATTGATTCTGATTTTTAATTTCAGTTAGTTCACTATAAATAACTAACAATATCTAATTGCAACTAGGTTTTCACTAGTTCCCTATCTGATCCCAGTTTGTAATCAAATCCAGCTTTAATATTTTCACAAATAAATAGACAATTGTTATTTTAAAAAAAGATGTTTCAAAATACCTAAAATTCATTTTACCCCATTATACGGTAACATCTTGGCTCTAAGTTGATCAAAGTTTTTACTTTCATTCTCGAGCGAGGTGTTGTAAGATGATTAGATTGATTTTGTGAAAGAATACATGTTTTTGATTGAGATCATGAACCGATTGATGTTAGATCACCATTGAAACCTAGAAACACTGGACAGCCATTTCGTCTTATTGTGAGACTCCTCAGCAGTGCGCATCCACGATCCCGCTCGCGTGATTCGAAACCGGGGCCTTGGTCTCGCGTGCTCATGCCTAACCTATAGATCACGGAATTGGCATCCAGCGGTGTTAATATCTAACCTCAACCAATCCACAAAATTGGGCAACCATCTTTCAGATCAGATTGCAAGGCGAAACGTTGGGTTTACTTCAAATTTATTCGCTGAGATTTTACAAATACATTCTTCGTCTTTAAAGTCATTATATGTTTGAAATGTTTGGTAATATTTGAGAAAAACAAACATTATTACAATATAAATTTTCGTATAATTTTTCCTGATATTTGTCAGTAGTACTGTGTTTATGTGTATAAAGTGTGGAATATGCTCTCGGTAATATTGACATACATGTATTGTACAAGATTTGTTCGGATATAATGCATAACTTATAGATAAATAATTATTTATCATTGCAAATACTTCGACGAAACTGATTTACCTTTTAAAAAGACCCAACTGTATTCACTTGGTGTTGTTTAATTATATCTTCCTATTGTCATTTAGGACTGCAATCGATCGGTCTCTTGATGGCATATATGCATCCTGTGCGAACTGCCTCAAAATTGCCTGAAGTCACAAGCTTTATAAGCTAAGTGGATAACGCGATGGCGTTAGAAGCGAACGGTATTGAGTCTGAATCCCAGAGTGAACATCAACTCTGAGATGCAGGTACATCCAGCTGATGAGTCTCAAATAGGATGAAACGTGCATCCTGGATTCCACTGCTAGCCCCTATCCATCTTTGCTTATAAAACCCAACTGGTCTAAACTAATTTAATTAAGTTGGATAGTAACTAACAGTAGAATACAAGACGAGGGTTTTGTAAGTTTGAATACTTCAGTTGAATATACCTGCATTTCAGTGTTGATATTCACTAGAAGAGTCGAAACCAGTACCTTTCGCTCTAAACGTTAACACAGTACCTATTGAGTACAGAGAGGCAATAGCTTTTATAAACCTTTACAAAAATAAATCATTTAAACTTACTTCATAAATTACTTGGGTATCTGGTACTGGTATTTCACATGGTATTGGATTATCACCAGCCCATTTAATGCCAGTATATTCATCTTCTTCTGTACCAACAACATTAAAATTTTCAATATTATCATTTTGATTATTATTTGAATAATTTATATCAAGTGTTGATGCTGAAGCTAAATTTTTACAAACTTCCACATCAGACCAATCTCCATAACCAATTAATTGTGTTGGATCATAAGTAGAATTAGATTTAGCTAAACGATATCTAACTAATAAATCTGATAGTTCTGGTCTTGCACCACCTTCATATGGGCATGGATCACCCAGAAATGTAGAAAATCGAAGATATTGAGATGTAGGACTCAAGAATACAATATTCTATTACAAAAATAAACATAAGGATAAATTATTAATAATAAACATGTGGAAATAATTATGCAACCATAATTAAGTTAAACGTTAAAGAACTTCCTATTGTATTCTATGTGAAAGATAAAATGGAGTATTTGTATGAATTCGGAAACTAGTTACAAAATACCCATCCACTTTTATTACTGTTTTTAAAACTATCATAATGTTTTAATTCATTTTGTACTGTTTGTTTGAATCTTCCCATTGATGTTTAGGACCGGAATTGATCAGTCTCCGCACAGAATGTATATATGCCAATACAAAAATTAATTAAGCTTCATGTCATTGCACAAGCTAGTGCTTATTAGGAGTCAGTAGCTTGGTGGATAATGCAATGGCGTTTGGAGCGAACGGTACTGGGTTCTGGTCCCAGAGTGAGCATTAACTGCAAGATGCAGGTACTTATAGTTGACGAGCCTGAGATAGGATGTAACGCGCGTCTTGAATTCCACTGCTGGCCACAGTCCATCATTGCTCAATATAATAGTATTTTATTATAATTCTTAGTATATGAAAACTAGTTCTACTGGGAATTAATTTAACTATCTCCAAATTAAATAATATTGCAGTGAAAGAGAACACAGGTGAGGACAACCGATTATATTCAGCACAAAATTACAGAGTTACGTGATAAAATAGAAAAACCATACTCCAATACTTCATTTGCAAAATCTTCATTAATTGCCTCAGATTTTATTGTTCCTGAATTTCTATACCGATTGCTTTCTGTTCCCGTTCTTTCCTCTTCGATCTTCTCAACCTTCTGCTGCAAGACATTCTATTTCTGACTAGCGTTACATACTATTTATGTCGACATAAGTAGCACATACTACAATGTCAGTAACTGGTTAGAAATTGCAACTACTGGATTGCAGCTTAAAAAGTGTGTTAAAAGTAATTTTGACTGTTAACTCAAAACAGAAAGTACTCAGGGTGAATATGTTGATGTACATTTCTACAGAATTTCATACAATGATGAAACAGCTGGTTTCAATGATTGCCCTGATATAGTCAGTCTGTGATTTAAACCATTTCTTTTTTAAAAAATACTACTATTCAGGGTAAACAATTATCGTATTAGCCTATAAGACTAAATAACTTGTTATGAATAACAAGAAGATTTTGAACAGTTGACTGTTGTTATAAATAAATAATATATTTGTAATATCCAAATGATTAGAAGAATTAGATGTTCTGACGTTTCGTGACTTAGTGTAAGCCACTTCTTCAGAGAATAAACACATCAAATTAAAATTAATCCACGTTTAAATAGTACAAAGGAACAACAAGAATATTATATCATTGTTCCTTTGTACTATCTAAACGTGGATTAATTTTCTTTTGATGTGTTTATTCTCTGAAGAAGTGGCTTACACTAAGTCACGAAACGTCAGAACATCTCATTTTTCCACTTATCTGAATATTACAAATATATTAATTTATTTATAACAATCTATCCAATCCTCAATTTATTCGAAATTATGAAGTCAAACCATGGTAATGACACCTATATTTAACTATTGTGTCCAAAAAAGTTATCAATGTTTTATTCAATTTCAACACCTTATTGTATTATTTTTCGATAATGCAATGAGAAGACGAAGGTTATCAGAATTATGTTATATATTTGCGCAATACATTTCCAAATCAATCTGATCACACATATACTTATTAAGACATTTTATATGAAAAATCAACAGGTCAACAAGACAGGTTAAAGGTAAGCCGTAACAAAGAGAAATAAAGTACACGAAAACAATGTGATAACCATTATGGATAATAAATCATTTGGATTAATTAAGTACTGAAAGGAAATGAATATAAAGACAAAGACAATGTAATCCTTTGATGTGAACGCTTTATTTACAAATGTACCTCTTAGGAAAACTATTGATATTTTGTATGATTATATCTCATCGAATAACCTTTCATTACCATTTCCTATTAAAACCCTTAAAGGCTTATTATTATTGTGTACAAATAATGTAAAATTCACTTTTGAGTGTGAGCACATTAGGACCTGTTGTGGATGCGAAGGAATAGACCAATAATTATCATGTTAAGTCCAATGGTGTCCTTGGACTTTAAATGGACATTTCCTATTGGTCGATACCTGTTCACTTGTTGAATATTGTACAAATGTTGTTTTCTATTTTATGGTACGATGTGGTGTGCTTGGTTAGTATATAAATGGAGTATGTTTGAAATATAATGATTCATATCTCCGAGGCTGTGACTTGTGTTCTGGACTCAACTAACTAAGCTAGACAGGGAAGTGGGACCAATCGAGACTCTAGGCCATCCGTACGTGTTCACGTGTCATTGGATTGATCGATAAATACGCTGTTCTCTAATCTCTTCAGTCAAGGACACAAAAATTAGCACAGGGTAAAAATCGACTGCAACATAAAGTCATAACAGGACCGTTACTGGCTGATGTGTTTAAGGGATTTATTGAAAATCTAGCTGAGGGCGCAAGTCAAATGATGTGTCTGTATAAACGGTACAGTCAACTTGAAATTAATTAATGTTACTCAATAATTATGAACGTAACTATTATATTTTTACCGTAGAAATGTAATGAATTTTAGAAATGAAATAGATATACCCTAGTTACTATTATTATTATTGGGTAGATGGGTAGGGAATGATCATGGTCAAATATCTAATATATATTTCATCCAATCAAAAAATAAAAGTTTTATTGATCAATCAATGAAGGGACATTATTAGGAATGACCATTAATGTATATATTTAAAGAATATAATTCATTCATTCATGCTCTAATTATTTTACTGGAAACTACTAGTGAATTCAATTGCTGAAGAAAATTGAAGATGGAATATATATATATATATATATATATATATATATATATATATATATATATATATATATATATATATATATATATATATATATATATATATATTAATATCTGAAGTAACCGATTTGCATGAAATAATCAAGATATTCAATTAGACTAAGATGTAGTTCTGCGTAATAGGATCTCTTTTGAACTCATTAATGATCAATTTTCTCTTCTTCCACTAATCTAGAATGATAATCTAATAAGAAGTATAAATGAGTTTGATATAAGTGAAAAAATTTTCGGTAGTATTCGACACCAATTGACTTCAGTTTGGTTGGGATCCGCGAGACAATAGCAACTGATGGTTACAAATCTTGAATGACATGGGTCAAAATCGTTTAAAATGGCGTAGGTGCATCCACTCTTTGTGTTCTCTTAAATTCTAATCTTCTGAATTCTTCATTTCCCTTTTCTTTCCTCTTTCGAAAGTTATTCCACTGGATTATACTCCTTGAATAACATCTTCAAACCCTAATCTTTCGGATTACTACTTATACTTTTACTGCCTCTACCAATATGGGATTTGAATCGACAACTGCATCTCTGTGCTAATGTGATATGGCAACTTGAACTGATGTACATACGTACGACGTTCTACTTTGTTGCTAACTAGCTGATAATTTGGTTGCAACTGAAAATTAAGCACCATTAAACAACTGTTTATTAACATTGTCATCAATCATTCCAATATTGAACAGTTTCACATTTAATGACCGGATTATCTAATCCTTTAGAGTAACGATGACATTCGAAGGAGATCTATATAGAATGAAAAGATCGTGAATTCCAATAGAGTTTATCCTATTAATTAAATCGTTAAACGTTCATCAGGATATTCATCAGTTTTCAAGTGCTTACAAAAATATTGATCCTAGAATAAAATTAGTCTATCCTTATATTCAAGTTTTTAGTTTTTAAGTTTCAGTTAGTGTTAATATTGTTTAAAATGACAATAAACACTAATAGGAAACGTTAGATATCAGAAAACAGTTGATTGATGAAAGAACATATCTATTCGTACAAACTAGGTTCATCGTCTAACTCACTTGTTTTTCTGGTATATTACAGTTACAAACTCAACTACAAATTCAGTTAATTATTAAAATTTAAATACTAACACCAGAGATTAAACTAGTAACTAAGCATTTTTGCAAACGAAATGTTTATTTTGCATACAAGGATCAAGGTATACTGTAAAGGGAATCTTAAATAATTACTAGAACGATCGTATGATTTTCTTTTTAGCTAGTCAGCAAAGAACCTACCTGTCATAAATGAACACTATTTCTCAATAGAAGTTATAAAAAAACTATTAAAATTTAGTGGTTTTATAAAGTTTATTGATTTTCAAATGTTGATTATTAGTTTTCATAACCCTTGTTTTTTACAAGAATATCACCATGTAGCATCATTGATCCGGATGAGAGTTTATCCATATTAAGCGGTTTTTTTTCTGGATCTTTTACATAACCATAAATAGTTTTATAAGGAATTCATCATATTGATTACTAAATTTTCCGAAAACTTGGGAAAATTAAATAATGGCAATGATAAGCAAAGATGGATAGTGGCTAGCAGTGGAATCCAGGACGCGCGTTTCGTCCTGTTTGGGACTCGTCAGCTGGATGCACCTGCATCTCAGAGTTGATGTTCACTCTGGGACTCGATGGGAAGATGGGAAGATTCAAGTAAAACAATACTAAGTGAAATAAACTTCACCCTATTGCACAAGCAAGTGGCTATCAGGACTCAGTAGCTAAGTGGATAATGCAATGGCGTTAGAAGCGAACGGTAGACTCTTAAAAGTCTCACGTTGTCTTTTTGTTTTTGGTGAGGATTTGAGATTAATGACTAGAATCACGGGATTCAAAATGAGAGTTTTTATCACAAACTGACATCAACTGTATTTCGAAACTACTTTGTATCTATATGGATAGATAGATTCTATCTGATTAATTCTCTAATCAAATATTAAGCCAATAGGGGAAAAATTTATTTCAGAATTGAGTATTTAGGGTTGAGATTTATTGGCAGTATTCATTCGTCTGTTATATAAATCTACATAGAAAGAATTAGGAATTTGAATTTGTATAATCATTCAAAACATTCTAAAAACTGTAAGAATATATTTTAACTAGTAGTTTTATCTGCTTTTGAGATGGTGGAGAAGATTTGTAGCTCAGGTGGATGATTTTGGTGGTGTTTTGTTCTCTGAGCTGGATGGTTTGGTCGTGGAGCTTTCATCGTTCTTCTGAACGACATCATCAGCACAAACTTCAGATAGAAGTGAAGTGTTCGAATTCCTCCATATGTGTTTCACAGCTTGTTCTGTGCACCTCGATGTTGATTGGTTCTTGTTGACCTTAAATTTATCATTGTTTACTTCTTTGTTTTGGTTGTGTCTCCCATTGGTTTGATTTTTGTTCCTATATTTATGCATGATTTTCCTGATTTTCCAATCAGGAAATTCGAACACTTCACTTCTATCTGAAGTTTGTGCTGATGATGTCGTTCAGAAGAACGATGAAAGCTCCACGACCAAACCATCCAGCTCAGAGAACAAAACACCACCAAAGTTTTATCTGCTATTTGAATTTTGCTTAAAAATGCAAAATAAACCTTTTTAATTTTAATAGTTGTGATCATGAGTCAATTGAAGCTAGACAACCATGGAAAACCTGGAAGCAATGGACGGCCGTTTCGTCCTATTGTTAAATTCCTCAGCAGTGTGCATCCACACCCCACGAACCATACCCAGGACCTATCAGTCTCGCGCGCGAACGCTTAACCACTAGACCACTGAGCTGGCCAACATCCAAGGGCGTTAATGTATAATTTCAACTAATCCACAAAATTGATCGACACATCCATTATTGTCTTCAGTGAGTTACTATCTTACAACAGACCCGATTGAACTCCGTCCAGTGCTTCTAGGTTTTCCATGGTGATCTAGCTTCAATTGACTCATGATTTCAACTATTAAAATTATTACAATCTCCATAAAAACCCCTTTCTGATACTTTTTAATTTTGTTTGGTTTGTCTCTATACAGTACTTTTGCGTCACATATTTTATCTGATGAAATTTGGTCACACATTTTGAATTTTATACAAAATCTTTAAAGTAAATTTCCTGTTTATCTCTGTACTATACCTTAATTGTTCTTGCTTTTTTTGTTATACCGAAATCAAATATAACTCTATCAGTGACATATCTATATGTTTATGTTTAAGAGCTATTGACACTTACTAAAATTAAGACTACACCGAAGATTATATGGACCAATATTAAGCTACTCTAATCAATACATTTCAATGGATAAATTCATCTAAACGGAACCATTTTATATTTCTCTTTCTATCTACCTAAATAGCTATATAGTCTTTATATTATTGATCAAGCTACACAGTTTGTTTTTTCCTGTCATCGTTTTTTTGTATTTCCTATTCGTCAACTATATCTATATGTTTATGTTATCCTAGTTTCTGAAACAATACTTTTTTTAAAAATTTTGTTTGAAAGGAAACTTTCCTTTCTAAATATCCCTTCCTTATAGTAATGAATAAATCAATATATATATATACAATGAATTATTTAGAAGATATAATACATATACATGGAACATAATTTTCCCTAAGAGATTTTATAATAGTCAATATATATAATTTATCACTAATTATGAATTAATCATATTACGTAATCTTGTGAATGATTAATGAGATTGAATAAATATGATGTCTGGTTTATGAATGAAAATGTAAAGTACTGTGTGTTGCCAAGTGAAATGTTACTTGATCATATAAGGAAACTTTTAAAATTATTATTCCCTACATTGTTATTTTTAGTAGTTTATTTTTTGGTTGATAACACTTAATGTTATACATTACTCTAAGATGTAAATAGTAGTATAAGAATCAGTCTATCTTTAAGTACTACAAACGTTGATAGGTATTGATTGATCCTTGATCAGTGTTTGATTTTATGTTTGTCTAGTGCTTTAGCACTGATCAACTGCAACCAACTAAGTGATAGTAAGTTCACTAGTCTTACTTACTTACTTACTCCAACCCACTCTGTCCTGGGCCTTCTTTTCTAGTTCTATCCAATTATTGTTAATTTTTCTCATGTCTATTTCCATTTCCCGGCGTAATGTGTTCTTTGGTCTTCCTCACCTCCTTTGGCCTTGACGATTCCATGTGAGGGCTTGTCTTGTGACGCAGTTGGGTGCTTACCTCAATGTGTGTCCTATCCACTTACAGCGCTTCTTTTTTTTTTTTTTTTCCGCTGTGATCTGGTTTGTTCTCTCCCACAGTACGTTGTTGCTAATAGTGTCCGGCCAACGGATCCGAAGTATTTTGCGTAGACAGCTGTTAATAAACACCTGTGTTTTCTGGATGATGGCTTTCGTAGTTCTCCAGGTTTCTGCTCCATACAGTAGAACTATCTTGACATTTGTGTTGAAAATCCTGACCTTGGTGTTGGTTGACAGTTGCTTTGAGCTCCAGATGTTCCTCAGTTGTAAATATGCTGCTCTTGATTTGCCTATCCGCGCCTTCACATCCGCATCAGATCCACCCTGTTTATCAATCATGCTGCCCAAATATGTAAAGGTTTTTACATCTTCCAAATCTTCTCCGTCAATTGTGATTGGATTGGTGCATGCTGTGTTGTATCGGAGAATTTCGCTTTTCCCTTTGTGTATATTGAGACCCGATATTTCATGTACTATGTTTTAATATCAGTTAGTTGTAGACAGTCTTCTGGAAATCCTAGACTTAGGTTTCATGATGGTTATTATTGTTCAGCAAGGCATACTCATAACAATGAAGGAATTAATTGTCCCTATTGCATTCGAACCTTTTGTGATGTTTGAGTCACGAGTGACCTTCAATAGAAATGATATGATCACAATTACTTATCAAGGAATACTGATCAACGTCATATTTACCAGTATGTGAATGTGGAGAGTGTTGAATTTATTCAAAATTATGAACCGATCTAGGTTAAATTACCATTGAAGAACTGGAAGTATTGGACATCCGGTTCGTCCCAGTAAGGACTCCTCAACAATTCCCATCCGTAGACTCCTACCAGAGGGATATAACTCAGGACCTTCGGTCTAGCGCAAATTCCGGGATCTAACAGTGTTAGTGTCAAACTCTAATCAGTTCGCTATATTGCGTAATCATCTCAAATTGATTTTGCTGAGTAACTGCCTAACACCATACACGGTTTAACTACACTGTCTAGTCACTCAGTACAGATCAAGTTTAATCCTTTGCTTTAAACACTAACAACAACGATAGCTACAGGAATAGAGAAACTAAAAGAAGAAAAACGAAAAGCGCTCTCACTTTAATTGTTGGTGCAGTTTCAAGTTTTTTAGTCCATAAAGTAAATTGTATCATTACACTTAAACCGAATTCATTACCAGATGACCATTCAAATACATATTCCGTATCTGGTATTAAATTTTTCACTGGTATAACAGCAGTTTGTGGTTGTGCACTAATTGAATTTAATATAGTTCTATCTAATGGATCATTATCATTAGCTGTGATGCAGACGGTTGTCCTTCTGAATCTAAATAAACTGATAAACTTGCCAATGTAGATGATAAATGAAATGTCTATGAATAAATAAAGAAGAAACAAATGAAACCTTTAAAATTTAAAGTTAATTAATAAAAAGTTTAAACTCAGACTACTGACTGTGTTATTTCAATGTTTAATAAGTGTACTATATTTAGCAATTTCAGTCATATTTACAATCATTTAGTGTCATTTCACTTTACACTTTTTTAAAATGGATAACTTTTACTACATTTGTGCTTTTCATAAACAATGTCTGACTCTCCTTCACTGGATATGTTCACAGAGGATATTTCCGAATAGCATCAGTAGTGAGATTGCAATTTATGAACGACCTTCGAGGAATGCTTAAGTGAACTTGAAAATGTAGACCAACTTACTAGGGTTAAATGAGGATTAGAAATTAGTGTGAGGATTTAGGATTAGGATTAACAATTTGATATGAGGGTTAGAATATGAATTATACTTTTGCCGACATTTTTTCTAGCCATATAGAAGATTGGCTAGCTTCGAGTTACTGTCTAGCTGAGATTTCGTCAGAAACGATGACAAATTGGTTTCTGACAAAGTCACTAAACGAATTCAGAAAGCCTACTTGGTTTCCGATGATGCACATCACTTGTGGAGTACGTCAGACATCTATCTGCTAGCCAAAAAAAAGTATACTAAACAGAAGTTTGTTGTGTTCTATTTTATGGAGATAAAACGTGGCGTTTAAAAATAGGGGATATTTGGAGATGACCAGTATTTCTTGGAAGCATTACTCACATCTGCTGGAACCAGTGAAAGAGCATTGCTGAGGTTAAACACATAACACCAGGTAAAGATGGTGAATTGATTGATGAGTTAGTGAATTTTCATTAACTAAGGTGGTCGAGACATGTATTACGTAAGCTCAACTAATGCATACTGCAAATTTCAATGTTTTTTTATTTGGAATAGGTGGGACGATAGTAAGTGACCAAACCAAGACGTATCACTAGTACTTAAGGCCATTGATTTGGACTGAGACGTTTCGGTAGAAGCAAGCTACCAAGTTAGAGTCTCCTCAATTTTCGTAAATAACAGTTTCATACATTAAGTGACATAGTTCAGAACCATTAACAATGGCTCACTTTTTGAATTCCATCATATTTTAAGATATAAAATGATTAAATACTGTTCATCCTTGGAATTCATTCATTTTTTAAAAATCATGTCTTAATATACTTAGTGTTTTCTACCATCACTGATGATTTTACTACTTCCAATACTCTGATATTTGAGTTGGTGATTCCATCTGACTATATTGATATACTATAGCAGCTTAAACCAATCCACATAGATACCAGGTTCTTATGACCAACTAACTAAACAGTTACTGGATATATTGAAAATGATATAAGTCAGAAGATCAAGAAACTACCTACCATTCAAAGATGACTTCAATAAAAATTTTGATTTCTTTTCATAAGACTTTAGCAAACCATAGTTGTTTATCAGTAATTGTAAAGGTTTTAAATTAAGTATTAGCAAAATAGATATTTACCACTCACTTACTTTTGCAGGTGCAAATATAACCTTTTGTGTAACAATACGTTCTGTAGGCATATTGTCAGGTTTTAATTTGGGATTTGTTATTCCGAATACAATTGCACGTGGACCAGTACATAAAACAGTAATCTAAAATAAATTAATTACAAATGATAACTGTTACCATATGCAAATATCTAAACAAAAAACTGATGAAAATGTAGTTCTAACTACCGGGAATGAGAAAAAAAGATGAGCTCTTAAAAATAAATTTGATACACTTAATAGCTATCTAAAATCAGTAGGTCATAGAATCAAATATTAAATGCTTAAAGTAAAAGCTATTAGGCTCGAGGATGAACGTGTTTGCTAACATTAGAGTGAGAGTAAATCCGGTAGACAAGTGTTGAATGGAGTAAACAACGCTCATTTTAAATATCAGCACTACTCCACAATTCATTTAAATGAAATGAAATTCAAAGGATATAGAGATCAATGTAAAGAATAGTTATAATAATAGCTTACATTTGGTGCAGTTGGTTTTGTTGCTTCACGTAGAAATGTTTCACGATAAATTGTTCTATTATCTATATGTGTATATTCACAGCGTACAATAGCTTCACGTCCATAACGTTGATTCATATGAATTTCATAAGTGGCATTAATTCTGTACAATATATAAAAGTTGAAATAATTAAATAAATTTATGTTGTTTCTAACTCAGTATAATATTTCACAATGTTCAATTCATTTTATATCGTCTATTAGAATCTTTTTATTGATGTTTAAGATTGCAATTGATCTGTCTCACTTATCACCATATGTACATTTTGTGAAGATTGTCTTAAGTAAATCACAAGTATTATAAGCAAAGACGGATGGTAGCTGATCATGTAATCCAGGCACATTCAGCTAACGGGTCTCAAAATAGAGTGAAACGCGTATACTAGATTCAACAACTAACCACTATCTGTTTCAGAATATTTATTTTTATTCCCATTGTGATTCTGTTTTACTTTTTTCTATTTCATTATTTGAGATCATAAGTTAATTAAAGTTAGACAAAGATAGAAAACCTGGAAACAATAGAAGGCCGTTTCGTCCTATTATGGGACTCTTCAGTCTCAATCTAATATTTTATATAGTACAACATTAATTTATCGTTTTCGTATTTTTCAGTATAACCTTATTTTAGGTCAGTATGGTATATATTAATTAAGTGTGAAGTTTATTCAATATGACAGGTATGAATTTTTATCAAGTTAAATAATTATATTCTTTATGTTATTCTATATAACCTTTGTCTATGTTATTACAGTAAACTTTTGTATCTTTTAATTAAAATAATGTTCATCAAAACTTGTCATTAAATGAGAATAAAATCAGTATATTAAGTGAATGAATTTGGTTTAACAAAGTCGCAAGGAGGAATGGTGGATGGGCACTGCTGAGGAGTCCCACAATAGGACGAAACGGCCGTCCAGTGCTTCCAGGTTTTCCATGGTGGTCTAGCTTCAATCAACTCATGATCTCAACCATTAAAATTGTTAATAAATTTTCATTTATACCAGTCTTTGTGTTTTTACTTCATGTCGTACGAATTACAGTAGTTACCACTTCTATATATTACCAGTAGTATCAGATATTAAACAGAATCCATAAAAAAAAGCATTGAAATTATGACGTAATATTCATCCAAGAAGTCTTCTTTTTAGTAATATAAGGTTATTACGTAAAAGTTTATCAATACCATATTACTATAACTGGAAATAATTAGTATGAAATTCTGTTTTATAAGATTTATGATAAATTATATTCAACAGCAAGATAATATCTTCAGTTTTGTAAAATTTGATTCACCCTATACAATTCTAGTATAAGAGAATCAATGTCAAAGTCAACGAATTCATCACTTAACTACTCTAGTTTCTACAGATCTCTCTATTATATTAACTAATCAATGGATGATAGCCGAGACAATCAGTAATCAAAACGACAAGTTATAACAAATTCTATCAATCAAGTTTATTAACACAATTCCTTACATTATCAATCAATGTGTAACTTTTTTAATTTAGAGTTTTGTGTAAATTTATGAATAAAGTTATTAACGCTAAGTTTTTTATTGGGTATTACTTATGGAAAGAAAATTCCATATCATCGTATAGTACACAACCAAATGCTCAGGTACGGCCGAGAGTGGGGAGGTCTCGCCCTCTCAAAATGCTCTCACACGGCCACGCGTATATAGCCTCTGACGGGGAAGTCCTACTCACTGTCTTATCGCGCCATGGATATTGTTTACGAAATTGAGAGGACGAAAAGCGAACATGGGGAGTCCACCTAGAGGAGTTGGAAAAACGAGGTTTTACTCGTAGATGTTCGTATAAATATCCATGTATATTAGAGTAAAGTTTGATGACGATCTAACTGAAAACAACTGTTCACTTACATTTAAATAAACCGAGAAGGACATGATTTCTAGAATGTGATGACTGCATAATTCTATGTTAAGGTGCCACATTAGGTACAAACAATTCGAAGTTACAATTAAAAATACTATCAAAAACAAAATTTTCATTTTATCGCTGAATTATTGTTTATGATATTATTCCTGTATTGTCAGTAAGGGATTGAATCGAGTGTTGAATTTCATTAAAACTATGAATCGATCAATATTAGACTACCATTGAAAACCTGAAAGTATTGAGTGGCCGTTTCGTTCTAGTACGAGACTCCTCAGATGTGTTCACCCATGAAACCCAACACAAGGGAATCGAATCCAGAGCCTTTGGTCTCATGCGCAACCATTTAACCTCTAAATCACTGACGGTGTCAACATCTAACTTCAATCAATCCGCGACATTGTCTTCAACGAGTAACTTATTCACAGCCTTCACGAATTAGCTCTTTTCCTAGAACCTCAGGAATTTCCCCTCAAATTTAGTCCCAATAATAGTCTAAATTAGATCGGTTCATGATTTCAATAAAGTTACTCTCCTATATATTTTGTGTATCTTCTTGAACTCACTTTTATTAATCAAGATAAGTAAAATATTTTAAAAATCATATTACTAATTATAACTTCAGGCTGTTAAAATCTGATGCAAAGCATTGAAATAGGCTGATGAGTTCCATTTCTTTTCTTTGAAAATCTTATCACCCCATTTGAATTTATCAAAAAAATCAGGCTGTTCGAATTTCATACTCTTTAAATCTTGTAATGGCGATTGGCAAAGCAAGGGCCACATTCCTACAATTGAACAATATATGGAACTCAAAACAACTTTCAACCAATATCAAAGTCACAATCTTCAATACAAACGTCAAGACAGTTCTACTGTACGGAGCTGAAACTTGGAGGACTACTACAATCATCATCAAGAAGGTACAAGTATTTATAAATAGTTGTCTACGCAGAATAATCAACATCCATTGACCGAATACTATCAGTAACAGCCTTCTCTGGGAGAGAAAAAATCAACTTTCAGGGGAAGAAGACATTAAGAAAAGACAATGAAAATGGATAGGAAATATATTACGCAAATCATCAAACTGCCTCACGAGTCAAGCCCTAACTTGGAATCCTGAAGGTAAACGGAAAAGAGGAAGGCCAAAGAACACATTACGTTGGGAAATAGAATCAGATATGAAGAGGATGAATAACAATTGGAGAGAGCTGGAAAGGATTGCCCAGAACAGGGTTGGATAGCGTGTGCTGATGGGAGGCCTATGGTCCTCCACGAGGAGTAACAGGTGTAAGTAAGTAAGTAAGTAAGTAAGTAAGTAAGTAAGTAAGTAAGTAAGTAAGTAAGTAAGTAAGTAAGTGTTGAAGTAAGTAAGTAAGTAAGTAAGTAAGTAAGTAAGTAAGTAAGTAAGTAAGTAAGTAAGTAAGTAAGTAAGTAAGTAAGTAAGTAAGTAAGTAAGTAAGTAAGTAAGTAAGTAAGTAAGTAAGTAAGTAAGTAAGTAAGTAAGTAAGTAAGTAAGTAAGTAAGTAAGTAAGTAAGTAAGTAAGTAAGTGTTGAAGTAAGTAAGTAAGTAAGTAAGTAAGTAAGTAAGTAAGTAAGTAAGTAAGTAAGTAAGTAAGTAAGTAAGTAAGTAAGTAAGTAAGTAAGTAAGTAAGTAAGTAAGTAAGTAAGTAAGTAAGTAAGTAAGTAAGTAAGTAAGTAAGTAAGTAAGTAAGTAAGTAAGTAAGTAAGTAAGTAAGTAAGTAAGTAAGTAAGTAAGTAAGTAAGTAAGTAAGTAAGTAAGTAAGTAAGTAAGTAAGTAAGTAAGTAAGTAAGTAAGTAAGTAAGTAAGTAAGTAAGTAAGTAAGTAAGTAAGTAAGTAAGTAAGTAAGTAAGTAAGTAAGTAAGTAAGTAAGTAAGTAAGTAAGTAAGTAAGTAAGTAAGTAAGTAAGTAAGTAAGTAAGTAAGTAAGTAAGTAAGTAAGTAAGTAAGTAAGTAAGTAAGTAAGTAAGTAAGTAAGTAAGTAAGTAAGTAAGTGTTGAAGTAAGTAAGTAAGTAAGTAAGTAAGTGTTGAAGTAAGTAAGTAAGTAAGTAAGTAAGTAAGTAAGTAAGTAAGTAAGTAAGTAAGTAAGTAAGTAAGTAAGTAAGTAAGTAAGTAAGTAAGTAAGTAAGTAAGTAAGTAAGTAAGTAAGTAAGTAAGTAAGTAAGTAAGTAAGTAAGTAAGTAAGTAAGTAAGTAAGTAAGTGTTGAAGTAAGTAAGTAAGTAAGTAAGTAAGTAAGTAAGTAAGTAAGTAAGTAAGTAAGTAAGTAAGTAAGTAAGTAAGTAAGTAAGTAAGTAAGTAAGTAAGTAAGTAAGTAAGTAAGTAAGTAAGTAAGTAAGTAAGTAAGTAAGTAAGTAAGTAAGTAAGTAAGTAAGTAAGTAAGTAAGTAAGTAAGTAAGTAAGTAAGTAAGTAAGTAAGTAAGTAAGTAAGTAAGTAAGTAAGTAAGTAAGTAAGTAAGTAAGTAAGTAAGTAAGTAAGTAAGTAAGTAAGTAAGTAAGTAAGTAAGTAAGTAAGTAAGTAAGTAAGTAAGTAAGTAAGTAAGTAAGTAAGTAAGTAAGTAAGTAAGTAAGTAAGTAAGTAAGTAAGTAAGTAAGTAAGTAAGTAAGTAAGTAAGTAAGTAAGTAAGTAAGTAAGTAAGTAAGTAAGTAAGTAAGTAAGTAAGTAAGTAAGTAAGTAAGTAAGTAAGTAAGTAAGTAAGTAAGTAAGTAAGTAAGTAAGTAAGCAAATCTTGTAAAATATCATTTTTATCCATCCAATTCCTAATCTTATATCACCCATACATACATCAAACTCAAACATATAATCATATGATCAAAAAGGCATATGACAACTACTTCATACATCACTGAACGCGTAAAACACAAACAAACAAACAAATCATATCGAATTATTTCCGTAAACAAACTAAATTCTTTTTTTATTTACCTATTTATTGTGATAACTTGAAATCCTTTATTGGACATATTAATACTACTGAATTCATATTAGTTCAGTAATATGCAATAAACATCAGTTCTTAGTTAAATTGTTTACCATAAAGACAAGCTTTTCAAAAAAATATTCCAAATAAATAAACAAAATATTTTGTTAGTTAAAAATAAATGAATTAGGGAAAAATTTAAATAAGTTTTATCATTGTTTTATCTTTTAAATAATTTGAAACTTCAATAGTTGAGAGCATGAATCAATTGAAGCTAGACCATCATGGAAAACCTGGAAGCAATGGACGGTCGTTTCGTCCTATTGTTGAGTCCTCAGCAGTGCGCATCCACACTCCACGATCCGAACACAGGACCCATCAGTCTCACACGCGAGCGCTTAACCACTAGACCACTGAGCCGATCGGCATCCAACGGTGTTAATTTATAGCTTCAACTAATCCACAAAATTGAGTGATACATCCACCATTGTTTTTAGTGAATTACTATCTCACAACAGACCCGGTTGAACTCCACTGGTCACTGCTTCTCACTAAAACTCCAGGATATACCCCTTGAAACCGGTTACTAGTTAGCACATGTTGATTAATATCAGAAGGGTTCTTGTGTATCTCATAGTAATTTTAATAATTGAGATCATGAGTCAATTGAATCTAGACCACCATGAAAGACTTGGAAGCATTACTGAGGAGTCTCACAATAGGATGAAACAACCGTCCCGTGTTTCCAAGTTTTTAATGGTGAACTAACATTAATCCATTCATGGTATCAACCTAAATTCATATACTATTTAAGCTTGATCTCTCGAAGTGTATACAACCTTAAAACCCTGTAGATAACAAATATATTCAAACAAATGATGACCAACTGTTAAGAAAATCCTATGAAAAACAATGCTAAAATTAATTTGAAATGGTATTAAAATCAATTTATCCCGTTATTAACATAATTTACCCGGTGAATTTTCCTGATTTATAATCAATTTGATTAATTTCTACACGATCTAATGGTTCTCCTTCTATATTGAAAATTTTCATTCTTATTGATGATGTTACACTGTTAGAATTTGATTGTTGATTATGATCTCTATGTCCTAATCCACGAATACCACTATCTTTATCAGCAGTTTGTTTTCCAGTGATGATTGAATCATTTGTTTCAATGGATTGTTCACGATTCTTATGTTGGTTAATCTGACTGTTATTTGTATATTGTCCTGCCAATGGATAACCTTTTACAACACATGATGCTTTCCATGGTTTATGGCCTAGAAAATAATTATACCCAAATGACATTAATTCTAATTGTGGTTCAGAATGTACTAAAACATGTCCGATTGCTTGTGCTTCACCAGCTTGATTCCAAACTGTACATCGATAAACACCATGATCACTACGTTAAGATCTAGGTATAATAAGAAATCGAATAGAATAAGTTAGCTATAAAATGTACGGTTGAAAATAGAAATTTTCGCAATGATTCAGTCATTCATAAACAATATAGGGTCTGGCACAATTGTGTCTAGCCTCAGGATTCAATATCGTATCAGAGTGACACTTTGGGATTGAGTATCCGAACAAAATAATTTGTGTTGAAGTAGTGGTAGTATAAGTGACAGAACGAGAGACTTGGTACTAGAGAATACAAATGGAAAATAAGGGATGAATTATGAAAATAGAAAATTTCAATGCGGTTCAAAACTTAGAGGAGGATAATATGCAAATGACTTTAAGCTACTGAGACTGAATTTGGACTGTATTACCCAATTCCTCTAATCCCTGATTAGACTTATCTCACAGTTCATAATAAAATAGTCTGAAACTACCAGCATGGCCCAGTTCAATAATTAATAGTTTAATGGAATGAGATCATGTTTAAGTTTGGCTGCCTACAGCCATCTTAAAACCTACACCTACTTCAAACGATGTTGTTTGACAACGTAGGCGGCGGTTGAGCAGATGTAGCAAATCTTACAACGAAACTGTTAAATAAAGATACACTTTCACATCAACTGGTTCCCTATTTGTACCTAGGACCCTATATCTAACTTAAGAGCTGATCATTCGACGATCATGCCAGATATAAGCAAGGTTTTGAAAATATCTGTGAACAAAATCTTACATCCTACACAACTCCCTTACTTTTATAGGCTGTATTGAAAGGCCATAGAGAATTACTCATTCGTGAGATTTCGTTTCAAGCCCTAACCTTCATAAACTTTATATTCTCTGTCCAAAATGTTCATAGTAGAGTAATATGGATATCATACAATTATCAGACTAAAATCTTTGGTATAAATTACACTATGACATCCAGCAATCATCTACTAATTATACGAAAAAATATCCGAAAATGCTGGATATATTATAATTATTAAACTCTGAAAAATAATGCAGATAGCCTCAACCAAAATTGTCAACATTTAAACTAGATTGGACAATCTTTTAGGATAGTTTGGTTTATAGACCTTAATTGTCGTTAAAGATCTTGAATTCCTCTATTTCCCTGAAGAAACTCAAACCAGTTTATCAAGTGAAACACTAAAAAATTTATTTCATTGATTACATGTTTAACCGTTCATTACTCGCACAATAACATAACCATCGATTTTGTTGTTGTTTTTTCTACAGTATTCTTAACGTTATAAACATATCTTAACAGCTAACAGAAAATTTTGACAAAATTTAAATAACCCTTAAATTATCCGTTGGTGACTACAATAATGAAATGTGATATTTTAGATGGACTTAACTACAAGCGAAGATAAGTTCATCTACAGCTTTCAGTGTGTAAATATTTTTTTCCAAAAATCTTGTTATTTCTTAAGACACCTAAACCCAAGTAATACTTTATGCAAACAATGAATACTAGATAATACATTTTGAAGTGAAAAAGAATCTCAATCCTAAGACTTCTGGCAGCCCACTAATATCATATGACAAAACCACTAATTAAAATATCGATATTTACGACCTCGTCACTTAGTTAACTAACGATATGTCAACCAGCATTAGAAGCCATGAGCCAATTCTAATCCCCTATTGATCATCCACTGATCATTGAGTCCAGGATAGAGAAATCGGCCTCCACCATACTAACATCATATTTCAGGCATACGTAGTTTATGTTCAGACATACTCGACAACATCACAACACAAAATAAAGTATATATATAGTAATCTAGTTACTTCATAATTATACAATAAGAATACATACAATAATAGACCACTAATTAATCTTGGCAGTCATCATTCCTTTAGTCTTCCTCGGATATAACAGTCATGATAAAGTTGAAAACCAGAAAGAACTCAATACCTGTTTCGTCTTAGTAAAACCCATATTAGAACAAAACAACTATCCAATGCTTCCTTTATTCGATAACATCCCAACTTTTAAAAAAAAACTTATCTTTGACAAAGTACATCTTCATGACATTTTTTTTAACTAAAGAATAATCTACACCAAAGTTAATCATTTCGAAAGGGAAAGATAATCATTATTAATTGATACTATTACATTTGACATTTTACAAATGCAATAGTTTTTTTAATCACAAACAAACAAAAAAACCCCGCCATTTCTGAATGTAATCATCACATTGGTAAAATGATTACCATTTCAGATCCCAAAAAAAACAGTAAATAAATAAAGGGGAAATAAAGATTAGTTAGCCAAGCTGTTGTTTCTTTACAAGCTAAAAATGAAACAGCAGAATTTATCGATTCATGAACAATGACCTGAGGTAAACTTTATAAATAAAAGGGAAGAAATTCGATTATCTCAGATAATGATAAAGTTTCTATTAAACTTGTTTAGATAATATCTTCTTTCTTTTTAATATTTTTTATGTAAATACAAATGGTAAGTGTTTATCTTTTATATTAAAAACAATTGTGGAGGATTACCGATTAGAAACATATCCCTAGTTAATGTTTATCAACGTTTATGATTTGGAATCATTTATTTTGAATGAAATGATCATTGTATTCATGTTTCATTGCAAAAAAATTCTCAGACATATAACATACATATGAAATGAAGTATAAATGATGGTGGTTGGAGGTAGTCAACAGGAAACCCTGGACCCGGGTTTCGTGCTACTTGGCACTCGTCAGCAAGGTGTACCTGTTATCTTGGGGGAACTAGTGCTCTCTGACGGATGCGATCTCGTGTCACCCAGCTTCACAGTCAGAGACGTTACCACTAAGCTATCCAAGCCGCCTTGCTGACGAGTGTCAAGTAGCACGAAACCCGGATCCAGCGTTTCCTGTCGACTACCTCCGACCACCATCTAATCTCAATATATAGTGCCCGCAATGTCGAGTCACCTAGACTGGTGGCCACATTACAACATGGTCGATAGCATTTGATCTACACTAAATAATAACTTGACAAGCATGACACTGATCACCACCCAGTGATCAATCAATTGTGAAACTTTTATTTGATTGAGATTATGAACGGATTGATGTTCGATCACTATTGAAAATCTGGAAGCACTGGACGGCCATTTCGTCTTATTGTGGGACTCCTCCACGATTCCGCTCCCAGGATTCGAACTCAGATTTGACATTAACACTGCTGGATGCCGACTCAGGGGTCTAGAGGTTAACCGTTCTCGCATGAGACTGAAGGCTCTGGGTTGGAATCCCGTGAGTGGGATCGTGGATGCGTACTACTGAGGATTCTCAAAATAAGGCGAAATGGCCATCCAGTGCTTCCAGGCCTTCAGTGGTGGTCAAACATCAATGGGTTCATGAACTCAATCACAAACTCAACAATCTACACAACCTTATACTGAAACTTTTATTCCTATCGCAAACTAGATAGTGATTACATATTAGAAAACATTTGATTACTTTCTCAATCTACTATCAATTTCTTGATGGTTCACTTTTATGATCCTACAAATGATAGATCCTCTCTATTTCACAATGATTTTGTAATTAACTTTAGCTCATAAATGAAAAATAACTTTAAAATGAAAATCATCAACGGTTCTCTATCCAAATAAAATGTGTGGCTAATATTAGATGGAAGTGATATTAACAAATACATGTAATAATTACATTGATTGATCATTACGTAGTGATCAATATTAGTCTTGCTCAATCCTTTAGTCTTGTTGGTAAGACTAATCATCATAATGTTTTAATTTTAGATGGTAGCATACAGGAAACCCTGAACTTAGATTTCGTATTGGTTGGAACTTGTCAGAACAGTATATATGATATCTCGCTGGAAATGACAAATGTTGTGGGATTTGTACCTGTGACATCCAATCTCATAGTCGATTTTCTTAGACTAGTAGCCACATAAAAACTTAGTAGACATAATTTAGTCAGCAGTATGGACTAGACAAACACGATATTGCTTACTACTAGTGTGGTGTATACTACTTATGTCGACATACATATTAAATGCAACGAGGCAAATAGGAAAAATCATTTCAGTTGGCTAATCATTGAAACTTGGAAAGTAATAAACAGTTATTTGTAAAGGGTTTGTCGTTTACTGTTTTTGGTGTTCAGGACTACAGTTAATCAGTCGTTATAGGCATGTGTGTAACCTGAAAGGACTGCCTCGCTATTGCTATTCTGTCACATGTTTGATTAATGTAGGGTGATAGCTAATAGAGTAATTCAGGATATTCGTTTCTTCCAAGCTAGGACTATTTAGTTGGACGTGCTTACATCTCGATGTTGATGTCCAGTCGAGTTTGGAGCAAACGGTACTGAGCTATAGTCTCAATGTGAATATGAACATGGAGCTCATATTTATCCCACTGCGATGAGTCCTAAATAGATGAGATGCTCTTTCCAAGTCCAATGAAATTTATGGATTATTGCTTAATCCTAGTTTGATACTGCTAAAGGATGTGTACATTACCGATTTCCCAAGTAATCATACCATGATAAATTATCCTTAATTTGAACAATTAGTAAGGAATTCCATTCGTTTTGAAGCTAGTTTCGAGTACTGTGATCTGAGCTATATTGAAACCTATGGAATAACAGAAAACTGTCAGAAATGTATGAAACTTGAAAAACTGTTCTCCGAAGAATTGATATAAAAATATATATATATCTAGTGTGTATTATGCCACAAATAGTAGAATTTTGTACGAGTTGTAACTTATTAATTATGTATTATGGTTTTCAGATTCATTGTATATAAAAATATGTTTTAAAGTTTTCATCATTAAAAGTAAATCAGCTAACTTATCCCATGTTCTGATTCGGGCACTGAAGATCGAAGAATTTGCTTATTCTAATCAGTGTCAATATACACAGTAGTTACATCCTTGGAATTATATTTCATCAATGTAAGCAAACTCATTATTAAGAAGTACAGAGAAACAAAACAAAAAAAACTCACAACATTAACATTGAAACATTCCATATAGAAACAAATAATGGTTGTGATGTATGGGCTAGAATGATAATGATTGGTTGTCTGCTTAGTCAGATATGTAGGTAGCCTGACAGGTGTCAGGTGAGTTATATATTCCCCTATCCTTATAATTATTACTCACTTATTATTGATTGTTCATTGTTGTTGCATTGTGTCGGGTTTTTGATGTGGAAATATAATTACGTTGTAGTCAAGCGAATCATGTGTTCTTGATCATCTGAGTTATGTTGAAGTCATGTAGAATAGACACTGGGAGGGAATCTAGTATAGATATTCGTCTAAGATAAATTAATGTCCTATACATGTAAACGTGTAAACCCAACCATTATAACATTAGACGAAATAAAATCAAGCGTTCTAACAGGTTGGGTAAATGTTTCGTCTTTTTAATTCACATTCACTCTTATTTGTTATATTTATTATGATTGTAGTTAAGTATTCTACAGGCTTTTCAAGTTACATTATGATTCCATCATTTGAATGGTAATATCATTAAAGTTGAGACCAATTTATGCTAATCAATACAATTCATAGCATATGTTAAAGATATATCCTGTCAAAATAACTAATACATAACAGTTATAATATACACAAAATAAGACCTGATTAGATGGATTATGTAAACTGATTCAAATGACAACAATAAAGTGAATATCTTTAAACAAGTTACAATCTAAAATGATAAATGACAAATTTATATGTGTACACTTTGATTTGATTTATTTTCATTAGTTTTAAAAACAATTGAAGAAATAATTTGTTAAAAGTTATTTCTAGGCTAATGAAACAATTATTAATGTACATGTCAAGTGTCAGTCAGTCAGTCAGCTACAACGTAGAACCAGGCACATATGTGCATCAGTCTAAGTTGCAACAAGATGAACACCGGATTCATAGAAGTAGTTAATTCAATGGTGGTAATATATAAACGAAAGATTGTATATAAGGATACTATACAAGAAAAAAGAATTAGTTCGTAGAAAGAAAGATATGAAGTGTTTTTAATCTCTTAGTTTAAGGGAAGACAAAGAGTGTATACACCGACGCCATTGTGATCGATTCTGAGCCATGTCACCAAGAATCTCCAACCATTGGTTACGATAGTCACGCGGACCCCAACCAAGTAGTCTGCATCTCCTAACATGACTCAGACTAGGAGTTAGCGACTTCAAGCACTGATGCCACGTTTTGGTCTGGCCGACCCTAACTTTCTTCCAACCATCCCCTACACTAGTCAGCATTGTGTGTCGTGATAATCGGTGTTCAGGCATACTCAGCAGGTGTTCCAACCATCTCAGTCGATGAAGATTCACAACCTTATCAACTGATTTACCACCATTCCCTAATACCCTACGTCTAATTTGACTATTACTTACCCGGTGATCCCAGCAGATGCGAGCAATATTTCTAAGACATCTGTGGTCTAAAACTAGTAGTTTGCGAATACCTTTAACTCTTTATGGCCACGTTTCGCAGCCGTAAAGTACGTTGAAAACTAGTCCATTTATCATGAAAATTGAATTTATGACCCAGAAAATATGTGTACGTAGAAGACGATATGTATAAACAAACAATAAATAAAAAAGTTTTAAAGAAATTTAGAAACAAATACATTTGCTCCAGTTTGTTTGATTTTGAACTTTAGCAGTTTAATTTTCCAGCCATTGATTTACAATAATTTGTGAACACATGTCATAGGTCTTATTCACCTTAACTAGTTAGGATACTATAAGGCATCAAATAAATACAAAACATCACTACATAACCACGTTTATGTATATGTGAATGTCAAGCCTCAGAATTTATCACAACACATAGAAGCTTCTTACCAGAAATATCAATTACGAGACGATGTATTAATGGATTAGTTGGATCAACTTGTCGTGGTCTTATATTTAATCCATATCGTGATTTTAATGATTCCCATTGAGTCGGACCATTATTTGTAGATGGTTGATCTGTTGAAGCAAAATCAATACGCATATTTGGTGGTCCATTCGCTATAGCTGTACAGGTCAATTTAATTGCATCTTCTAAACTTCTTTCAGCTGATAATAACTCTGTATGTATTATACGTGGAACAAGAATGATTTCAGTTTGTAGACTGTGATATGAATTGAGGAAAAAAATCGAGGGAAAAAAAGAGTTAAATATTATTATTGATAATGTCGTCATATTAGTATTATTAATATTATACAGTATAAATTGTATTTGTCACAGACTAATTTTTGTTGAGGTACCATTGAAAACAAGGGAGCACTAAACAGCTTTTAACACTCTACAGTAGTGGATACGCATGACACCACCTACAAACCAAACCAGTCTTCATTAAATTCCTTCAAATAAACCGTAATCTTCGGCTCGCTAGTAACTTCATTTAAGGTGTACCTAAGAGGGAATCTACATTTTTGTGGAGCTCAGGCATGTTGGATTGAAATAGTTACTCCTAATCGCATTGGGTCATTGCCACGCTATATCATAGAAGGATTGAAGTTGAAAATGTATACCATTGAAGGTCGACCCAGTCGTCCTGATGATTACGCTTTTGTCCCGACACCGAAGATATTGAGTTCATACCTTGGGTCGGTTATGGCTCTGGACTGGAGAGGAATCTCACACTAAGCAGAGACAGTTGTCCGATCCCCCAGATTCCAGTTATTATCCGAACTGAGATCAATCTGTGAGGAACATAACTGTCGGAATAAAACAAACTCCACAAAACCTTTTCAACTAAATATCACAACGGTTGAACAGAGAGAAACAAAAGAACCAAAAATGAAATTTAGATTAAAAGAAACGGGACAACTGTTCTTCTACAATATAATTTTAATGTAACACTGAGAATTTACATGCTAACATTGAACCGAATCTGTAAGACTTCAGATCCTGTAGAAAGGATATTATCTTCAACTACATTTCTTATTTTAGACAATATCAGTCACATATTACTCAACTAAAAAGAATAAGTTCTGAACATTTAACATTTTTATCTGACATCAAGTTCCATCCTGCCTTCATTAACAAATTTGTCGGGACGAAGCCTTAAACCTAGGTTTTTTGCTAGTTGGCTTTGGTTAGCAGCGTGCAACTGTAGTCTTGAAAGAATTGGTGCTTCTTGGGGGTTTAAACTGTACTCAATCACTTTCATGGTCCAAGTCGTTATCATTGAGCTATTTAGGTTGTGATTACACTTTTATTTTTAGAAAGCATTATCAAACAATGTTTCAATTCAATGAAAAGATAAAAGTCATATCCTTAATAAAATGATAGACGAAAATAAAAGAATATTGGTTGTTTTGTGACATTAATTTCTATCGCTGAATCATCATTCGTAATCTAATCAGATATGTTGTCACTAGAATCATGAACCGATCAGTGTTAAACAACCTTTGAAAACATGAAGCCATGGAACGGCTGTTTCTTCCTAGTGTGGGACTCCTCATTAGGTCTATCCACGAAACCCCAGTAAAAAGGAATCGAGTCCAGCACCTTCAGTCTCGCGTGCGAAAACGTAACCTCTAAACCACTAAGTCGGGATTTAATGGTGTTAATGTCTAACTTCAATCGATCCACAACATTCCGTGATTATCTTCTATTGTCTTTGACGGGTAACTGTCCCACACCCGATACGGACTAGCTCTTTTGGTAACGGCTTTTAACTAGAACTCTAGAAATTTCCTCTAGTAGGTGGTCACTAGTGAGCGCATGGTAGTTATCTGTAAGAAGTTATGGAGATTGTTGAATCTTATAGAAATCTTAGATTGTTTCATAACTTCAATCAAATTCAACAATCTCCACAACCTCTTACTGACAGTTATATTGCGTTGGTTAATAAGCTGTTCAATTTTATTTGTTTCATAGTCATACTGATAGATCTTCAACTACCATTATTTTTAAATCATAATTACTTCTGATATATGTTTATTCATATAGGCACATAAGTAAATTGGTAAACACAGTCGAATGTAACGGAATTGTTGACATAATATAAATATTTTTAATGAAACCCAATCAGCTTTTTGTTAATAATCAAAACTTTAGCTAACCATTTTAAGAATATTTATCTATTTAAACACATAAATATTGGTACAAAGAGGCACCAAAGACATATGCGTCACACAATAACAATGAGGCCAGTAGTATTTATCATTGATTCGTGTGAGGGCTTTAATACTATCCAGGTGCCCAAACCGAAGTAGGTGGTTTTCTTAGGAGGTCCACACTCTGAGCCTTTGACCTGATGGTTTAATCCATAAAACATTGTAGCAACTTGAGGAGATACAATCTCATATTAGTCGATGACCAATAATATGATGGCACATAAATCTGTTACACAGATGATAGAGTGTAATACTCAAGGTTTAAATACTTCACTAAAAAAGTAATCGAATCTGTGTCAATGTACATAATCAATTTCTCTCATTTTTAATAGTTTATAGACTTAGCTAAGAAGATAGTATTTTTGTTATACAACTCAAAGCAAAACTTATATATTCTAATCATAAAAGATAAAAATCATACTGATTTATGAAATAAGAGATCTGTTTTTAACGTTCTGAATATGAGTTTGTTTGATTTTTTGTCATTATGTTTACTTTATGTATTAAACTATTGAGGTCAGTAAGTTCAGTTTTATCAAAAACTCTTTACTTATGCTATAATTCTTTTTCGTATTTTTGTTGACTAGATTTATCAAGATGATCCTAGTTAAATTCTTGTTTTTGCATCTTGAATAAGAAGAAACAGAAGGACATAATTTAAGAGAATTGCTATGTCCCAAAAAGCATAATAAATGATAACTTTTGAGATCCATTTATGGACCAAAACTAAACGTATATTTTTATCGTATAATTGTTAAATAACTAAACTATTCATATTCGTGTCCCTTTTATTATGAGCTTTATTTTGATCTATGAACTATTCTTGAACGATTTACCATTCTTGAATTATGCCCTGTCTATTAACCAATACCTCCCACATTCACAGCCATATTTGGCTAATTCTTGTATAAATGTTGTTTCATATTTTATTGGTACGATGTGGTCTATCTAGTTGGTATATTTAAAATCCAGTATGTTTTAGATAAATGATTCATATTGCGGATGCTGAGATTGATGTTCTGGACTTAACTGGCTGGGCTAGGCGGTAAGCAGGACTGATAAGCACTATAGACTGCTCATACGGGTTTTTATTCGTCATTAGTCTGATCGATAATTCACTGTTCTCTAATTGTCAGTATTATTACGTTATACATTAACAGGGCACACAAGCCACAAGTTATAACAAGAATGCAAAAAAAAATCCAAGCTAAATTTCCAAATTGATAAGTTTGATATAAAGAATGGTTAACTACTAGCAAATTCATTTCACTATTTAAACGTGAACAGAAATTATTGAAAATAATTTCTGACTGAACATAAAATGGTATTGTTTAAGTTAATAAAAGTTATTAAGAGAAAGAGTTTGTAAGGATTAGTCAGTTAAGAGTTAACATCACCAAGAGAGCTTCATTAAACAAAAACTTAATAACTAGGGAGCATTAGAGAGTTCTTTTGCCATTTATTTATTTATTTATTTATTTGAACACACAGATATTGGTACACGGGGGCACTAGATACATATTCGCTACACAAATCCCATTTAATACTACCCGGGTGCCCAAACTGAAACAGGTGGTTTTCATAGGGGGCCACACCGGGAGCCTTTAACCTAAAGGTCTGATCTATAAGGCAGTGGAGCAACGTAAGGAGATCCTGTCCCATGGTAGCCGGTGACCAATAATTGGTTCATACGCCATTTGTCTCCTCAGGATACTGGAGCCCATGTGCACCAATGATTTGGAATCAGGGTTTTCCAACTCCAGAAGGTATTGGGCTCGGTCTTCAATACATTTGGCGAAGTATACTGCTAAAAAGCTTGATTCTTTAATGAAGCTTTTGTCTAGTGCTTTGTGTTAATCAAAGGTTATATAACGAAAGTTAGACCATGATGTAAAATTATGAAATTCAACAATCTCCGCAAACTATTTACATTGATGTATTAGGAATTTCATGCAATTAGTTTAGTTAGTAAACTTTTATCAAGCAAAACTTACAAATATTGTGGAGTAAATAAATTTATTTTACTCCTCAATAATATTTCGAAGTTAAATTTCATTATGAGACGGTATCAGTTAAACATTCATTGTAAAATTAAGGATTATTGAAATGATTGATTTGTCATAGATTGTATTTCACCAACAGTGTGCATCAAGAGAATCACCATCCTCAAGTACGTTAAACTTTTAAATCATAAATATATGCTTATAAAACTAGAGGAAATTAGGCGAGAAGTTGTGAATGAATTAAGGTACATAATGTGGTTTAGTGAATTTTGATGAATTTCTTACTGAAATAGAATGACCACCAGGAAACCTTGCTTACAGTGTTATAGTAACATTCACTGTGGATTGTATTGAAAAATATTTGATATTATTAGTAAAGGTGATTTGTGGAAATTACTGAATTCTATGTTTTACTTGATGAACTTATCTTAAATAAAAGATCATTGAAACTTGTTAGCACTGAACTGCTATTTCGTCCTAGTATGGAACTGTTTATCAGTTGGTCTACAACCACATATATATAGGGGATTGAACTCAAGAACTTCACGCATCTCGAAGAACACTATATTGTATATAAGTTCAGAGTTAACTGGTAATCTTTGCTCACAGACGATTATCACTTCTTATTTAAATCAGTCGAGTAGTTGTAATTGTTACCCATGAAATTACAGTAAATCCCACCGGACTTGAAATTCTCCCACTCTGGTTTTGATTAGAAATGATGGACATGTATAAAGCACTTGTAATATTCTTTTAAAAAGTAATATTCGATGAACATGATCTTAAAAAGTAACGGATTTCGAACATACTAGCCAATAACAAATTATATTCAAATGTGTGTGTCAACTATTTTTTAGGACCATGTCAAAATCTTAACTACAGAGGGTGACATACTTGAGTGAAAAAATAATCTAATAAAAACAATCTAAGGTTAGCATAGATCATTGGAAATCGATCGACCTAATGAAAATTCCTTCGGGATTATAATTTTAGTGAAGTTTCATGATAGTATTCATACTAATAATTTAATTAAAAACGTTGAGGAAATATTTCATTATCAACCAACACTCGATACATATATCGGGTAGTATTCAGTTTTTATTATTACACCATTAGTAATACTACTATATGTTAAAAGAAATCTTCCAGGTTACTTCAGGTCATTTGTCCCACTCTTGAATGAAGTTAGTAATTTAGTGAAACTAAAACAGTAAAATGTCTTTAAAGATGTTTTGATAAATATTACTCTTTTGGGAAGTCAAATCGATCCTCACTAAATGATTAGATAACCATGACATTGGTCGTACTCAGTCACTAATCAGTTGTAAATATCACGGTCCTACAGGAGGTTAGTCAACAGCTGAACAACTGAGTGGTAACGTCTCAAAATATGAAAGTGGGAGACATGGGTCTGTACCTCACGGAAATATTCAGTCCCCCCAAGATTTGCGATACACTATGCTGACTTGTGTCAACTAACACAAAGCGGAATACAGGGTTTTCTATAAGCTTATTCTAGCTATCTTACACCTTGAATATTCTAATTAAAGGTTGATTTGTCCAATCCATCCACTATTCATAAGTTTAAAAAACCAGTGAAAGAACGAGATCATTTCGAGCTCTAAGTAATAAGTATAAAAGAATAGTTAAAAAGAAATCCTAGCAATAAACAGCCCCATGAATTGAAATTAATTTACAAGAAACGTTATTCTGAGATTCACGAAAATCGAGTTTACTTCAAAGGTGACTATACCAGCAGAATCCCCTCTAAATAATGAGTACATTTCACTATGAATGCTTTAATCATCTGAGAGGTAGTCATCGACATCATCAATGTAAAATAGTCGGGTTTGTCATTAGCCAACTGTTATAGATATACTTACAGAATTGTCAAAATTAAATCGTTAATTGGAAATGAAAAAACACATTTTCACAAATAAATGTAATTTAAAGTAAGCGACTTATTGACTTCCTCTCATCTTTTCCTAATTACGAATAACTTCATTCACGAATCCGTTGGCTATTTTGCCTAATAGTAGACCACTTTTGTAATAAACGAGGTTAAATCGATGAATACATGAAAACATAGAAAAACTAAGTGATATCCTTACTATTCAGTTACTGAAATCATTAGAAATTGCAAACATTTCTGTCATCAGGGCTAGTTTCTCATAGAAAATGTTATTCAATATATTATGCCTAAATTAAAACAAAAAGACTACAGACTTTTAAGAGTTTTCAAAGATTTTTCTCCTTGCTCATCACACTTGTGTTAACCACTTGCTAAACTGTCAAGATGAACAAGTTCGCTTAGAAAATATAAAATAGACTGTGAATCCACTTTGATCAAAGTAAACCAATTAGATTTTTCCAGGTTCATTCAGCTAAAAAACCGCAGTCATTTTGTATTAAATAAATAAAAACTTGGACAAGCATGTATACTGACATGTCGATAAGATTGCTGATATCAGCTCATTTGTGTTTTTATTAGGAGATTTGTTTTCAAACTACAACTTTCTTGCGCTGAATTGAACTACGATCTTAAAACAACAAAAAACTACCTACTTTTTGTCCTATTCTGATATAGACTGGTTAAATCTAATTATACCTTTTAATAGACTATTTTAACGTTAGTATTCAGAAGTTATGTTATTGTTGTAGACAAATCAAAAGATCTGTTGTAAAAATTCTTTTTTGTTCATATTTTACTGGTGTTGCTAAGTATCTCTGAAGAGCAGGGACTAGTCTTATAACTTATTTCGACCATGTGTTTGACAATAGAGAAGTATATATATTTATTGTACTAACACAATTTTGTTGATTTTCCCCTTCTAATTGCTTTACATACAGAAGTTTAAATATACTTTTAAGTGTGGTAGTGTGGTGTGCGCTACTGATATTGACAGATATGAGTAGTATGTATCATCAATCGAAAGTGTTCGGCCTGGTGGCAGAAGGTTAAGAAGATCGAAGAGAAGAGAACATGAACAGATAATGATTGGTGTGGAAACGAAGAAGTAATCAAGTCTGAGACAAATGGTTAACATTTTCCAAATGAAGCATTTACTGTATGGTTCTCAAATTTTACTAAGAGATTTTGTAATTTTGTATTCAGATATATCTATTTGTCCCCACTGGTGTTCTCGTTCACTACAGTAACATTTTACCCGGTCACCATTGTTTATGTTAGTATTTGGAGAAAAGAAACCAAATGGAAAAATTTAAACCAACCTTGCATTTGTTGTAACCTTGTAAATTGGTGTTTCTTTCACTCGACTTATTACGGAACAAGTTAAATGTTCAATAGGTAATTTATATTTATCACTACTTCCAACCACCGTTACTGTTGATGATTTCTCATCACCAATTTGACTAAAATTAAATATAGTTGGATAGGCACGAACAGATAAAATTGATAAACCATATGGAGTAATTAATGAATTATCAACGTAGAATGGTGGAACATGAACTGATTGGCCATTACGATACCAATAAACATTTTGTATTCTCAATGAATTTGATTGTGGATTTGGTATACCAGTTAATGGAATCGAACGAAATCGACACGCGATACGAGCTGGTTTATTCTCTAATAATATTGATTTATTTGGGCTTTTCAAATTAGCCAATTTAATAGATTCATCAATTTGTGCATTAATACTGTGAGCAATGGTTGCATGTTGATCTTGATTTATTAATTGTTGATTAGATAGAATAGATTTTGAGAGATTTTGGTTTATCTCTTCAAAGTTAAACTCTTTATCACCTGGTAGAATATAAATTTGCGGTGAGATTGGTTCATATAATTCCCAATCAATTTCATAGTATGCAATAATTGGATCCTGAAAAAAAATAAAAATGATATTAGGGACAAAAGTATGAAAATTGATTTAGTACAAAGATAACTGTTCATTTTAAGTCGGAAGGGATTTTGTGGATACTATAGTAATTTTAATGGTTGAGATCATGGCCTAGTGATTAGGCGCTCGCGCGCGAAACTGACAGGTCCTGGGTTCGAATCTCGCTAAGCGGAACCATAGATGCGCACTGTTGAGGAGTTCCGAAAAAGTACTTCCAGGTTTTCCATGATGGTCTAGCTCTGATTGACTCATGATCTCAACCACTGAAATTTTAAGTCAGTTAAGGTGAACTTGATAATAATCATATCTGAATTTTCATTGACCTACATAGTTTGTATTTTATTAGAGAAAAAATTCAGTTAATATAAGGCTTGAAAATGAATCCCTAAATATCATATCAATTTGTGTACAGTATATTTTATAATTAAATAAAGTGAATATTGATTGTATATTATGAAAGTAATTCTTTTAGATTATTATCCTTGGAACATCCAATATCAATTCGCAACTTTAATAGTTGGTAACATACCATGAGAATTATCTCAATCAACGATAGAACAACGAAGTAAAATCAAAAGATATCATATGTCTCTCATTTAAACTCATATATTTCATCTTATTAATCAAATTAAAACTTTACTTGATGATTTTGTTAGCGAGTAATTTACTTAAGTGTTTTCAAATTTGTACTAACCACTTTACAGTTTCATAGTAAAAAGAAGAAATGGGGACTTTTGAACTTTGGATCAATCGTACTATCGTGACGTGTTCAACTCAGTAAGAAACAATGGCTTAAAATGTTACTTCTTCATTCATCAATATACTATTAATTGAGAAAATTGACTTTTATATCAATAACTAACATTACCACAAATCAATATTGGGATTTTCAAGGGGTAATCGCAAGGAATAACTATTACGATGAACAATTGACTATTGATTTTGTCTTTAATAACATATATTATAGACAAGTTAATGAAAATAGTAATGAGTCCATATTTAAATCCTATCTTAAATGATTTTTTAGTGGATTGCTTGAAGTTAGACATTAACACTGTTGGAAGCCAGCTCAATGGTCTATAGGTTAAGAGAATAAAATACACAAATACTCATATATATATCACTCTCACCCTTAGGAAATTGATACATTTCTTCGTCAATAAAGTGAACTTGTTATTTAGGTCACTTCTGATTACCATCGATTGACCTTCTGATTAGGCTGCTTCTGATTGGTTTCCCATATCAGGGTTGTGGAAATAGTTGAATTTTATTGGGATCACGAGCCTATGGACGCTAGACGGCCGGTAGTCTAGAGGTTAAGGTCCTCGCTCATGACTGACGGTCTTGGGTCCAATCCACAGTAATTGGGTCACGGATTCACACCACCGTGGAGTCCCATACTTGGACGAAACAGACATCCAGTCCTTCCAGGTTTTCAGTGGTTGTTTAACTAAACAGTTTTAGTTATTTCAGTGTTGTTGTACAACCATTAGACGATTGGATTATTAGATTTATATATTCCGTGTATCGTGATCGTTCGTTGAACCTTTTTACCATTGTAATACATTATACTATTTTTTGGATATCGCCAGTTAATTATTGATCTGTTGCTACATTGTCTTTGCCATATGTGTGTTAAGTGTAATTTTAAGTTGGAGGTGTTAGAGTTTATAATTTTGTGGATTTAAACCTACAACTGATTAAAATATACGATAATGGAAGCTTGCCGGCCGTGTTCCCTTAGCGAATTCAATACGGAGGTAGAACAATGTCATGTTCTGAACCAATAATATTTAAAATCATCTCAACTTCAACCTAAGTTTAGTCACTGCCAGTAAGAGAGTATAATCATTCAAAACTTAGAATGTTGACTTAGAGATGAGAAAATACCCTTGGACGATAGAGAACTGTAATCCTGATCCCTATTTCGAGATAATTCTCTTGATATCCATTAAATTTTATTGAGACCATGAACTGATTGATGTTAGACCACCATTGAGAACCTGGAAGCACTGGAAGGCCATTTTGTCCTACCTTGGGACTCCTCAGCATTGCTCATCCACGACCCCGCTCGCGGGATTCGGATCCAGGACCTTCGGTCTCGCGTGCGAACGCTTAACTTCTAAACCACTGAGTCGGCATCCAACGGCATTAATGTTTAACTTCAACTAATAATTGCCGTGTGCTCACTAGTGACTAGCTTTCTGAAGGAATTCTTGGAGTTCTAGTGAGAAGCCGTGACCCTTGGGGATATATATATAAAGTTGACTTGTTCACTATACAGAATGGAATCACTGAATGAATTCGTTTGGTGAGGGTAGCTTTCAATACTTAAACTTCTCACTTACTATATTACTTTTTAAGTTATTCAGTAGTATGATTTGATTCAATTTTAAAAGTTAGGCAGAATAATACTCATAACTTAAAACCATGACTAGAAGATTTGCTACAAATAATCAATAACCAACTAACTCACTATCAGAATTCTACCTATAAATCACCTTAAAAAAACGGAAAAGATGTTTTTCTTCGAATTTCCTCACTCAATTGTTTATAAATAGAGATTTTATGTATATGCGTGTATAAGTATGATAGAATAGAATCTCAAGAGGTTTATTATTGTCCTAAATAAAGTATAAATCCATATTTTACAAATAGCCTAATTTATATGGAAGTTTGGCTGACACTATTACTTACGGAATGCTTTAATAGTCATTTTGTTTGTTTACAAAATCGGTTTGTATTCTATACGATCTCATGTAATTTTATTAGTAATTGCTTTTTAGGATTACTTGGCTCAAATGAAATAACTATAGATATTTCAATTAATATTAGAAAAGGGGATTTGTGGAGATAGTAGCAAATTTCATAAGCTAGACCACCACTGAAAACCTTGATGCACTGGATGGCCGTTTCATTCTAGTATGGGACTCCTCAGTAGTGCATATTCAATTCAGTTATTGTTAATAGATTCTCTGATGAAGACCACAACAAAATGTATCATATTTATATACATAAATATACACTGAAGGTATCTTACATAGATTAGAAGAAAGCTTACTCTTTTATACATTCCTTCCTGGAATATATCTATCTTTAGATACATACTTATACGTTATGATCAAGAGAGTGTAGTTATCTTATGAATATTTAGTGGTTTAGTTAATAATACGAAGATTGGTGCTCTAATTATGTGATATGAGGTACGTATCAATCTACAACGGTTACGTGAACGTTTTTTTCAAATGACCACAATCAAATAAAGTTTACGAAGAAGTTGAGTCACTTAAATTGGTGGATACATTGCATTTTAGTCGTCAGTAGTTAGTTATTATTAATGACAGTTAGTATCAGTAAAATCTATTACATAAATGACTTTAAAATTAGCTATTGACAAAAATAAGAAATTATTTCATATATGTTAGAACAATCATATATTTTTTTTTGCTTAGCAAACCACAGTGAGACTATAATTTATGGACGAACCAATTAGATTTAGGATGACAGCTGTTGGGTTTTGGCGCGAAATTCACTCATCCAATTGTCTAAATAACGTTTTGGCATTTTAACTGATGTCAGTTCATGATGAAAACCCCACATTTAATTCCTAACCCCAACCATCAATTGTAAATTGTTATCTATACTCTTCATACTGCTTTATAACCATCATTTAACCCTAGTAAGTAGATGGACATTCCGAAGGTCACTTTAGCGTTGCTCAAAGGACGTCCATAAATTATAGTCTCACCCGAACCACTTTAAATAAAATGCACTATTCATCAACTTTGATATGATTCTATTTTATAGTTCTAACAAAGACAAATGTAACAAATAAAGAGTATTGTTGATCAGATATCTAAACTCTCTTTGTAAAATATATAATTCACTTTTTGTGTCTTACAACTTTCCATAAGATCTTATCAACCATAAAACAGAGATTCACTAAAGGAATTGAATACAAATCGTGCTTTGCCATAAGGTGACTAAAGCTGAAAGGTCTATTGCTAAATCAAGATCCACTGGTTTGAAAGTAATGGGTTCACCAGGTACAATGGTTGAACACTAGTTACAAGTTAGTAACTAACACTATAACTGTGATTGTCAGTTTTTCATGATTTATGGCTGACCTAAATTCTTCAATAAAGGCACTTTAAAGCAGGATATGTCAATGATTTCGGATGTTTAGCTTGAAAGTTACATAAATCTTAACAGTCATAAAGAAGCTTGTTCGAATTTTGTATAGTAGGATATATGTGATATTGATACAGTCGATCATTATATCGGTGTTACAAAGGAAACAATTTAACTTATGTCTGACAGCCAGAAGTATACTAATCGACTAACTCTAGAAAAATTCTATTAGCATGAAGCAGTGTCAATTTCAACTTATGATTTAGTAAAGAAAAATATTATAACTAGTTACCCATCTTCCTGACTTAATTTATATATATATATATATATATATATATATATATATATATATATATATATATATATATATATATATATATATATATATATATATATATATATTAACAAATACAGTAATATGAAGTCACTTTTCAACCTTTACTGATAAGAATTTGTCAAATCAACAGCTGGCTACTCATTCACACTAATTACATCTCAGGTAAAGGTAGTTTGTGTACGGAATATAGATAGCAGTCATGGAATTACTGAAAATCGAGAAGTAATAAACGACTGTTTCAACTTCCATTTTATGACTTCTTATTAGTATTCACCTATGGTCGCACAAGATTAACACTGATTAATGCACAATATTGGCATCCATATAATGAAGAAGTCCAGTAATATTTAACAAGCTGTTCGCATCTTACTGCAACTATTGTAGATTTATTGTGCATAAGATGAGGAGTACATAGTAGTGGCTAGAAACTGTTGATTACATTGACTATACACATCTTGAATCAAAGCTAGAGTCCCATAATGGATTAAACGCAATAAGATTTAGCATCTTCTGGTTACAGCTACTATGGTTGATAAAAACATTACTACTGATTAACATAATGTAAGTACGAATAAGAAAATGTAATAAAATGTCTTACTTAAAAAACCCCCAGCTTTATTGATAGACAAAATAAGCATTAAGTGAACTAACTTTATTAACCCATGGAAAGGGCATTGTAAATTGACACCATAATTTAATCGGGGCTTCCGGTGATAAAGGATCAACAATACGTGCCCATGACAAATCTGAACCAATTTCTACATGTTTACCTTCATGTAAACCTGGTTTTATAGCTGTAACAGTACGACTTGGTGGTCGACCTTGTGGTAATTGAGCATATTCTGTTGAACTTGGTAGTACTGGTTCACGCCATAGCCAGGATTTAACTTTTGTTTTCCAACCAATGGACAAATTAGTTTGACCTATGATGTTTAGTAAAGAAATAATTTATTGACATTCTAAATAATTTAATACTGATAAACAATGTACAACAAGTGTGTTGTATTCAGTACTTCATTTATCAGATCCACGCTATACAATAGAGTTTCAATTCATTTTGAAATGGTTTGAGTTATCTCACTGTTGATGTTTTTGACTGAAATTTGATCAGCCTTGGTTAGTAGTCAGAAATACCAATAAAGCGATAATTCAAACCATTTCAAACTGAATTAAATCTCATACACGTCGAACAAGTAGGCGGCTGTATCGTCTAAGTAGATAAGTGAATGACACAAAGGCATTTGAAGTGAACGGTACTTAGTTCGACTACTGTAGTGAACATTAAACTGTAGAATGCTGGTACATCCGGGTGGAGGGCCCGAAATAGGACAAGACATGTGTCCTGGATTTCACTGCTAGCTATATTCCATCTATAGTAGAGTTTAGTTTTTAGTGACAATTTAATTTCTAGTGGCTAGTGTTATCTATATTTAGCTGTTATAAACATGTTGGTATAGCTGAACTTGACAAGTTGGATGAAAAACACAAATATGGTAAAGAGCAAGGGTTGAAAACGAAATCCATCGGTAATTCGACTAGATTATAACAAAAACTCTAAAAAATACCCCAGAATAAATGATATATGCATTTATATGATTGTTTTACAAAAGTTGTTAAAATTCTTGCCATAAAAATTGGACCGAGTATAAATCTTTGGATTATACTTAAAGTATAAAATATTAAAGTGGGTAAATTCCCATAACGTAAGATAAAAAGATGAATAAAAGTAAACATATATACATTCTACTTGAATTAAGCTCTAATGGTGTTGTCCAGAAAGAAAATGGATGCTGAACAATTAGACCAACAATAATAGGATTCATTCGAGGTGTAAAACGTCTCTCTTCATTTCCATTCAAAGTAAGTTATGCAATTGTAATAATTAAACATTTAAGTCCGATTAATTGAAATTATGTATAATTTGGATGTGTAATATAGTAGGACATAAACTGACTGGAATTGAAAAAATGATGACTCATTCGATCCCACGTCTCAGTGATCTATAGATATTATACTTAACTGAAGGTCTCTGAGTCCTGGTTCACATCTCACGGGTAGTCATAACTTGACAATACTGGATAATCAGAATTAGCATTTAACAGTTGTCGCACTTTCCCTTGATTTTTAGTCTTTATGCATAAATTGTCAGTTGATAGTCACCCTATTGTAGCTTCTACCTTAACGTACTGACTGAGATTACCTATCTTGAAGACTCATTCAAGCTTAACAGGATAGAATACTTGTTATTTTAGAACCTAGCATGCCATCCAAGTTTATTGGAATGCGGTAAGCATAAAACAAGCAAACTCATGATCCCAGGGTGAATTTTGATTTCTAACTGTACCGGGTTGTGACAGTAGTAAGGTTTTGTTTTTTGACAACGATCGTCTTCAACGATGTTGAGATCGTGCAATCAAAGGAGAAAGTATGAAAAGTTCGGAACAAAAAATAGGACACCTCATTTCACTTCTCGGATTTTCATTGAAAGCTGTAAGGTCTGAGGAGTATAAAGCTAGCATATCTATGGTACCTCACTAACCGGTCTCAAACTGTTATGCCTTTGTCTCTGTAATCACGCTCTCTCATTGTCAAGACCACTCTTAAAGCATTCTCTACTTCAGTTGCTACAAGAAAAGGTATTCTTCCACAGTGTGAACGAATGGGGAGTCATAATATTCCTCATCACCTTGTTCACAATCAAAACTTCATCTGTAACGGAGTTTATATAAAAAAATAATTACAAAATACTTCAAAAAAGGGTTTGCACTCATAAAGAAATATTGCCAACAGGAGCTAATCAGAACAACCTGAACAGCTAGCCACCCCTTAGCAAACGTTCATTAGTGAGTAATTAGACCCTATCTTTATCCAACCTGTTTATTTTACATGCACTGTTGTTGTGATAGAAATCAATTTGATTATTTTATGATTACAATTATGCATTCAATAGTTCTCATTTTACACACACATTGACGTTTAAAAAAAAACATTATTAATTTGCACTCTTATTTTTACTTCCATTAAAAGGTAAATTAATACCTAATATCAACTATTAATCAATCAATCAATCAGTCAGCCAGTCAGTCAGTCAGTTAGTTACAACATAGAACCAGGCACATACATGTATCGGTCCAAGTTGCCACACCTCATCAGCTATTAATCACTTAAACTTACACATATACACATATCTATTCATTCATTTATTTTCACATTCTGAACTTTTCATCAAATGATTCACAACTAAATAATTTATATTATCCTACTTAGTAAAGTTGAAATCAGAATAGAATTGAATAAGCATCTAGTATAGATTCCTTATTCATTTTGATTTCAATGATTATGCTAAGGAAGTTCTAGACAACAAGTATATTGAATGAAACATTGGAATTATTTAAATTTAAATAATAACTGTAAGATAATTATGATCGTGGATGCGCACTGCTGAGGAGACCCATACTAGGACGAAACGGCCGTCCAGTGCTTCCAGGTTTTCCATGATGGTCTAGCTTCAATTGACTCATGATTTCAATCTGTGAAATTTCCAAAATCTCCACAAACCCCTTCTGAAGATAATTATGTATCAAATAAAATAGAGATCCAAATTATATTATCGATAATTGATTACCATAAGTAATTTAGTTAAACAGATGAAAGTTTTCAATAATAAATACAATTTATAAATAGAACCGAATGATCCTACTGTAAAACTTGTAGAGATCTAGACAACATCATTTATCATTTTATAAATTTCATTCATAAAAATGTACCATTACCAAAATGAAACATCCACTCGAAAATAACGTGAATAATAAAGCATACAGATAAATGAAAAAAACCTTAGTTATTTTGTAGTATTCCCATATGAATTATGTATGTGTGAATACACGTCACACACACACACACGCACACTATTTCTCTTTCTTTCTTTTTTTCCCTCCTTTTTTTCTTTCTCTTTCTTCAAATGGGCTAAGTTGGTTTGTAACGTCATATTAAGAAATCAGTTAGTTAGTTAGTTAGTTAATTAATTAAACAGTGATTTATATTAGCATTTATTTTCAACTAAGATTATTCACTTAACAACAATATACAATTTATAGAGAATAAATAGTATTTTGTCATTTCCAAATGCCTTATTATTATTATTATTTTACATGAACAATGTAAATTACTTTACTTTTTATATGACAGTCTATGTCAAATACATATTGATTTTTGTTGTTGTTGCTTATATTAGATATTGAATATATTTTGGATATACCTGGAGAATAATTGTTCACTTAGAAGTTACAAGTACCAATCAAGAATAAAATCAATTTATTAATGTTAAGAAAAAAATGTGATATTTTAAAGTCACTTCATTGCACAAGTAAGTGACTATCAGAACTCAGTAGCTAAGTGGATAATGCGATGGCGTTTAAAGTAAACGGTATTGAGTTTGAGTGTCAGAGTGAACATCAACTTTGAGAGGCAGATACATTCAGTTGACGAGTTCTAAATGGGATGAAATGCCCATCCTAAATTCCACTGCTAAACACTATTTATCTTCGCTTAGATAAAACTTTTAAAAGTTATAAACTTCCTGCTATATGTGTGATGCTATGGATGTGAACTGATAATGTCTGATGGAAAAAAACTAAATGATTTTACTATTTCCATAATGATTCTCTAGTTGACTTTATTACTGTGGGGATATATCATTCCAGAATTATAGAGAAAATTTACATTCACAACTGATCGATCAAGTGACAATGTAGCTACTAGACTAAATGACGACAAGTGTCAATTAACGTGAGATTTATATCAACTAGAGTTCCTCGACATATTTCAAGTTAACTTGTCTTATAGATTGTTCATTCAATCAAACTAAGATCAGTTGATTGCTTTGCGAAGAAGAAGAAGAAGATAGACTCCGTTTCAAATCAAGGGGATCCTGGATAAACGCTTAATCCTAGTTTACAACTACAACAACAGAATGATTTGAAAGTATGACTTCTACCTCCAGACCTGAGGTTCCGGGTTTGAGTTCAGTATAAGAACATGGTTGTATATTCCTAACGAAGTAAACGAGTATGGCATGAAATGACTATTTAGTCGTTAAATTCCAATGGTTCTCCAATGGATATAAGTCCGTGACTGATTTTAAAAAAATTCTCTCATTGATTAATTGTTTCTTTCTTATACAATGGATTTGTAATTTTTTATTTTTCTATGAGTTTATTATTATTCAACAACTTTATATCAATCCAGATAGTCAATCATGTAGCTATGAACCTACATTGTTTTTCTACCATATCAAAATAGCGATATTTTTGTTCGATTCACGTACTATTTTTTAGTGTTTAAACAAAATATTAAGGTTGAATAATGGCTAGAAATCAAGATGAGTGCTTTGTCTAATTTGAGACCCATCAACTGAATGTACTTGAACCTCGGTGTCGAAGTTTAAATACTGAAACTCACACCCAGTACTTTTCACTTGGCATACTAACGCATCATCCTCTGAACAATCGAGTTAAAAAATTTACTGACTTGTATATCTTTTATTAAGTTTATAGCAGTTGGACACAGAAACATTCTCCTGACGAGTTAAAATAAGACAAGATAAATGCATCCGGGATTTTACTGCTAACCGTAATCAGTACATGAGAGAAAACCTGCAAAAATGGTTATAACCACGTCACGTGTACATACGGCAACTGAGACTAATCAAAACTTTCATGTGTATAAAAAGTGAAATAATTCATGCCATTACTAATAAAGGTATGAAAAACATCGTTGTTTAACTTATTTTGAAAAAAAGTACTGAAATACACTAGTGGACTTTAGTATCTGTTTGTTTTCTTAGCCATTAAAAAATCAAAAAAATAGTAAACAACTACAGATGAAGTTGTGTGGCAATACATGAAAATCAATGAAGTTCATGAGTAGGACTCGTAAAAGGAGGCTATAAAAAATTGTGTCCACCCGATCATATCAACTGATCTTCAACGGTCAAGGGTCAGGTTAGAATTTTTAAATTATTAGGTTGATTGGTTGGTCATATAGTGATAAATAACATAGAACCTCATGTAAATATGTACCAACTAAGGTTGCTATACCTTATTGGTGTAGTAAAGTGAAGTTCCGAGTATGAATAACAAAGTATTCAAAGCAATATCGGCGTTAGTAGAAAGAACTAGGTACAGAAAAAATGGTGCATTTAGGAAAAAACAAATAGAGATTTCAGTTATGTCATTAATACCGGTCCTGAGCTAAATCCAAAGTCTCCAACCGTGGATAGAGGTTTTTGTGCGGACTCCAACTAAGTAGCTTTTACAGTACAGTATAACTCAATTCAGCATTCGATGACTTCATAGTTTGATCCCATATCTTGGTTTAGCCATCTCCACTTTTCTTCTATTTTATTTATGCTCTATGAAATATAATGAGTCGAGGGAATATGTATTACACGTTCCAATCACTTTGACCCACAAAAATTTGCAATTCTTTCGGCCGATTTCATGTCGTTTCACAATACTTTGTGCTTAGACTCATAATCTGTCACCAGGAGATTTCACGATACATGAGTAGTGAATCGAAAATAACTGAGATGAAATATTTACAGTCTATGAAAGATCCCTTATTTTTTAAAGACAATCTTTCATATCCATAGAGTGCAACAAAGAGAACTGTTAGATACTATACTCATTACGTGATTGGAAAACCGACATGTTGCTTACGCCCCACATTAAGTCAAGCTAACATAAGCTAAGAGAGCTTTCTGACTTAGGTTTTCAACAAATACTTTATTAAATTTATTAGTATTGGTAATAAGAACGTTATATATCTGACAATACTAAGTAATGCAAGGAAGCGTTAGTTGTCAACATACACATCCTGGTATAGATCAGGTGCAAACAACTATCACACAAACGATGTTACCACATAATATATGTATATATATAAGCAAAAATGTATTCATATAATCTTTCATTTAAACTACACAAGGTTTAGCCTTCAGAGAAAGCATGTTGTTGATCTTTGAATGAGACAACATATAACAACGATTTGGTGGAAGCGTGTTACTTTTTAGTCTTTTCGTGTAATAAATCAAATCCTTTGAGAAGTGAAATAACACGTATAGCAGCATAATCATTTTCTGAACAACCATTTCAACTTCACACCACAATTAGCGGACACTTACGTTATTAAGTTGGTCCGACGAGAACATCATATAATGTGGTAGCATACTTCCGACATTTGGCAATGTTTTATTGTGCGGTTCTTCGGGATAGTTCTTGTCGACCACCACTAGATATGCATCTAAACTTGTGGTGTGACCATGACACTTATAGTGTCCCATATCTTGTACATCAACATTATCTATACGTAGTATTAACCGACCTTTATCATCATGCATCGTGTATACTGTGGTTGGCACTGTGTTTTGTAAGTTTGTAGAATCTTTCATATTACTGCTGGAACTTGGAGACAGATTGTCATCAAAATTCAAGTCGGGTGGTGATTTGCTTGAACCAATAGAAGCATATGGATGTGGTCCAATCTCTCGACTTGTGTAATCATCTTCTACTTCATATGTCCACCGTAAACCACCACAACAAATAAAGTAAATATCACTGCCAACTACAGCGGTAACATTAGAAGCACTGCCCAACTCCAGACTAGTAAACTGTCCATCAGCATTTGGTTTGCAAGATTCCGTTGAAGGATAAAAGAACACCAACAAAATAAATTCAATAAAAGCTATGGATCTAAAAAATAAAAAGTGGTAATATGTTATTTTTAACGACATAGTCTTTTAATTGTCGTGGCAACTTCTAAGTTTGTTTTACTTCAGTAACTTGGCACGTTCATCGTAGTTTCAGAGAGACTACAGAGGAATTACTGGTTTTCAACAGTTCTAAAGTAACTTAGCTTTACGTAAAAGAGTTGCAAAAATCACAAAACTGGTCAATTTCTCAGTCGTATGTGTTTTCAAACCATAAGCCAAGCATAAATATACAAAGTAATAGTATTTGAAAGATTAATTAAGAAATATTCAAATGTTTGGTCATTATGGCGAGATTTTTAGGTATTACTGTATAGACAATGAGGTTTCGGATTAACGCGACTCACTTCTATATAGGAAGGCTTATCACACCGAGGTAGACTACCATTGCAAACATAAAAAAACATACGCTTTGTTTATAACATTTGATGGCGGTTCATAACATGATGAATTAATTTGACACTTCTTCGTAATTAACTGATAAAATCACCATCCACAACTAGAAGGTTCTACTAGAAAATATAACATGGCGCGATATCTTAACTCAAATGTGCGTGTTACTTGTCGTAAAGTTATTCCAACCAAACTGGTAAAATGTTTATGTCCACTTTCTTTTTGTTTGATTTTTGGAAGATGTACATGGAAATATGATAAAGGATAAACGACCGTTTCATATCTATATCATGATTTTGTTAGTCAACAACCTACTAGAGCTGACGAAACTATGGTAATGACCAACATTATGTGTGTCAGGTGTTCCTTCTATCGACCTAGATGAAATGTGACCACTAGTCTAGGTGACTCGACATCGCGTGCATTATGTTGAGATGAGATGATGGTTGGTGGTCAACAGGAAATTCTGAAGATGTTTATTCCTAATTTTGCTGCGTTTTGATGGTTATTTAATCTTTTGACTGAAAGTTATTTACTGAAAACTGACATAAAGTGGTCGAGCAAACCGTACAAACCAAAATATTTTAAGTTTTAGCCACACTCTAAATAACAAATTATAATTGTGAGAATGATCACCATAAACCAACTCAATCAACTGGACAAGTTAAAGAAAATAGCATAACGCTTAAGCTTCACTTTTAGCCAGATATACAGAGCCTGTTTACTACTTCAAATGAAAGAGAAGGGAAAGGTGTGTAAGGTGAAACTCAAAGAAATAATTGTCGTTCTTACGTAAAAGACAAAAGAATTACTACAAATAACATTTCCTAACCGTACATCAGATCAGTTTAAGAAGTGTGCTGCATGTTATCGTTCGAAGAGTTAACTGATGTGAAAACAATACGATATGACAAGAATAACCAAATCGCGGCATAAGAAAACCGATCAAATATTCAAATACTCACAAGATCTCTCAGCATTCCTGCGAGTTGAATTTTTTGAACAGCAAAGTCTAGTTCTCACTTTTCGAAATTAAATTAATTCGTCAATAAAACTGGAAAAACATGTGCTAGGAAGGTTTTAAGTCACCCAGTACTCTACAGGCAACTAAACTGAATCTCAGTCTTTCTCTTACAGCCTTTAAAATGCGAGTGCACACAACTAGATTCATAGTTTACAAGCATAAAACTTACGAATTCATCTGTCTGTTGCAAATATAGAACGTTATTTAGTATATGCGGGATGAGAGTTCAAAGTAATTGACTTACATAAACAATAAACCTGACTTCAGGTTTACTCGAATAGCGAGCTGGTCAGTCTACTCAATATTTAGGAGAAGTTTGAAAGTAATCGGAATTTTTGGCAAACCAATTTCTACTTATACTGATAATGTTGATAGTTCAAATGGTTGTGGACGGAATAGAAGCTTTCGCTTAACAGGCTTCCGTATCTAGTAACAGGGGATCACCAAATCCTCCAGGCAGGAACCTAGGTATGTTAACAATAAAAGAAGAAAAGAAATTAGTAAATCATAGTGTGATACTATCGTTAGTCCTTAAGAATAGATTAAGTTGCCTCTTAAATGAATCCTGAGAGGTCGCTAGGTGTTTGAGAGATTGTCCAGAAGTGTTAAGGATACTGTAAGTAATCAGAAGGTCACCTCTAAGACGTCTATAGTCTAATGAGTAAAGGTTAAGTGAATGGAGGCGCTCTTTGTAAATTTGAGTCCTCGAACTGATTTCGTGGCTCGCCGTTGGATACACTCCAGGGTGTCCTTATCCTTTTGGAGTGAGGGAGGAAATGCTATGTTTCCGTACTCTAAATGGGGACGGATAAAACTATTGAAGATTATATGGAAAGTTCTTCCGTCAAAATTGCCAAAAATGCGCTTCAATGTTACCAGTGTAAGGTTTGCTCAGAAGGCATTTTTGTCACAGTTAGCATAAAACTTTAAATCGTAGTGCACCAGGACTCTTAAATCTTTTTCGACTTGGGATACTACTAGAGAGAAGTTTCCTAAGTTGTAACTGTAGTTTGCGACATGTCTCAGATGAACTACTTTACACTTCGAAGTGTTAAAGTTCAGTACGTTATCGTCTGCCCAACTTTGAAGTCGAGTCAGATCCTCATGAAGTGCCTGTATATCGTCTTGGTTGCGCAGTGTTTGGTTCCTCAATGCAATTTACGTTTCTTATGTTTCTTACGAGCTTGTGTTAAACTGTCGGTTCCTTCACGCTCGATTATCATCAATTGGGTACAGTTTCAGATATTTGATAATATGTGGTATTTGTACTAAGTGATAATTCTTTCGTACTTCATTGAGCGCTGATTACGATTTCTAAGTATAATACGTTCACTGTGCTCATCTAGTTCTACCTGCTTTAAATGCTACTGTTTCATGAACCCTTAGCCAGTCGACTGCACTAATTGTAGTCAGCTTTGCAGATATTTATGGATTTGGATATTATGTAATTTAGATGAGTACGTATGTCTTAGAGCAGTAGGGTTTCTGCATACCAGCAGTTATCAAATTACTAGGCAGGTTTGATTGTTGTGTGAGGAGGAGTGTAAGAAAAACTTGACTGCTAAGAGAGGACTACTCTTTCAAGAACAACAAATAAGTTAATTGATTGTTAATGTTTAAGAAGCTTGACAGTAAGCGCGACTGACCGGTTATGTAGAAATAATATCCGCGGTAAATTATGAGACATTAGTCAGATGCAGAAGGATTTAAAAAGTGATGGCCACCCATGAGTGAGTACGTGCTTGTCAAGTCTCCTCTTGAAGCTACTTACTGAGGTGCTTATTGTCACTTCGACAGAAAGCGCATTGTAAACACGAACAACTCTTAAAGAGAAAAAGTGCGGACGAACCTAGTTGTTCACTCTTTGGCGTAGTTCTTTGTTGTGTTTGAATGAACTAATGATACCATTGTACTTGTTGAATACTTGATTTCGAATTCTGAATACAATACATTCGTTTGTTCTCATCTAGTATTTCTTGATTCAATTGCGTTATATCGGGGATTCTTAGTTCGTACTATAATTCAAATACTTCTAATTATCATATTGGCGTCGCGATAGAGCCTGCGATGGAAAAGTTAGATATTTATTCAATTTCTGAAGCTTTTGAGGATTATTTGGAAAGGTTCAAAATCTGGGCTATGACCAAGAAAGATTATGAGAATGTTAATATTATAGCACATTTCCTCACATTCATCGGAAAAGAAGCATATAGCTTATTAAAAACTCTGGCTGTACCGGAAAAGCCCATATCGCTTTCTCATACACTTCTCCAGGATCTACTGCCAGACTATGTTAAGTACGCGAATTTCTAATGCGGTAAAGGAAGAAGATTTCGTAAAATGATTCATGAGGATATAAAATATTCCACTGCATTACGTCATCTCAACCCAGCACATACTGAAGGTTATGCAGATGATCCATTGGGGAGTTGCGATGCAGTTCATGAAGATTAGCACAAGTTTGGTTAATGTTTGTTTTGTGCCAGGTTTCACTCTTTTAATTCATGTAAATTTCGTAATTCTAAGTGCTTTAAATGTGGTGATGTTGGACATATTCAATCTGATTGTAATTCCACCGTTCATCTTGCTGCAACGAATATTAAGTGTTGTAATTCTGATTCTATTAAGTCCAGTGTTCCTAATGATCATTTATCCCTACCAATGATTTTAAAAGACAGTGTAGATTCATATAGCAGTTCAGAGTTAAGTGAAACTCAGAATCTTTGCGAGACAACAGTTTCTAATCAACCAACTTATCAGATTTCTCAGGTTATTGTACCAGATATGGTTTTTCCTAATGATTCACTTATTTCTGACGAAATTTCTTACAAATCTGAAGGAAATGTGTTGGATGAACCTAATCATGATCGAAAACCTGATGTAGTTTTGATGGATGCTGATTTTTCTAATGATCTATTACTCTGCAATGACATTCCTAATAAATTCAAGGAAACTATTTCAGGAGAGTCAAAGCTTGATGTCATACCAAGTATTAGTTGTCCTCATAATGCATTTGTTCCTTGAGGGAAACTTGTTCAATCCGAAGCACAAGTATTAAATGAGCTCGATTTTAATTACAATTCGGATGATTTCATATCAAATGCTGTTTATCCTTATCGCAAAGTCACTTCTAATGTTTACTCCAGTCAATGTGAGAAATATGTTTTAAATGAAGCCACATCATTCATAAATTGGGGACATAAATATACAACATTATTTCGTGGGGGAGGATAGTGTTGAAAAGACTCCTTTATTTCTATTCCCTTATTTTCTACGTTTCGTTCTTTAAACTCAATTCAATATTCTTCTCAATTACACAGACCCGATTTATTATTAATAATATTCTACTATTATTACCCTAAATTCTTTTTTTTAATACGGCAAGTATAATGCTAACATTATTGAAAATTGTGTATTATTGCATTTTTCGAAGAAACCCAAAATGGTTTCTTCACAACACTTATGTACCCATAAGATGTTTGTAAATAATAATAATAATAACATTATTTCGTGGGGGAGGATAGTGTTGAAAAGTCTGTTGTTCGAATTCTAGATATTATTGATTTCAGTACAATACCGACATGCTGATTGTATACAATTCCGAGTGAGTCTGTTCCGATTTCGTTTGTTAATTCCAATACTAATGAGCACATTCTAGATACTACAGATATTTTATCCAATACAATGTCGGACAGACACAGGATGAACTTGAGATGTAAAATCAGTAACAGACATATAGACACCAGTTTAAGCTGTGGCGGATGTGGTGTTTGAATGAACTAATGATACCATAGTACTTGTTGAATACTTGATTTCGAATTCCAAATATAGTACATTGGTTTGTGGTTATCTGTCACTTCTTGATACGATTACGTTATTTCTGGGATTCTTTGTTCATACTGTAGCGGTAAATTAATCCCCAAAATAAATAGCTCTGTAAGTATTCGACATTGGATGCTGACCAGATTACTTTTAGTGGACTCACCTGGCTGAAGGCGATCGATCATGCATCCACACCAGATCACGTGTGGGAACGCTGTGTTCAACATCTACTGCGATCGCTAGCCAGACTAGATCAGACAATTCCGACATAATGGCGATCGTCAAATACAACTTCTGATCTCCTCAATTCTGTCTTTTGATTTCTCTTGGTGGGTACCAGTTATAATAGGTGTTACTAGTAAAAGCGTTGTCAAACACTGAATACCTGTACCATCTTCAATACTATAATTCAAATACTTGTAATCATCACATTATTTTGGTTTCTTCTAGTTTAACTCCTACGTCGCTACTGAAGCATTAATGGTTTGTCTCGTCACGAGGTATCCATTCACAGCAGTGCCTGTCTTCTGAGTTTTAAGCGGATTGTTGTCTAAAGTATGTTAACCAAATCCTCGTGTAATGGGTGCCGGAATTTTTTGGCCTGTGTAGCGTGGTTTGCTTACGTGGTCGTGGTCCTCGTGTTCTAAACCGCCGGTTGTTGACCGAAGTTAAACGGCACCAAGTAATAACTAATTAGGCTTTTCTACAGTTACGCTACCGATCAAGGTCAACGTTAACACTACATAATGTGACCGAGGATGTCGTGGCCTTAACCGTACCAAGCCTGAAGGACTTCAGTTAATTCCTCTCGATTTCTGAAGTTCACAGAAATCAGAAGTGGAGACTTGATGCTCGTAAAGTCTGACGGACGAGGTATCCTGGTGTGAAGGCTTATGATACACGATAGCCAAAGCCACTGTTGCCTATCGTGTTTGTGAGCTTCATCCTGACTACCAACAACTAGCCTAGACACTCGATGAACCATCATGCTGGTTGGTTCTTGGGTGTCCGCCGATCTAGCGGCATTTCTCACTGCCCAATGTTCTTCATCTCTGACTCAAATTCGAGAGAATCATTTAAATGATGGTATGTCATTAAAATCTCCTCCATCAGGTATGCTGTGTCCTAAGTTACTCCCAGTATGAAAAGTTTGCCTTTTGGAGCATTTACGTTGTTGTAAAGGTGCTGTAGCTTCACTGAACTGATATCTTCCCAGTATTGTACAGTATTTGTCCCAAGTTTCTTTGCCAAACGCTGCCTAACCTTCCAATAAGCTGCACTCCAAACTTTTCCAAACATTGCCCTCGTCTTTAAACGTTTTTGGAGCTGGGCTTCGGATATTTCTTTTTCCAACACACACCGCTGCTTCTTACTGTTAACGGATACTGAGGTATTAGCAAAAGTCAGAAACTATTAGTCCACGAGTTCAGATTGTTCTTCTCATAGTTGCATGTTTGATTATGTCTGCGTCGGATGGATTGTGCACATTGTTTGGGATTGATACGGTCATTTTCAATAAAGCTCTATTTTTTGTTAGTTCTGTAGATGCATTTCTTTGAAACAGTGGGCAAATATACAAGAACCATGGACAGGTGTAACTTTACGTAAACCCGTAGTACTGCTTGGGTACTGAATTATCACAGTAGCAGTGAACTTGTAGTGGCACTGGACCTAACCACACAATCCTCAAAGCTGAACACGAGGCTACTCAGAAAATAGATATTCGAAATTTAACGCGGAGAAATACCTAACGATGAAGAAGGCGGGAACAAGGGGTTGAATGGATTGGAGTTGATCGGATGACATGACTCGGCCATGCAGGCGTGGTCCCTGCGGAATGTTGCCTTATATTTTTTATTCATAATAAATATATTGTTCTTTCTATAGCCTAAGCTTGTTCTCCAGTATGTATTGGTAGTTGTTACGATACAGTGAGTTGGTGTAGATGATGATGCGACTTCCACATAAGATCTTATAGATTAGGCAGTTATATCATGACAAGTCTACAATATTAGGACTAGGTCTATAGTTAGAGCAGTACTAATATCATAGTAGAACATAATTCTATAAACTCAACTACTACAGAAAGCACATTAAAATGCCAATTCCCTGATCTTACCGAGCGACAAGCACACGATACAATTATTATTGCTTTGTTATTTTTCTTCTGTTGGCTGAGTTAACGGGAGTTTAGAACAGCCAATTCTCTCAATTCGTTTTGTTTACTAGTCCTTCTTGGAGTAGGAACCTGGGTGGGAGTGTGATCCTGTATAATATTGAGAGCTCAATTTAAGTATTTCAGTCCAGTGATCCGTCGTCTTGCACTTGCTTACGATCTTGTGGCTAGAAGCAAGGATTCTAAACTTATTGTTAACCCCTAAATTACTTTATTTTACTTATTGTGAATAATGATCGACATTGCTTACGCTTTTAAATTAGTACGATGATTACTCATAGTATTAGTTTTTGTGTTCCAGTGTGATATATTCTAATTACTAGCGAAAATGAGTGTAAAATCAACATATACTGAGTGTACTTTCGACTACAATCTTCTGGTGCTATTCTTAGTGTCTTTACTTCATGACGTGGGATACACTGTTGTTCCTCGTTTTTCAAGTGTGAGGAATAAGTGGCGACAACAAAACAAACACGAAAGGCAGAAATTCCAACATGACCTTTTACTGTCCTAGCAACTTCTCGTGGTTCCAGTAGCATATCAGCACGCCCTGTATTTATAAGTGAATAAATATGTATGTGTTGCATTTGAAGCAACTATGAAAGGGTATTTTATCGAGGCAGCTAGATCTACCACACAGTAGTTCAACCTTGATATGATTAGGGTTGTCAGAGTCGTCATTATTTTTGTTTGCCAGCGTGGAAAGATGCAGTTCACTCCACTCGAAGTGGCCAAATCTTCAATCTGGTGAGATATCAGAGTGGTTATATCAGACTCGAAAACCGACCGCGCATAACATTCAGTTTATTTTCACATTTCATCAGCCTTTTAGGGTCAGATACTTTAGGAAGACTAGCCAATTCCCAAAGTTCAATTCGACGTACTAAGTTTGGTTATTGTAGCTTTACCAATTAATCTACTGAAAAGAGCTGAGCAAAATAGCGCGATCCCCAGAACTACTTCGTAGCCGGTTTGACCATCAACCAAACTGTCACGATAAATTTCACAAGTCACATTTCAAGCTGTTAAATTCGTTATGAACCATGTCTGTAATTGTAAAATGTACAGGCATACCAGTCGAATTTCCGGACTCGATCAAATTAAATCCCCAACAAATGAAACTGAAGTCTTATCTGACTTTTCAAGACCCATGAGACAAGCTCATAACAAAACCAAAATGATTAACATTGTCTCCCACTACATACGAAATCTGCCAATACCCCCATTCCCGAGGACGAATAAGGCTCACTGCACTACGTGGTCCCAAATGTAAAGGAAGATAACTGGGGACTACACGTCTCTCGCTCGCAAACAATACTAGTTTGGTACCCAGAACCACACAGCCAAGATTTCAGTAAGTGTTGCTGGAGAACCTTAAAGTATTTAGTTTACCGTAAACTGTTGTCGTGAATATTACTGCAACTGATTTCCGGCATATTCCACTTACCCATGTGTGAGTTCGGGTTATTTATATTTCCGGGTTTGACACTGGTTTCATTCCGATAGTTACAATTACTATCAATAAATCCTTATTTAATTGTTCAATCGACCTGGACTCTACATGGTAAATCAGCCAAATATTTCTCTTCCAATCATCCAAGAGTTTGCAATTTCTGATTTGATGCAATGGTTTTTGTCTTTAAGAATAAATACCAATAGTTCTACTGCTGTAACGATATTTATTATTGTAAACTCCTTGACTTATTATTTTGATGATACATACATTTCTTAGAGAATAATCAAATATTTTAGTTTTGGTAAAATTATACAGTGTCATATGTAAACATTACATTAGGATTTCAAACAACAATGATGCAATTGAAATGATAGGAATCAGTGTTTCTACATATCGTGCATTTATAAGAGAACGGTGCGTGAAAATGCAAACAAACTGGGATCCACATAAACCATTTCAATCTTCTTCGGTGGAAATTTCCTCACAATCTAGATTCCTTCCCATGAATCGATGTCAAGATCCAATTGAAACTTCTGATATTCACATTCACTGTTTTATAGCTATACATTTATTGTTCAAAAATGTATATGTACATCCATCCAATATTCGATCGATTATCATAAAATCAAGGAAATTAGACCAATTTATTTTTCTGTCTGATCAAAACCACTTTTATTAATCACTTCAATCTTTAGTTTTTCATATAACTTACGACGTTTCTCCATAACTTTATCATGTTCTTCCTTGTCGATTGAATTACGGTCTCTCTAAAATAAATGGTAGGATAAAATCAGAACTAATTAAGTAAAAGTGGGTTTCTTGAAGTTTCGCATAATTTGATAGTGACTTGTTTTGTCTTTAGTTGAGTGGCAAGTAGTTTGTAACTTCTGAAAAGAAATTATCCGGAATGTCATATTGGATTGAACTCAGGTTTAACGGCTAGTATGGAACCTTGAAGCAACCATAAATCACCATTTAATTACTTAGATTTGAAGCTTTTACCGCGAAACCTAGTGATCTTACTAAATGGAGGTTCGCGAGTGAACGCTGCTTATAATTTACTAGTCGAGACAGGGACACATAACACTTTCAAGTGTGAAAGTTTTCTTTAGTTGTCCTTTTAAGCACTGGAAGTATATTAACTCTTATTAGCCCGCTCCCCTTTCTGTTCAATCATCGCTATTGGAATAGGATCCCATGCTAAATAATAGTCGCAATGTGATAATCACCAGAGAAAGTATTTATTAATTAAAAAGAATCATACGGAAATTAAATATGCACTGATTCTACAACTTCAATGATGATGTATTCGCTTCAAACCGAGAAGCCACGTACAATAAGAAAAAAATTATCAATAATAACAAAAACTTCCGAGAGAATAATTCCAAGATCCAGCCCTTCTGTTTCAGTGGAACGGTTTTATAAACGGAAGAGAAGAAGCTAATAACTCAAGGAATAAGGGTAATTAGTTTATTATCTATCGCTGAACAGAGTATCTCAGTAGGATGGTCATATACCAATTTTTCCTAACGGAGTCTAAATGTCATTTTGATATAAATACAAATGAAATTCTGAAATGAAACGAAAAACTACTGAATTTATATCATTAATCTAATCAATAAATCCACGACCGGCAGTTGAAAAAACTATTCCACAAAGTATAAATCAAATTAACCTTATCTTCTTTAGATACCTTCTTATTTTTACGTCTTATCAGAATTATAATTACCTTAATTTCAAATGATCAGAAAGGCGAGACTATAATTTATGGACGAACCAGTCAGATATAAGAAAACAGGTCTCGGATTTTGGCGCGAAATTCGTCAACTCATTTGGTTAAATACCGTTTTGACATATCGTGATGAAAACCATTTATCTAATTCCTAACCCTAACCATCAACTGTAAATCAAAATTCGAATTCCTTATGCAGGTTTATAACTTTCATCTGGTCCTAGTTATTAGATGGACAGTCTTAAGGTCAGTCTACCGTCACTCAAAGGTCGTCCATAAATTATAGTCTTACCATCAAACATTAGATGAGCAGTAAATGATGATCGAAAAAATAGAAACGCTAAATTGTTAAAATTCAGTAATTTCATCAACCTAGGAAGTTGATAGTAGTCCTTAGTTATGATAGTGACCACATAAACGTTATTATCCACAATATTCTTAAACAGTTATCAGCATTAAATGAATTTGCGGAGAGTATTTCACAAAAGCCTTTGTAGTATAATTCATGTATCTACTGTATAGATTAAAGATGAAATTTTCAATTAATTTGTTTGGTAAATTATTACAATCAACTTACATTATTAGTATATACAAAACTGTTATCTGTTAAAGTTTGTACATGATCAGAAAATAGCTTTTCACGCTTTTTCTGACGCATTTCGATCAGTAGATCACGTTGTTTTCTTAGAAATGCCTGCTTTTCAACTAATTCATCTTTAGTTGGTCTTAAAGTATTGTCATATTTTTGCTGATGAATGGTTTCAGAGTTATTGAAATTCAATATGTGATTCCATGATGATGATGATGATGGTGTTACAGTATCAGAAGTTAGTTTTATTTCATGAGGAATTGTAGAGTTAGTGAGATTTTTTGTAGGTATATCACGAAAAGTATTAGAATCACTCTGAAATAAATACACAGAATATGATATATTGGACAAAATGGGCAATAAAAGTATAAAATATAGTCAATGTATTCATCTAACATTAGTGAACAGTTATTAAATGATGCCGTCAAAATGTAAAGTATTAGCTCTGATCTGAATGCAAACATGCCAAGATATAATTGACAAGATCAGATTTATTAAAATTGTAAAACTTTAAATCTCATTCTCTGAAGATTCAGTATATATATTCCTTGATATCATGGACAGAGGAACCTCATGTAACCTTCTTCCACGCTATTTTGTATCTGAGAAGATTGGCAATATCACACGGAATACACTGTGAAGTCGTGCAAGAGGAACAGATGAGAGACGAGTTCCAAGTGAAGACCGGTATCAGACGAGGCTTCTTACTCTCGTTTTTTCTCTATCTTCTGGTGGTCGACTGGATTACGAAGATCTCTACATCTCGAAAAAAGCATGGAATACGGTGAACATGTTCGATGCAGCTAAACGATCTGGACTTCGTAGATGACCTAGCTCTCCTATTTCACACACACAAACGCTTGATGGAGAAGCTCTGAAAGAGGTGGAGACATATAAGTATCTGGGTAGAATCATTATTAAAGAGAGGATCTGGTGCAGATGTGATGAAAAGGATTGACAAAGTGATGGCAGCATTCCTACAGCTCAAAACAACTGTCAGTCAACATCGAAGTCAGAATCTTTGGCATGAACGTCAAAACAGTTCTACTGTACGGAGTCAAAACGTGGAGAACTACTACAACCGTCATCATAAAAGTACATGTATTTATAAACAATTGTCTACGCAAGATACACAATGTCCGTTGGACGGATACCATCAGCAGTAACCTATTATGGCAGAGAACAAACCAACAGCTGTTACTCCAGTTTTGTACCATAAATGTTCTAGCTGTGCACACATTAAGATTATTTATTTATGGTGCGTTGTAGCCCTATATTCACAGTAAATAATCACATGAGTTTCCCAGATCTGAATAATAATACGGAATAAAATAAGGTATCTTAGGTGTTCTTCCGAAATTCTAAAAAGTAAATAGAGGAAGTGGTAGACATTCTTCGTGAGCAACTGAACATAGTCGAGTTAGTGGAATTATCGTCAGTATTTTGGGGCAAAATTTGTTGAATGCACATAGATTTGCAAATCTTTCTCCATTTTTGTTTCTCTGTCCCAGTCCATGTCGTCCCATAATATCTTCTTATCCAGTGTTGTCTATTCCGACTTTGGCATTTAGATCTCTCATTCGAATGGTGAGGGCATTTCTCTATGATTAGTTGCAGCCTCTCATAGAATTGATCTTTCTCGTCGTCCTTGCTATCATCGGTGGGTGCATAACATTGGATAATACTCATTGTGATCCCTCCTTCTTTGTTTTGAATAATACTTTGATGATTTTGGATCCCTGAGATTCCCATTATACAAGTGCATTTCGTGCTACTTTGGACAGCATTAGAGCAACTACCTGGGTGTGTGGAGCATTTTCCTCTTCGTGGCCGAAGTATAGCAGCATCTCTTCCGTATTTAGCCTTTGTTGTCCAGCTTGGGTCCAATGGGTTTCGCTGATTCCCAGTACAGCCAAGTTGTATCTTCTCAGTTCCGTTGTTACTTGACTGGTCTTTCTGGTGTCCCATGTACCTATAAAAATTGTTGCTCTGGTTGTTAGAAGGGGCATCGGCCTCGTGGCTTCCGAAGAAACTCGCCTTTTACCATGAGGTGTCATATTTCTTCTAACCTAACCGCTGCTATGAATCCGGTGTTCATCTTGTTGTGCTGACGCGGTATGGCAACCTGGACCGATGCACATATGTGCCTGGTCCTACGTTGTAGCTGACTGACTGATATTTCCTCTAAATAAAGACCTTCTAACTCCCAAGGCAGAGTTTGACTGGTCTGAATTGTGTTTTTTTCTGGTAAGCGTTTTTTTTTTAACAAGTTATTTTTCTACGGGATGGGGTCGCTAACCCCATGCCCAACCCTCCTCCTTTACCCGGGCTTGGGCCCGACAGTAGCTCTAGAAGAGCTACGAGCGGAGTCCCATAATAAGACGAAACGACCCTCCATTGCTTCGAAGTTTTCCATGGTGGTCTAGCTTCAAATGACTCATGAATTCAACTACTAAACAGTAGAATTGTTGGAATAGATTTATCCATATGTGCGTTAAATTTATTTTTTAATTAAAAACTATTTTATAACAATACCTATTAAGTAACTTACTTCTGATTGATGAGATAAATCTAAAGAATAATCCTTACACAATTAAGCTGCTAAGGGTAAGTAAATTGATATGAGAAACCAGATTAAACAACTGGTTAATTGATTAGATTCCTTTCTAAATAACTCAAGATGAGAGCATGTCTATGAATCACATATAAGACTAAATGGCCTAAGTGTCATTTTAAAAAAGAAACCATTCAGCTATTTAAGGCTGAAACGACTAGTCTACTCCAGAAAATAAATTATACTATATAAAAATATAACTTGGCAAACCAACCGCTGGCAAAACTGCTGACTTCATGATTCGAAAACTACTAGATTGATCCTGTGTATGGTTGTAGGTGTCTATGGTTTACGGAGTACAGTCAAACTGATTACACATCTCATGGTAGCTTCATAAACAAAATGAAAACGTGTGGCCTACTGTAATCAAGCAAATCATTCATCTATCCAATGTCACAACCCACAATCTCATATCTGATTTAAATCGACTACTGATAAAAACGCATGACCTATGAAAATTTTGAAAATACATATTTTTAAACACATATTTTAAGCAACAATACGAAATGCTGAGCAATCCTATACTAGGATGAAACAGTTATCCAATACTTCTTGATTTTCAATAGCACCACAAACTATAATAATGACTACCTGTGAAATTTGTTAATTGCTATTATCTTACTCTTGAGTAAAAAGATTATTATCAGAATGGGTTTTGTGGAGATTTTTAGAAATTTCACAGGTTGAAATCATGAGTCAATTGAAACTAGACCACCATGGAAAACCTGGAAGGCCGTTTCGTCCTAGTATGGGACTCCTCAGCAGTGCGCATCTGTTGTGAGATATCAGCTCACTGAAGACAATGGTGTACAGTGGCGCAACTTCGTAAAAAGATTATTATCATACAATTTTCTTCCCTCTATTTCATTGGCACAATTTTTATTTGTTCAGCCATACTGACGTGGTCACTATTAAAATTGTCTGTGTTGAAAATCAACCAATGTTGTTGGATTTATCATCTTAAAAGTGAGTTTCTTAATTTGAGCATATTATTACTTACTGTAAAACTGTTTAATATTTTGATAAATAGATTCCAGGAGAGTCAAAAATGCGTAAATGTTCAAAAAACGGTATATATATATATATATATATATATATATATATATATATATATATATATATATATATATATATATATATATATGAGAGGAAAACAGAATTTGCACATAATTAAAAGCTTGCCTCTATTAATAATTGTCCATCGTTCTGATTATGTTGATTTTTACAAAGTTCACTTTGAATTGTTTCTTTAATTGTCTAGAAAGTTGATTTAAAGAAAAGAATAAGAAGAAGAATACAAACAAAACGTACAATAATAAAATAATAATGTATTTGTGATCAATTAATGAATAGAAATTTGAATTATTGATGTTTCGTGACTTATTGCAAGTCACCTCTTCAGAGAAGAAAAACAAACAACCGGATTGAATTAATACAAGTTCAAACAATAAAGAAGAACAAGCAGTATATTCTATTTAAACTAATATTAATTTAATGTGGTTATTTATATTTATTCTCTGAAGAATTGGCCTACACTAAGTCACGAAATGTTAGAAATACAAATTACTTAGTTATCACGAATACATCATTATTTTATAACTAACATTCTACCCAATGTCTAGTTTACTTGTAAATATCAAGATTTAACTCTTGGTATTGATCTCCTACACACACACACACACACACAGATTTCGGTCAAATTACCTTCATCATTCCATTTTTCTGTTGAGATTTTTCTAACAACATATCAGTTAGTTCATTTTTATTTATTTCAGTAGAATTATTACCCAAGGAATCATGATTATTGTTGTTTGAATACGTTTGTCTATAAAGAAAGTTAGTTTCAAAAATAAGAACCGATAGAATTTATTAATCAATAATGGGCAATTATAATTATTGAATAAAAACTGAATATGAATTGTAATAAGTGTGCATATAGTTTCAGCAATTACTCGTAACAACGGAATTATTGATGATCAATACTATAAAACGATCATTTATTCAAAACGGCAAGATAGCTTAGATAGGTTCGTTTTTTTTTTACAGATATGTTTTACATGAAAAGTGTTCATTATCGATTAGAACAAAATAAAGAACAGATGAGAATCAGAGAGAATTAGGCAACTATTATACCGTATATAGTATTGCCTGACCTAGACTAGTAGTATGGTTCATAGTCAAGTATAAAAATCTTGATAAAGTGTTTAAAACTCATGGATTTAGTTTCACGTGACATACTGTGCTATAGAAATGATAAGGATTGTTAATTTCATATGAGATTTTTTTCAGAGCTCTCTAAATATAAATGGTTCTTTCAATGGTTAAGATCATGAGTCATTTGAAGTTAGACCACGATGGGAAACCTGGAAGCACTGGACGGCCGTCTCGTCCTATTGTGGGACTCCTCAGCAGTGTGCATTCACGACCTCGCCCCCTGCGAGATTCGGACCCAGGACCTACTGATTTCGCACGCGATCACCTGACCACTGAGCCAGCATCCAACGGTGTTAACGTCTAACTTCAACTAATCCACGAAATCGAGCGACACACCCACCATTGTCTTCAGTGAGTTACTATCTCCAATTGTTAACCGTCTCCCATCTATTATCAACGTAAATTCTTGTACAAATATGCGTTGGTTCAAGTCGACATACCAAATTAGTGTGAAAAGATGAAATTAGCAGGATCGAATAGTAAATGAATCGAAGTTTATCAGAATTATGTGATCATATGTTTGCGTAATACATTTCGAACAATCTGGTCACACATATACTTGTCAAGGCATTTTTATATGAAAAGTAATAAAATATTAAAGATTCCCATTGTGAAAATTAGAACAACACATATAAGCGAGCAATATTGTTTTCAATTGGATCGTCATCAGGCTTTACTCTAATATACATGAATATTAATACGAAAATGTTAAACCAATCAAGGCAATATGAGTCAATAATCACAATGAAATAGAATTAGTCTCTACACATAAAATAGGTAAAAGTACAAGTTGATAGTAGGAAGACAGGTGAACAGATAGTGGTAAGAATAATAAACTACAATAACAAAGCTCTTATCAATAGTTAATCGTTGGAAATAGAAGGTCAAATAAACATGGGTAAATAGACTAGGAATAGTAATCACAAAACATTAAAATCATTACGTAATAAGATGTGTGTAAATAATTAGATAGTGAAGAATACAAAGAGGCGGAAAATTACAAACAAATAATGAATGTGGAAATAAGGTTAACGATAACACAAATAGAATAAAATAAATAATGATAATAATAAAATTTTAAAAAAATAATAAAAAAAATTGTTAGTTAGGTTATAACTGGCCATGGAAGGGATAGGGGGGTCACGTATTTCTTCTGTACACATAAATTGGGGTAATATGTACGAACTCCAATGGCTTCAGCTATATGTAGGAGGCGGGAACGAACTCCGTCAGGAAATGATGGAGGTATACGATAGATAACTCGAAATTATTTCGATTTATCTACAGCATGACCGCTATCAATGAGATGTGCCAATATAGAACTGAGAATAGATTTTATCTGGCCCTTTATGTACCAAGTTGGTAGATGTCCACTCATTCGTTGGTTAAGTTGCCTGGTAGTACACCCTATATAGCTATCTCTACAGGAGCAGCTGAATTTGTAAATGCACATAGAAGAGGCCAACTCAGGTAACTTATCCTTCGTTTGAGTAGACATCGCTGGTCAACAAGAGAAGGTCAACGCAAAATTGGCTGCGTAGAATGTTCTGGTGATTAGTTTGGTTACTATTATCAGTTCACCTGTCTTCCTACTACTATCAACTTGTACTTTTACCTATTACGTGTAGTGACTTATTCTATTTCATTGTGATTATTGACCCATATTGCCTTGATTGGTTTAACATTTTCGTATAAATATTCATGTATATTAGAGTAAAGCCTGATGACGATCTAATTGAAAACAATATTGCTCGCTTATATGTGTTGTTCTAATTAAATAAAAGTTCACGTCAAATAACAAAAGGGGGGAGAAAGAATAAGAAATTGTCGCGTTATCCTAGGCCATAAAATGACTTAAGGATTATCAAGGTAAATTCAAGGTTACGACAAATTGTTTTTGTACACATAAGGGGGGTATAAATTTACGAATAGCTAAGGCTTCAATAAACTTAAGAATTCGTCCTTGACAATTTCTATACAACGTTCTAAAAGCTGTATTAATGTCAGTTTTGTGCCCCGTTTCAATTATATGTTTCGCTATCGATGAACCTGGTTTCCTAACTCACACATTGATCGGATCATTTGACATACATTGATTTTGAAGCCAACTAGACACATGTTCATTGAACTTTGATTGCATTGTTCGACTACTCCTCCCTATGTCCTTGAAGGCTTTTGTATAATACTATAAATGCTGAATTGATATCAACCTTATGACCAGTCTCAATCAAATGTTTCACAATGGATGATGATGTCTGCCTATACTGTGATCTTATTTGACCGTCGGAATTAAATTGTTTATACAGCCATTTTGGTATGTGTTCTTTGTTATGACTTACCTTTAATCTGTCTAGTTGACCTTTTAATTTTCATATATAAATGTTCTTAACAAGTACATAATGTGTGATCAGATTGATTTGGAAATGTATTACGCAATCATATCATCACATAATCCTGATAAACTTCGTCCTCTTCGTCTTGCATTATGGAAATTTATCAAAGGGACTAATTGTCTTAAATGAATCTAAATAAATTTAGCAGCAATGCTAATAAGAAAGATCATGATACATATTATCTTCAGATAAAAGAAATTATTTAAAATGTATACATACATGAATTGATTACCGTACTTCTGTTGAATATAATGTAATGCTTCTAATTGTAAATCAACATTTACCAAAGTCATTAATTGATAAAATAATTCAAAATTCCATAATGCAATTATATAAGAGATTGAACTAAAAGAAGGATCATCTTCAGTTATTTTATAAGTTGTATACATTTCCTGAATTTGATTGTAATGAATTGATGAGCTATTTAATAGACTTTTCATCTAAAGAATAAGATTTAAACAAAATGATGTCTAATATTGATATAATGGTATAGCTCAACTGTGAACTGGTAGCTTATTTGTTAAAGCGTACAGATTTCAGCTGCTACGTTGCAGGTTCGAATCTCAATCCATCTAGCTTGGTTACGGCAACCAGGTAGCTTTGCTAGACCCCACATCTAGAGTGAGTGGCCCGAAGTCAAATATTACAACTGTTATGCAATTTCAATGCAAAACTTAGTACATATACTGCTAAATACACACAAGACTTCTACTACCCTAGATTATTACGTAACCTCGGCAACAACAATGCTTTATTATTTATAGTAGCCACAAAAATTACTACTTATATATTCATAGATACGGAAGTTAACTTGTGTTTATTAACAAATAATCAGATTTGCGATGAAGAAACAATTTGTTTCACAATGGTTTTTGTTCTCAAAACATTTTTATAAGGAAATATAACTAAAGGAAATTCATGTATCCATTAGGTCAAGTTTTTACTTCTAAGGTTTTTATTTACATATGCCAGAAATAAAACGACTAGGAGAATGGTGTAATTTTTCAAACATAATTATGAAAGGTAAATAACTTTTATTTTGAAATTAATGAACTCAATATGCTACAGATTCCTATTAGGACGCCAGGAAGTTCATATCAACACTGGTCAGTACTAAGCAGATGGCGATTATAAAAAATGAAATTCTAAAAACTGCTTTCGACTTGTGCAAGACCAGACTAGAATTATATTAGTAAAAAAAATATTCCACTGATAGAAACAATCTCGATTTTTTCCGAATTTCTTCTGCAAACGAGAGGTGAAAATGAATGTGTGATTTACCTCTTAACCTGTTCTAACGCTAAGAACCAAAGCAGTTGAATACACAGATTAATTCATTTATTTTGGACGTACTATAGGACCTGATGAGTTAGTAGTTCGGAAAATCTAAGCACAAATACAAAAAACGTTTTTGATTTGCAAATCTGATGTGCCTGTGACGTCGAATAAGCATTCGTTTACCTATCAAAGGATAGGTATATTTTCAAACAGTTCGCTTTTTATTGCCTCTTTTGAAAATGGATGAAATCTGAAGGTTATTGCTATACGACCATAGAGGTTTTTAAAGTATTTGTCACGAATGATAGATCAGTCAAGCGAATAATTCTAAACGCACCGTGTTTGGAGAAAAGTCAGAAGCAACCAAACCACCGAACAGGTTATTAAATCATTGATTGTTGGTCTGAGTCATTTTGCTAGGTACAAGCTACTACATTGCGGCCAGTGCCATAATCGTGATCAATAGTTGAAGACTGGTGAAATAGTTCGAGATCAGCTGCAGTAGAGCAGATGTATTCATTTTTCATAGTTCACAAGGTCGGTTTCGAAACCCTCATACTTCTAATGTCGCAAACTGATTATCTTTTAAAATTATTTCGTCTACATGAAATCTCTAATTCAACAACACTGCTATCCACTTTCGTATTGCCGATAGTGTGGTAACTTGGCCTGAGTCAGCTTTGAACCAGATCTCATATTTCCTATAGCCAGTTGTGGTTTATCTAGCCTCTTGTGATGTATATCCAACCATAACATACATTTGAGGGACAAAAAGTAGTGTTAGTCAATAACTATGTATCCATAACTAGTTCATTAAATGAAAATCTATCTAAGAAAGGATTGTGAAATAAAGAATATTGTCTATTTCTACTTACCATTTCTGAAAATTCTTTGTGTGTTGCATAATGTTCAGAATGAATTTCTTTTCACATGTGAATACTGTTATTATTATAATGTTAAAAGCGTATTTGATCAAGTTTTATAATTACTAGAACAATGAGCATCCATGAATGATTCAATATGAGCTGAAACCATAGGATCGCTAAAAAAATTCTCCAATTCCTTAGTATCCATTCCTTTTTACAGTTTAATTAGATGATGGGTAAATGCAAAGAAACCTATGGATATTTAAGACAGAAATTGGTTTTGTTATGAAATCAAAACATCAGTTTGATGAGCTATGCCACTTCAAAATGAGATATAGAGTCGCTGAGAAAGTTTATGAATGTCTGAATACCAATCAAGCAAATAAGAAATATACATGGAACTTGATTCCGTAATACGACAATATTTTGTAACTCTAAATAATTATATAGTTGATATTGATACGTCTACACTTCCTGACAGGGTACTAAAGATCAGAGAGATTCGTCGTTCTTCACTTTTGGTTTTCAAGAACGATCACAGTTCCTAGGCAAAGTCTGATACGAAGAGCCTAATACGTCATTCGCTGTAACTTTATCAAACCCACAGTCCAATCAAGTCTTTGGTGCTTTATCCTAAAGAATAGTTATAATGATTAAAAATTATCATATCACTAGATACTTCATCAATTAATGTGATGAAAGAGGAATATACTAGTTAACACTACTGTTTGCGAGTCCAGCAGTTGGTGAAACTTATGCTGATTGAAGAGCATATGTTGCCGTACAAAAAATTAACAGTAGACGTTATTGACCTACCATGTAGTGTAATGATAAACCAAATTTCAGAAAATTGTGATTTCGGTTAAGCTTGTTAGGGAGTTGACGTTATTACTTTAGGAAAAGTATAAACAACGCTTTAGGAATGAAAGTTGTGTACATGGACCAAAACAGTATATAAGTAACACAACTTTCTGCGAGTCGAAATCCTCAAACAAGGACTAAGAAGACGAGTTTAAACATGATAAAGATACCCTCAAACACGAGATAAGCATTCTACAGAGAAATGGAGCCGGATATCATTCGTAGGTCATACAAGATAAATTCAAGTGAACTTATAGACAGAGCTAAAACGTCTTCAAAGTCACCGGGTAACTTCAAAACCGGAATGCGGATTACGACTGGGAAATAAACAAAATTGGGTCACCAGATATTCTAGTCTGAGTAGTCTTACGCGATATAGTTGAACATCGTCACAGAATTAGAAGTTTGACAACGCGTCACCCAGTAACAACTACCATGAATCGTGCCCACCTACTGAAATCTAGAGTCGAAAGTGAACAGGATCAAAACCTTTTTATACACTATCAATTATATTTCAAACCTCCTCGCTTCTGTCGTTTGATTTCACTTGGTGGACACGATTCATATTAGGTGTTACTGGTTAAAGCGTTGTTAAACTCCAAATACCTGTGGCATCTTCATTGGTGAGCCGATATGATCTGGTACACCAACTTGCAAACTGCCTGTTCTTTTTTGGAATTTCATATATCATTGTTTTATTTTAACTTTTATATATTATGATATTTCTTTTTTCGTGTTTTTGGATATTTTTGCTTCCTCCTCCATTATTGTACTTCATATTTAGTCATGACGGAACAAACACCTAAGGTATTTAAGTTAGAGACTGTGACTCCACCTTCATTTTAACTGATGCCCTTTTGGCCAGAAAACATCGAAGCCTGGTTCTGCTACGCAGCAGCTGACTTCTACGAGCACGGTGTGAACGACGCACGTGCACAATTCCTTGCAGTAGCCAAGGCACTACCGCGCGAATTTAACAGGTACGTCACACCTAGTATGTTTACTAGTGATGTCCCGGAACCTTACGAAACTCCTAAACAATCTATTCCTAAATGCGGAGACCTAACCGATCGACAAAGGTTAGACCAACTCCTTAATAATATCGATCTGCAACACGGTTCAGCGACAGACATGTTTCAGAGAATGAGAGAGGTGATTGGCCAAAGAACTTCCGATGATGGCCTATTCAGACAACTTTTCTTGTCTAAACTTCCTCAACAAGTGCAAGCTGTGCTGGTCTCGTTTCAAAACAACGCCATAGACGAGCTAGCTGCATCTGCTGACCGCATTTTAGAGATCACCAAATCTTCTAACTCCGAGGTTTTTTCAGTCAAAGAAAAACCTCAAACGACCCAGAATGACATTACGGAACTATGTCATTCGCTGACACGTTACCTTCGATTTCGTAATGGCCGTAAACGGTCACGCACTTCACGTAGGCGATCTGTCTCTAGACCACGAGAGACCGGTAACCCCGACTGGTGCTGGCATCATAACCAGTACGGAAAATCTTCAAAAAATCACAGAAGACCCTGCAATTTTCCGAACTCCAAACCGACCGACACGAAAAATGTTTCGGGAAACCTCCAAGCCGGCAGACATAGCCGTCTGTTATACGTCACAAGTGTGATAACGAAAGTTCGCTATCTCGTCGATACTGGCGCAGAAGTTAGCGTTCTTCCAGCGAATTCTCACGACCGGCCTCGCGAATCTGTTTTAAACTTACAGGCGGCAAACGGAAAGCCTAACGCTACTTATGGTAAAAGGTACGTTTATCTTAACGTGGGTTTACTCAAACCCATTCACTAGATTTTTGTTTTTGCAGATGTTTCTATGACAATCATTGGTACAGACCTCCTACAACATCAAAATCGAACCATAAATACGCGCAAACAGAGGCTAGTAGACAGACACACCAATTTGCCTGTTTGCGTAACTTCTTTCTCCGGTTGCAAATTATCTTCTGTCACACTTAGGCACACGATAGACTCATTCTATCAACCATTAATCGATAAGTATTCTGGGATATACCAATCCGCAACCGAAATTGCCGTGTGTAACTAGCAACATTACACATCACATCATGACTACAGGACTACCTGTACTCTCGAAAGCACGACGACTAGCCCCGAAAAGCTAAGGTTGGCGAAAAATGAGTTCGAATACATGATAGACTTACGGATCGTACGACTGTCAAATAGCCCATATGCATCTCCGTTGCACATGGTCCCTATAAAGGACAGCAGCGATTGGCGTCCGACTGGTGACTATCGGCGATTGAATGCGAAAACCATTCTCGATCGTTACCCGTTGCCCCACATTCACGATTTGACAGCTACTTTGAAAGGTACAACTGTCTTTTCGAAAATCGACTTGGTTAAAGCGTATAACCAAATCCCCATGGCTACAGACGACATACCGAAAACCACCATCATTACTCCCTTTGGACTCTATGAATTTTTGCGAATGCCTTCGGTCTAAGAAACGCTGCTCAAACATTTAAAGATTCATAGACGACGTTTTTCGAGGTCTCAACTTCGTACATGCGTATGTTGACGACTACCCAATAGCAAGTCCGGACAGAGAATCGCATCTCAAGCATCTGGATCTTGTTTTCGAACGACTACAAAAACATGGCATTACTGTAAATGTCCAGAAATGCCAAATCGGAACTGACTCAATAGACTTCCTAGGACACACTATAGATGCTCAAGGAATTTGACCCCTTTGAACCAAAGTGGCGGCCATTCTGGATTACCGAGAACCGACCACGATCAAGCAGTTATGAACGTTTAACGGCCTTGTATGTTTCTATAGACGATTCAAACTAAATGCGCGTTACTCATGAAACCTCTTACCGATCAACTTTGTGGAAATGCGAAATCCATGAATCTGGACGACACCGCACGAAAAGTATTCTCCACAAATAAGGAACTTATTCCTTGAGGTTTTTCTTTGACTGAAAAAACCTCGGAGTTAGAAGATTTGGTGATCTCTAAAATGCGGTCAGCAGATGCAGCTAGCTCGTCTATGGCGTTGTTTTGAAACGAGACCAGCACAGCTTGCACTTGTTGAGGAAGTTTAGACAAGAAAAGTTGTCTGAATAGGCCATCATCGGAAGTTCTTTGGCCAATCACCTCTCTCATTCTCTGAAACATGTCTGTCGCTGAACCGTGTTGCAGATCGATATTATTAAGGAGTTGGTCTAACCTTTGTCGATCGGTTAGGTCTCCGCATTTAGGAATAGATTGTTTAGGAGTTTCGTAAGGTTCCGGGACATCACTAGTCTGTAAGGTTGTCTAGTACTTCCAGGTGTCTAGTCGGAGTCATTTACAGGAAGCCAACTGCCGACACCGAGTACGATAGTCGTATGCTGGAAGGACTATCCCGCTCTATCCGTCTCGGTTTCACACACATCCTGATTCTAGGGGACTTTAATCTCCCTAGAGTCAACTTCGCGGAACACACGTACACTGGAGGCGACAACTCAACTGAAGCTCGGTTCTTCAACCTCATCGATAACTTGGGCTTATATGAAAATGTGAGGTCGGCAACTCGTTGGAGAAACAGTCAGACACCATCGCGCTTAGACTGTGTATTCACTAACGAAGAATTCCTAGTCGACAACCTCTCAATCCTGGCTCCTCTGGGAAAAAGCGATCATGCCGTCATAGCCTTCAGTTTTGTCATCAAAACTAAGCTAAGGTATCCCAACAATAATTTGCGATGGAATTTTAAACGGCTGAATGTGCGAGCTCTACATGACCATCTACAACAGGTGGCTTGGGATGTTCACCCTCAAATCGATGTGGATGGTCATTGGGACTTCTTGCTGCACACGCTCTTACGTGCTACAGACCATTCAGTTCCTCAAACGGTTCCCAAAAGCTTCAAGCCACCTACAGTAATCAAGAACCGTACCCTTCGCCTCCTAAGCCGCAAACGGCACTGTTGGGCGGAATACAAACGAACTAATAACGATGGAGCGTATAGGCAATACAAACATATCAGGAACACATGCACGAAGGCTATAAGAGAAGACAGGCTTCAGTACCAAACAAAGCTTATGGACAAATTCGCCTCTAACCCTAGAAGCCTATTCCGTTATGCAGCCTCTCTTCGTCAAGCCAAAACAGGAGTTTCTCAACTGCTAGGTCCTAACGGCCCGACCAACAACGATGGCGACGCCGCTAACCTTCTGGCGGCCCATTACTCTCAAACATTTCAACCGGCTGATATCAACTTTATTGACGACAGTTTCATCTGCAATTCCACAGGACTTTCTGAAGTGGACCTAAGCGCTGACTTGGTGTTCCGGAAACTGCAGCACTTAAGACTTGACACTTCTCCTGGCCCGGATATGGTTCATCCTGCCATACTGAGGGAGGCAGCCTCAATCCTGGCAACGCCGCTTAGCGTGATGTTTTCACACTCGCTTAGCCGAGGCAAACTACCGGAAAATTGGAAGTTGGCTCACATCACACCAATTTTCAAAGGTGGTCGACGCAATGAACCTTCAAGTTACCGGCCGGTAGCTCTTCTGTCGTTACCTTCAAAACTCATGGAGTCCCTGATATGCGACGGTTTAAATGACTACCTACTGTCCTTAAATTTCTTCTCACCCCAACAGCATGGTTTCAGGAAGGGTTACTCTTGTATAACCAACCTGCTGACTGCGGTGGACAGATGGACAAGCATCCTCGATCGCAAGGGAAAGGTTGATGTCATTTACCTTGATTTCTCAAAAGCTTTTGATAAGGTTAACCACTTGTGTCTTATCAACAAGCTCAAACGACTAGGTATCAAACCACCTCTAATCGACTGGCTTACTTCATACCTAAAAAATCGACACTTTAAGGTTAGGGTTAATTTCACTTTATCTCAAGCTATGGAATGTCCTAGTGGGGTCCCCCAGGGCTCAGTACTAGGGCCTCTTCTCTTCTTGATCTACATAAATGATCTTCCTCAACAGGTAACGTCAGACTTATTACTTTTTGCCGACGACGTGAAACTTTGGAGAGAGATACGCAACCAAGACGATATACAGGCACTTCAAGAGGATCTGACTCGACTTCATAGTTGGGCAGACGATAACGGACTTACCTTTAACACTTCTAAGTGTAAAGTAGTCCATCTGCGACATGTCGCAAACTACAGTTACAACTTAGGAAACTCCTCTCTAGTAGTATCCCAAGTCGAAAAAGATTTAGGAGTCCTGGTGCCCCATGACTTAAAGTCTTACGCTAACTGTGACAAAAATGCCTTCCGAGCAAACCTTGCACTGGTAACGTTGAGGCGCATTTTTGGTCAGTTTGACGGAAGAACTTTCCACACAATCTTCAATAGTTTCATCCGTCCCCATTTAGAGTACGGAAACATAGTACTCCCCCCTCACTCCAAAAGGATAAGGTCACTTTGGAGCGTATCCAACGGCGAGCCACGAAATCAGTTCGAGGACTCAAATCTAAGCCTTACGAAGAACGCCTCCGTTCACTAGACCTTTACCCACTAGAATATAGGCGTCTTAGAGGTGATTTATTAATGGCTTATAGTATTCTTAACACTTCTGGACATCCTCTTAAACACCTACTTAAGCTTAGTTCGAACAATAACCTAAGGGGTAACACCCAGAAACTGGAAACACAACATAGCAAGACGGAATGTAGACACAACTTCTACTCCTTAAGAGTTGTCAAAAGCTGGAATTCGCTGCCGGCCGAGCTAGTCCAAGCGACTTCTCAGGAGTCCTTCAAGAGGCAACTTGACCTATTCTTAAGGACCAAGGACAGCATCGCACTATGATTTACCAATTTCTTTTCCTCTTTTATTGTTAACATACCTAGGTTCCTGCCTGGAGGATTTGGTGATCCCCTGCTACTAGACACGGAAGCCTGTTAAGCGAAAGCTTCTTCTATTCCGTCCACAACCATTTGAACCATTTGAATACTAGGTGTGACGTACCTGTTAAATTCGCGCGGTAGTGCCTTGGCTACTGCAAGGAATTGTGCACGTGCGTCGTTCACACCGTGCTCGTAGAAGTCAGCTGCTGCGTAGCAGAACCAGGCTTCGATGTTTTCTGGCCAAAAGGGCATTAGTTAAAATGAAGGTGGAGTCACAGTCTCTAACTTAAATACCTTAGGTGTTTGTTCCGTCATGACTAAATATGAAGTACAATAATGGAGGAGGAAGCAAAAATATCCAAAAACACGAAAAAAGAAATATCATAATATATAAAAGTTAAAATAAAACAATGATATATGAAATTCCAAAAAAGAACAGACAGTTTGCAAGTTGGTGTACCAGATCATATCGGCTCACCAATGAAGATGCCACAGGTATTTGGAGTTTAACAACGCTTTAACCAGTAACACCTAATATGAATCGTGTCCACCAAGTGAAATCAAACGACAGAAGCGATGAGGTTCGAAGATATATTTGATAGGCTATCAATATATCGTGGATCGACTGATATAATGTGGTTAGCGATTGCATGGGTTGTTGAGTACAGCCTTTTCTACTCAGTGCTATCAACTCAATTTGTCCATTAGGAATTATATGGTCAGCATCCAATATTGAAAGGTTACAAAGCCATTTATTTACCTCTACATAGTGAACGAGAACAAATTAAACATGAGTTTTACTTGAGGAGTGAAGAAACGTCGAGACAGAATAGCGCAAGTGCTTAGTTGCAGACCAGCCGTTGATTGTTTAATGCCTATCCGCAAGTGACTCTAGTGAATGAAGACCGTTCCACAACAAGTGTCTGGGAAATCTAAACAAAAACAGGATATCTAGATAGTCTTTTTAATACAGAACAGCAAGACTTGTAACTAAACTTCTTGAAATGATCACTGGATTTAGTCAGTCATTCAATACACCGAGTTGTGAGTTATTAGCTAGTATTTTCTTACATGTCAATGATTGTTTACTAGCTGTATATAGTTCTTCACGATGTCATTAACAGATAAGAATAAGGGCGGTGACAACGATGGGGTAGCAATTGTGATGTACACTCAACAAGCCGCCACATCATGTGGTCGGTCGTGAAACTATTCCCACAGTCATTCAGTTCAAGTAATGTAGAACTTGGTAAAGACATTTGTTAGCTCAAGATACTATACCAGATTAAAAATACGAAGTGAAAATGAAAGATTTGGATAATTTAATGACAACAATGGTCGAGAGGGCTGGCATTGCAGAACTTGATCCAGAATAATGAAGCAGCAGGCCACGTATGAAGGCACACTGCGATTTAAGGCAATGGAGAAGAGAGTTTGTGAATGTATCTGAGCTATTCCAAGCAAAATAACTCAAAAACAAATACTCTTATCGTGGCCATGAAGCTCTACAGCTCTACTGATGAGTTGTTCGGACATAAGAAGGCAAATGGATAGTGCTTTTTTGTAACCCAACTGCTGTTAGACCGCCGTCGAAAGCCTGGAAGCACAAGACGGTCATTTCGCTCTATTGTGAAGCTTTTCAGCAGTACGCATCCACAAGTCCACTCGTGGGGTTCGAACCCAGGGCCTTCAGTCTCGCTCGAGGACGCTTAACATCTACACTGTTGGATACCGGCTCAGTGGTACAGTTTTCGTCAAGAGACTTAAACAACTCTTTCCAAATGACCTTTTGTAAAATCTCAACAACCACGTTGATTATGCTTACTAGTCACTAGTTCTCAGGTTTATGTTTTATACCCCTTTCGAAGATAGGGCTTACGAAGTCATTCTTCAATCCTTTCGATAGTCGACTCGAATTCTATGATTATTTCAACCATATGGAAGTAGTTTTAACTCAACTGTCGAACTAATGTTCGCAAAACTAACCTCAGATATTTCGTGGACATAGAAGAGACCTGTAGTGATCAATAAATCCCCAAAATCAATAGGTTTGTACGTTCTCATTATATGACGCTGACTGCACTAGTTTTAATCGACTCACTTAGCTAAAGGCGCTCAATCACGCATCAGAACCAGAACACGCGTGGAAACGCTATGATAAACCTCTCCTGCAACCGCTAGTCAGTTTAGATTAGCCAATTTTCGTTATATTCAAATGGTTCAAAATATTTTGAATGAAATAGAAAAAGCTTTCACTTAACAAGCTTACGTGTCTAGCAGCAGTGGATCACCATTGCCTTCAGGAAGAGACCCAGGTATAATATCAATAACAGAGAAAAAAAGAAATTGCTAAACCATAATATGTTATCCTTTGCCCATAAAAATAGGTCAAGTTGCCTCTTAAATGACTCTTGGGAAGTCTCTTGGAATAGCTCACCGGGCAGGGAATTCCAGCATTTGACAAATCTTAAGGAGTAGAAGTTGTGTCTACAGTCCGTTCTGCTGTATCGTGTCTCCGGTCTCTGGGTTTTACCCCTTTTGGTTTGTGTTGGAGCTTAACTTAAGTAAATGTTTAAGGTAATGTGCAGAGGTGTTAAGGATACTGCAAGCCATTAGGTACGTCGTATAATAACAGTCTATGGGTTAAATTAGAGCTTATAATAAGAACGACGTGAATATAAACAGTTTAGTTGCATAACAATTACACGATAAAAATATACTCATAGTATTGGTCCATAAATGGATCCCAAAAATTACCATTCATTATTCTTATCGGGATATAACAGTGAAGAAATACTATGTACCCGTACTCTAAATGAGGACAAATGAAACTGTCGAAGATTATGTGGATAGTTCTTCCTTCAAACTGGCCGAAAATGCGCTTCAATTTCACCAGTGCAAGGTTTGCTCGAAAAGCATTTTTGTCACAGTTAGCTAAAGACTTCAAATCGTATGGTTTCAGCACTCCTAGATCTCTTTCAACTTAGGATACCTCTACAGGGGCGTTAACTAAGTTGTAGTTGTAATCTGCAACATGTCATAGATGGACTACCTTACACTTTGAAGTGTTAAAATAGAAGGAAACATGAGAAACTTGTATGATACAATCAAGAAGCTCGCTGGAACGACCAGTGAAAAGCAAGGAAGACAACGTTATCACCTATACTGAAGAACAACGAAACAGGTGGGTAGAATATTTCAAAGAACTCGTGAATCGACCAGCTCCACTGAACTCATCGAACACTGAAGTAGCACCCACAGACCTCCTAATAGATGTTTGCCCACCGACAATTGAAGAGACCAGTATGGCCATCAGACAAATCGAGAGTGGTAAAGCAGCAGGACCAGACAACATTCCAGCAGAGGCACAGAAATCAGATACATCAGGTGCATCACTTTTCTCTCAATACCAGGAAAAGTCTTCAACAAGGTATTGTTAAACAGGATGAAGGACTCCGTAGACGCCCAACTTCGAGACCAACAGGCTGGATTCCGTAAGGAACGATCGTGTACAGACCGAATCGCAACTCTACGGATCATTGTGGAACAATCAATTGAATGGAATTCATCACTCTACATCAACTTCATTGACTACGAAAAGGCATTTTATAGTGTGGATAGAACAACATTATGGAAGCTTCACCGACACTACGGCGTGCCTCAGAAGATAGTCAGTATCATACAGAGTTCATATGATGGATTACACTGCAAAATCGTGCATGGAGGACAGTTGACAAAGTCGTTCGAGGTAAAGACCGGTGTCAGGCAAGCTTGCTTATTCTCACCCTTTCTCTTTCTTCTGGTGATCGACTGGATCATGAAAACGTCAACATATGAGGGGAAGCACGGGATACAATGGACATCTAGGATGCAGTTGGACGATCTGAACTTCACAGATGATCTGGCCCTTCTATCGAAAACGCAACAGTCAATGCAGGAGAATACGACCAGAATAGCAGAAGCCTCAGCAGTAGTATGAGGGTATTTCGAATTATTTGAATTATAGTACGAACTAAGAATCCCTGATATAACGCAACTGAATCAAGAAGTACTAGATGAGAACAAACGAATGTATTGTATTTAGGATTCGAAATCAAGCATTCAACAAGTACAATGGTATCATTAGTTCATTCAAACACCACATCCGCCACAGCTTAAACTGGTGTCTATATGTCTGTTACTGATTTTACATCTCAAGTTCATCCTGTGTCTGTCCGACATTGTATTGGATAAATATCTGTAGTATCTAGAATGTGCTCATTAGTATTGGAATTAACAAACGAAATCGGAACCGACTCACTCAGAATTGCATACAATCAGCATGTCGGTTTTGTACTGAAATCAATAATATCTAGAATTCGAACAACAGACTTTTCAACACTATCCTCCCCCACGAAATAATGTTATTATTATTATTATTCACAAACATCTTATGGGTACATAAGTGTTGTGAAGAAACCATTTTGGGTTTCTTCAAAAATGCAATAATACACAATTTTCAATAATGTTAGCATTATACTTGCCGTATTAAAAAAAAGAATTTAGGGTAATAATAGTAGAGTATGAATAATAATAAATTGGGTCTGTGTAACTGAGACGAATATTGAATTGAGTTTAAAGAAGGAAATGGAGAAAATAAGGGAATAGAAATAACTTACTTACTTACTTACGCCTGTTACTCCTCGTGAAGGAGCATAGGCCGCTCACCAGCATTCTCCATCCAACCCTGTCCTGGGCAATCCTTTCTAGCTCCGTCCAGTTGTAATTCATCCTTTTCATATCTGCTTCTATTATCCGACGCAATGTGTTCTTTGGCCTTCCTCTTTTTCGCTTCCCTTCAGGATTCCAGGTTAGGGCTTGCCTCGTGATGCAGTTTGACGATTTGCGTAATGTATGTCCTATCCATTTCCATCGTCTTTCCTAATTTCTTCTTCAGCTGGAAGTTGGTTTGTTCTCTCCCACAGAAGGCTATTGCTGATGGTATCCGGCCAATGGATGTTGAGTATCTTGCGTAGACAGTTTCCGCTTTGAATTTGAGGACCTTAGTTTTCCCTTTGTGTATGCTGAGGCCTACTGATGCAGAGACTGCTGCTACACTGGCTGTCTTCATCTGCATCTGTTCGTGTGTACGTGATAGGAGGGCTAGGTCATCTGCGAAGTCCAAATCGTCTAATTGATTCTGAGCTGTCCATTGTATTCCGTGTTTTCCTTCAGATGTCGAGGTCTTCATAATC